GGGGGCGTGCAGGAGGTAACAGATGGATGTCTCCCTCTCGCATCAATGTTTCTATTTCTCTTGCCTTTTCTCTCTCTTTAAAAAATCAATAAAAACATTTTTTAAATAAATACTAAAATAAAAACAATTGCTGCTCTTAATGATCTCCAGTCTCGAGTGCAATCTCCTTGTTCCTTGAGAAACCGAGGCCCAGAAGGGACCACGCGTTGGCCTGTCCCTAGCAAGGCAGCACTGGGACCTAGGGAGCCACACCACCCGTGGTGCAGGGAGGGCAGACAGGTGGCCACTGCGGTCTCTCCACTCACCGTTCTCCTGGCAGGTGACCACTGATTTGCGGCAGAAGTGTACCGAGTCTCACACGGGCACCTCCGCCTCTGCCCCCCTGGCAGCCGGCATCATCGCTCTCACCCTGGAGGCCAAGTAAGTGGTGGAGCGGAGGGGAGCCCTGTCCCTACCAGCGCCCTCTGCAGGCAGCCCTTGGTCTCCAGCCTTTGCTCCAAGAGGCTGAGCCCAGCCTCTCCTTCCCTCTTCTGCAGTAAGAACCTCACCTGGCGGGACATGCAGCACCTGGTGGTGCAGACCTCAAAGCCAGCGCACCTCAATGCTAATGACTGGACCACCAATGGTGTGGGCCGGAAAGGTGAGGGCAGGGTGGCCCAGTGGGCTGGATTCGGGGTGGGCGGGGAGCATTCTGTGCCTCCCAGCTAACCCTACCTTCCCTACCCCACAGTGAGCCATTCCTATGGCTACGGGTTGTTGGACGCAGGTGCCATGGTGGCCTTGGCCCAGAACTGGACTACGGTGGCCCCCCAGCGGAAGTGCATCATTGACATCCTCACTGAGCCCAAGTGAGGGTTGGAGCCCTGGCCGGGAGGGGCTGGGTGGGACCAAAGAGTGTCGGGGGGCACCCTCGGGTCCCTGTGGGCTAGGCTGATGGACTGTCACGGTGCTCTCCGAACAGGGACATTGGGAAGCGTCTGGAGGTGCGGAAGGCTGTGACCGCCTGCCTAGGGGAGTCCAGCTACATCACACGGCTGGAGCACGCTCAGGCGCGCCTCACCCTGTCCTATAACCGCCGTGGAGACCTGGCCATCCACCTGGTCAGCCCCATGGGCACGCGCTCCACTCTGCTGGCTGCCAGGTGCTTGCCCTGCGGTCCGCCCTCTCCCCGTGCCCGTGCGCACTCGCTCCCTCTCGCGGCCCTGATGGCACCGAAGACTCTCAGCAGGGCTCTGCTGGCATTTTGGGAGGGCGGCTTTGTCCTGTGGGACTGCCCCACGTGGCAGAAACCCCTGGTTCCACCGGTCAAGCGCCATGGCCGTGTGCCTTCCCTCACACGTTTTCAGAATCTTCTGGTTGAGACTGTCTGGCCTGCTGGGAGTCAGAGCCGACAGGCGTCTCCAGCCCAGCGGCGGGGTTGGTGTTGCCGGGGGAGGATGTGTGGTGGGTTTGGTGCTCCCCACCTGGGGTCCCCCAAGTCCTTAGCTCTGTGCACCCTGCTCCCCCAGACCACACGACTACTCTGCAGATGGGTTTAATGACTGGGCCTTCATGACAACCCATTCCTGGGATGAGGACCCTTCTGGCGAGTGGGTCCTAGAGATTGAAAACACCAGTGAAGCCAACAACTATGGTATGGGGGCACTCGAGGGCCCGGGCCGAGGAGGAGAGTCACTGGGGTCTGGGTGCCGGGTCCCAGTGCCGCTCACTCTGGCCTCCTCCCCCACTTGGAACAGGGACGCTGACCAAGTTCACCCTCGTGCTCTATGGCACGGCCCCTGAGGGGCTGCCCACACCTCCCGAGAGCAGCGGCTGCAAGACCCTCACATCCAGCCAGGCTTGTGTGGGTCAGTAAGGGGCCCCTTGGGGCTTGGGACCTGAGGCTGGGGGACATGGGGCTCACGTGGGCCCGTGGCCGCAGGCGGCGTAGCTGACACCTGCCTTCTCTCTGGTGCCTGCAGTGTGCGAGGAAGGCTTCTCCCTGCACGAGAAGAGCTGTGTCCAGCACTGCCCACCGGGCTTCGCTCCACAAGTCCTCAGTACGCACTACAGCACCGAGAACGACGTGGAGACCATCCGCGCCAGCGTCTGCACCCCCTGCCACACCTCGTGTGCCACATGCCGGGGGCCGGCCCCCACAGACTGCCTCACTTGCCCCAGCCATGCCGTCTTGGACCCTGTGGAACAGATATGCTCCCGGCAAAGCCAGAGCAGCCGAGAGTCACCGAAGCAGCCGCCGCCGCCGCCCCGGCCATCCCCCGAGGTGGAGGTGGAGCCACAGCCCCGGGCAGGGCTGCTGCCCTCACACCTGCCTGAGGTGGTGGCCGGTCTCAGCTGCGCCTTCATCGTCCTGGTCTTCATCACTGTCTTCCTGGTCCTACAGCTGCGCTCAGGCTTCAGCTTCCGGGGGGTGAAGGTGTACACCATGGACCGCGGCCTCATCTCCTACAAGGGGCTGCCCCCTGAGGCCTGGCAGGAGTGCCCGTCAGACTCGGAGGAGGATGAGGGCCGGGGCGAGAGGACCACCTTCATCAGAGACCAGAGCATCCTCTGACGAGTGCCCGCCACGGCCCCTGCAAGCCCTCCCCCTCCTCGGGCACTTTTTAATTCACCAAAGTATTTTTTTATCTTGGGACTGGGTTTGGACCCCAGCTGGAGGCAAGAGGGGCAGAGATGGCTGCCCACCCTACCCTTGGGCCTCCTGGCTGCCTGAGGTGGGGCCCAGGACCAGCTTGGGGGCAGGGGAGGGCCTCACCCCGCCCCCAGCACCCTCCGTGTGAGGGAAGGAGTGAAACCTTTAGGGCAGCTTTCCGAGGCTGTCCAGGCCTCAGCCAGAGTTCCCTGCGGAGCAAAGGGGGGGGCCCTTCTTTCGGGATTCCGGACCCGATTGCAGCTCTTCCCTGTCCCTCTGAAGCAATAATGGTCCCCATCCAGGTAGCAGGGAGGCTGACCAAGGGACATGTGAAGGAGAGGAGGCCACCTCTTCAAGGGCTTGTGTGTCCCCGACACCATCCCCCACCTCTGATGAGCCTCAGGCAGAAGCAGTGATGGAAGGAAGGGACCAAGGCGAGGCAGGTGCTTCCAGGGTGTGTGCACGTGTGTGTCTGTCTGCTCACCACAGCTGGCGGCCCGCTGAGCGAGGCTGGCCCAGCCGAGCCCCACGCTGGCGTCCTGACCACCCTCCCCTCCTGCCAGGGCCCAAGTCCCTGTTTTCTGAGCCCGGGGCTGCCTGGGCTGTTGGCACTCACAGTCCCGGAGCCCCTGGGTGGGTGGTGGGGAGGGACGGTGGCCCAGCCGGCCTCCCCGCCTCCCACCCGTTGCTGCTTTCCCCTGTGGGGATCTCAGGGGCTGTTTGAGGATATATTTTCACTCTGTGATTATTTCACTTTAGATGCTGATTTTTTTTTGTATTTTTAATGGGGATAGCAGCTGGACCACCCATCTTCCCACACCCACTTTACACCCTGCTGTTCTCCCAGCTGCCCTGGCCCTGAGGTGTGGGGGGCTGCAGCATGTCGCTGGAGAGTGAGGTGTAGCTGAGCCCCAAGTTCTGAGGAGGCTGGCCAAGGGGGTCCTTGGAAATGGGGATTGCGGTGGGAGCGGCGGCTGTTGTCCGTGTTTCAGATGGGGCTTGTCGTGCCAAGGGCTCATGGGTCACTGGTTCTCCAAGTGCCAGGGGTGGGGAGGCGGTGGCACTGTGCCCCCTCCAACACTGTGCCCTAGTGGAGAAAGCACTGGCCTGCCCTGACCCCCCAAGTTCCGCTCTTCTGACGTGCCTTTTGCACCCCTCCCATTAGGACAATCAGTCCCCTTCTGTTTGGGAGCCCTCTTCTTTCTGTCCCCTAGCCCCTCCTGGCACCCAGCCACCTGTCCAGGGGTGCCCCCTCTCCGTCCCCTTGTGGCCAGCCCAGCTGGTTTTGTAAGATACTGGGTTGGTACACAGTGACTTTTTTTTTCCTTGTAATTTAAACAGGCCCAGCATTGTTGGTTCTATTTAATGGACACAAGATAATGTTAGAGGTTTTAAAGTGATTAAACGTGCAGACTATGCAAACCAGACCTGGTCTCCAGTGTGGTGGTACTGTTCTTCCCAGGACTCTGGGATGGCATCTGGGGTGAGGGTGGGGACTGGGGAGGATTAGATGCCCAGTGTGATGTCCTGCGTGCCTGGAGCTGGGCCCAAGGAGGGACTTCAAAGACTGTCTGCTGAGGGGTTCCAGGGGCCTCCTTTAGGGAGCAGCGGGTTATAGGAGGAGACAGCAGCTGGAGACAAGTCCCTGGCGTGGGACAAGCTGAGCACTGCCATAGGCCTGGTCTCCAGCAGGGTGGAGAATAACGGTCTGGGTCCCCATTGCTCAGGGTCTCCCTCGGCTGAAGTAAGTGGCCTGGCCACCAGGTGTAGGGCTGAGGCCTGTGGAGGGACCAGGAAGTCCAGGCTGCTCTTGCTGAGAACGAGTCCCAGCTGGGTAAGCTCTCTCTTCCACTCCCCAACCTTGCTCCCCAGGTCTCCCTGGGACAGGAAGCTCCTGCTTGGGGTAGGGGGGTGGGGACTGGTCCATTAGGACCAGTGCCTGAGAAGCAGGCCTCTCCTAGGTAGATTTACTTGGACATTTTATTTAAATGGAACCTGGCACCTAAGTGCTCCTTGGGAAACCCTGGGGTGGGGAGGACCTGGACTATGTTCTCTTTTAATCTTCTGGGGTCACTGGGCTGCTGCTAGGACTGCCCATCCACCAGTGAACCCCCGGGCTCAGGGGCCGAGCGGGTCTGCAGCCTCTCCCTGTGCCGGCCCCTCCGAGGCACCCTGGGGCGGCTCCTCATCCCCACCCCAGGCCCTGGGGATTGCTGGCCCAAGCTGCCCTCCGCAGGGCCATTCTTCCTGGCCCCTCCTCCCTTCCGTTTCCGTGGCCATGTAGCTGGGGCTGGGCAGGGGGGCCGGCAGGCATGGGGGCTACCGCCCGCCCCTTCCCCTCGGCGGCCCGCCCCAGGGCCTCAGCCAACTGAAACTGCTGCGGGAGGAGGAAGCTCAGAATCAGGAACTGGCCAGTTGGCTGGGCCTGAGTCGGTCCTCTGCACCCCCTGGAGCAGCTGCCCAAGCCGAGAGTGAGTGAGTGAGTCGGAACTCCTGCCCAAGGCCCAGGAGGCAGAGGGTGGTGGGTGATGGTGGCTGGGGAGCAGGGGCTGGGGCTCAGCAGGGGGACGCGGGACACAGGACCGGGTGGGGTAGGGGTGGCTGAAATAGTAGGGCCCAGGCTGTGGCTACCTGGGGCGCCAGCCCGGGCAGGCTTGGCCCCGCCAGGAGTCCTGGGTGCATGTGCTCCTGGGTGCTACGTGGAAGGACCCAAGGAGCAGACTCCTCCCAGTGGCCCTGTTCCAGGACTGGGAAGGGAACCCCCGGTGCTAGGCCTTGGCCTGGGACACAGGAAACAGCGAGTCAGTCCCAGGCCAGGTGGCGTTTTGTACCTGTGGCTGCATTTCAGCAGGACAGGCCCCCACCTCCCACCTGTCTGCATCTTCTCCTGGTCCTCAGCCCCCTCCCTGCCCTACTTACTCCTCCATCTCCAGCAGCTGCCTCACCCCACCAATGGCCTTTCCTTTCTCTGTCCCCAGGACAGTACTATGGGCTTCTCGTCAGAGCTGTGCAGCTCCCAGGGCCATGGGGCAGTGCAGCAGATGCAGGAGGCCGAGCTCCGGCTGCTGGAGGGCATGAGAAAATGGATGGCCCAGCGGGTCAAGAGCGACCGGGAATATGCCGGGCTGCTGCACCACATGTCCCTGCAGGACAGCGGGGCCCAGAGCCGGGGCAGCTCTGACAGCCCCATTAGCCAGGTGGGGTTCACTGGGACCTTGGGCCTCCTCACCCACTTCCCACCCTCGTCCTTGAATTCCTGTGGGTTCCAGGGTTATCTGCCTGCCCCTTCCTTTCCCAGAGTCCCCTGGGGAGAATTAGAGATCGGGCAGTCCCAGGCTCAGGAGCCACTGTTGCCTCTCTCTGTCTCATGTTCCTTCCCACGCTGTAGTCCTGGGCAGAGATCACCAACCAGACCGAGGGACTGAGCCGGTTGCTGAGGCAGCATGCAGAAGATCTGAACTCTGGGCCCCTGAGCAAGCTGAGCCTGCTTATTGGGGTTCGTCAGCAGCTGCGCAAGACCTACAGTGAACAGTGGCAGCAGCTGCAGCAGGAGCTCACCAAGGTGGGTGGGCGTCTTGGGGCCTCACCTGGTCATTTCCGCCTTCACTTGAAACTAAAAGGGCCGGTTTTGCACAAGCGCTCCTAGATTCATAGGGAGGTGGAAGTCCGGACCGAAGGCCTGCCCCCTGCAGCTTCCTTTCCCGCCTTGTTTGCTTGCTCACCAGTCTTGGGCCGGCCTACAACAGGGCCTCCCTGTGCATTTTCTGTCACCCTATTGTGTGTCTGGGCAAAGAGCTTGGAGTACCAGGACGAGTGGTCTAGCCATTGCCTGGGGAGCACAGGATCTATGACTCACCTCCTGCAGGGCACCAGCTGGCTCTGTCTGTCCTTGGCCTCGGTGGGCTCCTCCCAGGGCCCCAGAGATATCGCAGGCAGCAGTTTGGTCCCCAACACCGAGGTTAAAGATGGGGCTGTGAAGATGGCTTGCCTGCACTTGGGTCCGGCCCACTTCCTCGGTCTGTTTATCTCCGAGCTACTGGAGCTATTTATCTGGGTGCTTCAGGCTTCTGATTCAGAGATTTCAACTGGTGTACCGCAAAAAGTGTTAAGACATGCAGTACCTGACTGTTCAGTCAAGGTCAATCACCTCTTTTCCCTTAGACTGTATAAAAAAAAAAAATGACAACAGCCAACACAACAATAGCCGTCCAGTGTGAACGCCCTGTCTTGAACCATGACTATATAGGTCATATAACAGAATTGCATCTCATTGTTCACATTACATAATAAAGTTGTGTCTAGTTAATTCTTGGTACCAGAAATCCTTATATACAAGTACAGGCCCCTGATTTTTTAAAAAGACACTTTGGAGCAAAAAGGGTAGGTAGTTACTGTTACTTGTTATTTTGTAAGGCAATCAAAGTGAACACGTTTTGGGGAGCCAGATTGGCCAAAAATGTATTTTTTGGGTGTGCCACAGAATTTTAGTAATTAGTTCATGTGTGCCATGAGACGAAAAAGATTGAAAATCGCTGTTCCAATTCAATGGGCTGGTCGGCCCCCCTGCACCACCCTCTTTCACCAGCGCAAAACCCGGCCTTGCCACGGACCCACAGCGGCCCCTGGTGGCCAGTGTCGGCCTGCTCCTCTCTCGGAAGCTTTTCTAAAAACAGGAAGGGCCTGTGGTTATAGGTACTTTGGCCCACAGCAACACCCATTTGTTCTCACATTACCCATGGCTACTATAGAGCTACAGTGGCAGAGCTGAGTAATTGCAGCAGAGACTGTATGGCCGATATCCCCAAAAGGTATACCTGCTGGCCCTTGAAGAAAAAGGCTCATCCGGCCTATACATTGAGCTCAGTTACAGATGGGGAAACAGGTTCAGAGGAGGGGGCTGGAGCTAGCCCTAAAGCATCCCAGTACCTAAACAGGGGAACTGGGATGAGAACTCTGGCCATCTATTGTTCCTGCCACGGGGAACATCATTCGTAGGACTCAGTGCAACATGAAAATGGGGTGCGGGTGGGGCTTGTCAAAAAATCATTGAGAATTTCATGATGGCATCAGCACAGCATTTAACCAAGCATGGAGCCCTTCTAAGTGTGGAGCTCTGTGTACTCACCTACCCGGTCCCCAGGGGCTTGTCATCAACGCAGCTCCTCTGACCCTAGCCTCGGCAGCAGAGATCTGCAGGCCCTGCCTGGAGGGTGGATGTGGACGTACTGCCCTGGGGACCTGCTGACCCCTACGGCCTCTTCTCTCTCCCCAGACCCACATCCAGGACATTGAGAAGCTGAAGAGCCAGTACCGAGCCCTGGCACGGGACAGTGCCCAGGCCAGGCGCAAATACCAGGAGGCGAGCAAAGGTGGGTGGCTTCCCTCTGACCTGTCCACAGGTGCCCCGGGTGTGGGGGCTGCCCAGGCCTCTGTGCTGTCACCCACACTCCCTTCCCTTAACCTGGCAGACAAGGACCGCGACAGGGCTAAGGACAAGTACGTGCGCAGCCTGTGGAAGCTCTTTGCTCATCACAACCGCTACGTGCTCGGCGTACGGGCAGCTCAGCTGCACCACCAGCACCACCACCAGCTCATGCTGCCCGGCCTGCTCCATTCACTGCAGGACCTGCACCAGGAGATGGCATGCATCCTGTGAGCCCACCCCCCACCCCGTCAGAGCCCCGTCACCCTGCCACCACGCCCAGACGCAGGGTCAGAAAAGTCAGTTCTATAGAAGTGATGGTCGCGGAATCATGAGAACGGGCCCTGGGCCGAGGATTGGAGCCAAGTTATATCTGAATTACATTATTCCAGGGCCCCGTACTGCAGTGCTTTATTATATTTACTGAGCACTATTCTAGGCTCTGGGATACATCAGAGAAAAACAGACAAAAATATCTGTTCTCTAAGGTTGTTCGTGTCAGGGGACAGAGAAAAGAAAGTCAGCAAGTAAAATAAAAAAAAGCATGTTAGGAATAATAAGTGCTGTGGAGAAAAATAAAACAAGAAAGGGGGATTGGAAGGCAGCCTTAAACAGAGTGGTCTGTCTGGTCCGCAGGCCGACACTCTAACTGCTGAGCCAAACCGGCTAGGGGGAACAGAGTGGTCTGAAAAAGCCTCAAGAATTACAGGGATGAATCAGGAGATGTTGGGAGAAAGGCCATTTCAGAAAGAGAGAACAGCAGGTGCAAAGACCCTGAGGTGGGAGAATATCTGAAGTCAGGGAAAAGCAAGAAGGCCTGCGTAGCCTGTGCAGAGTCAGGGAAGGGTGGAGTCAGACATGAGGCTGGAGGAGTTCAGGTTTGGGGTCCGCTGGATTGTAGAGGGTCCAGCGGGCCGCTGTAAGGACTTCGGCTGTGCTGAGACTAGACATCAGGAAGCAAGAACAGAGGCAAGGGAGACCAGATAGGAGGCAGCTACAGTAATCCAGATCACCCATTTGGACCCAGGGAAGGGAGAAGCAGTCCGGTCCTGAATGTATTTTGAAAGTGGAGCCAGTGGGATTTCCTAATGGACTGGAATGTGAAATAGAGGAGTCAGGGATGACTCCAAGGATTCCACCTGAGCAACCAGGAACATCCAGTTGCCGTTGGCTTCTGCGGAGAAGGCTATGGGAGAAATGGGTTCAGGAGACAAGGAGCTCGTTTTTCAAGGAGTGGAGTTTGGTGTCCAACGGGGTGTTTTGAGTATGTAGATGGATGCTTGAGACGGTGGCTCTGGGAAGGTTTTAACCAGCACTTCTTGTGTAACGGGTACTGTGCACAATCTCACTGGACTCTCAGCGTAAGAGAGGCCCATTCACACCACAGGAAGTGAGGATCAGGAGACCATCAGTAATCTGCCCGTGGTCATTTGGCTGGTACATGATAAGGTGGGGGCTCAGCTCCACAGCTGACTCCCAGGCCTGAGGCCCTGCTGACCAGGGGTCCTGTCTGGTGGTAGGAAGGAAATCCTGCAGGAATACCTGGAGATCAGCAGCCTGGTGCAGGATGAGGTGGTGGCAATTCACCAGGAGATGGCTGCCGCCGCTGCCCGCATCCAGCCTGAGGCCGAGTACCTCGGCTTCCTGCGACAGTATGGGTAAGCCCCTCCTTGCCCCCGTCTGGGTGCCGGAGCTGCTGACCTGCTCTCTGACGGGGCGCTGTCTCTCCACAGGTCCACACCCGATGTCCCACCCTGCGTCACCTTTGATGAGTCGCTGCTTGAGGAGGGTGAAGCCCTGGAGCCGGGGGAGCTGCAGCTGAATGAGCTGACGGTGGAGAGCGTGCAGCACACGTGGGTGTGGGTGGCGAGGTCGGGTGGGCTTGCAGGGTGCATCGGAGGGGCCGGTTCTGACGGTGCCCTTCCTTCTGGCACAGGCTAACTTCAGTGACAGATGACCTAGCCGTGGCCACCCAGACGGTGTTCAGCCGGCAGGAGGCGGTCAATCAGCTGCAGCGTGAGCTCCGGAATGAGGAGCAGAACATCCACCCCCGGCAGCGGTGAGGGGGTCCCACCTATAGCAGCCTCCCACCCGCCCTCCCTACTGCTGGCCGCGAGCTGCGGGCTGAGCCGCCCTCTCTCCCCCACTCTCACCTGCCTGCCTGCAGGGTTTACCTGCTGGGCAAGAGGCAGGCATTGCAGGAAGAGCTTCAGGGGCTGCAGGTGGCGCTGTGCAGCCAGGCCAAGCTGCAGGCCCAGCAGGAGCTGCTGCAGGCCAAGCTGGAGTGGCTGGGCCCTGGCGAGCCCCCACCAGTGCCTCTGCTGCAGGATGACCGCCACTCCACATCGTCCTCGGTGAGCACCCCACCGCCCACGGGGCCACCCTGCCGGCCAGCCCAGGCTGTGCTCCTCATTTTCACCCTCCCCCTCCCCAAGCCTGGCCACCCGCTGACGTCTGTCCCTGGCCTCAGGAGCCGGAGCGGGAAGGGGGAAGGACACCCACCCTGGAGATCCTTAAGAGCCACATCTCAGGAATCTTTCGCCCCAAGTTCTCGGTGAGTGAAGCCCGGTTGGCCTGCACCTCTGCCCCTCTCCAAGGGGTGGGCCAGCGCAGCGGTGCCAGAGATGTACCCCTAATTCCCTTCCACCATGGTGTTGGGTTAGTCACTGGGTTGCCCTAGTAGAAAGAAGGCTCTGCCCAGGCTGCTTTTAGTGGGTGTCCAGGCACAGGTGTCCTCAGATCCTGCTACCCCGCACATCCCCTCCCTCTGCCACCACATGTGCTGAAGGGACCTGTAGCCTTGGTTACCCCACAGTTCTTCCTGCTCTGGGCGTGGTGGAGGGGCTATGGCCTGGCGTGGGCTTCCCTCCCAGCTGCCTGGAGGAGCCTGGGCCATTCTCCACAGCTGTCTCTGAGGGCCCGTGGGCGGCGGTACCAGCTTCTTGGGAGGTTCGAGAGGACTGTGGGGCATGTGAGACAGAGACCCCATTGACTCCAAGCTGGTTCGGTGGCCTCCCCTAACCAGCTGGCTGAGCGACCCCCCTCACTCCTCCTCTGCTCCTCCCCAGCTCCCCCCACCCCTGCAGCTCGTGCCTGAGGTGCAGAAGCCCCTTCATGAGCAGCTGTGGTACCACGGGGCCATCCCACGGGCGGAGGTGGCTGAGCTGCTGACACAGTCCGGGGACTTCCTGGTGCGGGAGAGCCAGGGCAAGCAGGAGTACGTGCTGTCGGTACTTTGGGATGGGCTGCCCAGGCACTTCATCATCCAGTCCGCCGATGTGAGTGTGGCCTGGGCCCAGCCCTCCCCGCCTCCAGGTGCCCCGCTGGGGAGGGTGGGAAGGCTTCCCCTGGCGCAGCTGCCTGGGCCACCAAGACCACCCGGTTCCTGCAACAAAATAGGCCTAAGCCTTCAGGGGGGTTCTCCCCGCAGGAAGGGAGCGGGCGTGTTGGGTGCCACCAGGTTATACCTCCCTGCAGTGTCTCTGCCTCTCCTCCCGGGCAGACCCTTTCTCCCTGCTGCTCCCCCCACCTCCCAGGGCTCAGGCCCCCTCAGCAGTGAGGGCCGCTAACTCCAGGTCCCCCTGCCCTGCAGAACATGTACCGACTGGAAGGCGACAGTTTTCCCAGCATTCCCCTGCTCATCGACCACCTGCTGCGCTCCCAGCAGCCCCTCACCAAGAAGAGTGGTATTGTCCTGAACAGGGCCGTGCCCAAGGTAAGCCTGCACTCCGACAGCCCACCCCGCCCCGGGCAGGCCTTGGGGAGCCTGGGTTCGGGCCCAGAGAATCAGGGCCGCTGCCTGCTAGATTGGGAATGTCAGGTCCGCTCCTATTCCACAGGCTGGCGCTCACTCAGTTAGGGCTCCTGCCTGGTCCCCGGAGTCACCTGAGTATGATCCTGATACAGTCCAACCCCCATTTAACAAACGGAGGCACCAAGAAATGAAAGGCGTCGTCTTGGTGGGGGATGTATGTTTATTTTGTTCAGTGCCCAGTACACCTTCCTTTCACTCATTTTTCACTCCCGCCACCATCCCTTCCCCAGGACAAGTGGGCGCTGAATCACGAGGACCTGGTATTGGGTGAGCAGATTGGGCGGGTGAGTTGAGTGTCCAGTCAGCCTCCTGGCTGCCTGCGTTTTCTCTCACCCAGCACCGCTTCCTTCCAGACCATCACCCGAGTCATACCGAGGCCCACCGAGAGCCCCTCTGCCTCCCTGCCTCAGTCTAGCCCCCAGCTTGTACCCGACTCCCCTCCTGGCCACCACGATACACCATCCTGCAGGAAATGGGCGGGGGACTTCCTGTCACTGGCGCCCCCACCCCATCCCACAGAGCCCCTGCCTCCCCGGGGAGCTCCCGGAGGAGATCACTGTTTGTGTGAGCTGTGAAACACCTGCTTAGGACAGCCGGTCTCCTAAAATCACAAGGCTTCTCCCACCCAAGGGAAAGAGGCTTTTGCATTTTCCATGTCATGTCTCTTAGCGAACGTGGCAAGTCAGAGGTGACAGTCCCCGCCTGTTCTGTGTGTACTTGCTCAAATCCCCAGCCAGGGGTAAACTAGACAGCCGGGCAGAGCACTGAGCGAACGTCGGGGGGACAAGGAGGGCTGTCCCCCGAGAGGAGAGGACCGTGGTCCAGGGAGGACGGGTAGGAACCCAGCACCGTTTCAGGGGAACTTTGGCGAAGTGTTCAGTGGGCGCCTCCGTGTGGACAACACCCTGGTGGCAGTGAAATCCTGTCGAGAGACGCTCCCACCTGACCTCAAGGCCAAGTTTCTGCAGGAAGCAAGGTGGGTGATGAAATAATGGTCACTGTAGTGACCCAAACACGGGGTTTCTCTGTGCATGGACCATGTAGAGAGCTTGACTTTTGTAGTGTCATGTAATCCTCACAGACCGCGCCCCGCGCCCCCCAGGACAGAGGGGTCAAGGCTCAGTGACCTGCCTGAGGTCACACATCCAGGCCTTGTGGCCTCAGGGGCCAAGCTGGTCTCTTCTGTTGCCCTTTTCTTTCCTCCCTGGGGTTCCCTGGGGATCCCTGGGGCTGGGGAGGGATGTGTACCTAGTCAGCAGTGCCCTCCAGGATCCTGAAACAGTACAGCCACCCCAACATCGTGCGTCTCATCGGCGTCTGCACCCAGAAACAGCCCATCTACATCGTCATGGAGCTTGTGCAGGGTAAGCCCAGGGGCTGCTCCCCCGGGGTGGGGACCTCAGCCCTGCTGGGTCAGCCCCTCTACAGAAAGTTCAACAAGCCCTGGCCGGTTTGGCTCAGCGGTTAGAGCGTCGACCTGTGGTCCAGAGAGACCCGGGTTCGGTTCCTGCTAAGGGCACGTACCTCGGTTGCAGTTTGTCCCCGGCCCTGGTTGGTCGTGCGGGTGGCAACCACTCGATGTGTCCCTTTCACGTCGATGTTTCTCTCTCTCTGTTCCTCTCTCTCCCTCCCACAACAAAACATGGAAAAATGTCCTCGGGTGAGGCTCAAAACAAAACAAAACCCCAGAAAGTTCAACAAATCCCCAGGGGGTGACTTCCTGACCTTCCTGCGGACGGAGGGAGCCCGCCTGCGGATGAAGACTCTGCTGCAGATGGTGGGGGATGCAGCTGCGGGCATGGAGTACCTGGAGAGCAAGGGCTGCATCCACCGGTGAGCAAGGAGCACCCTCGTGCAGCCCAGCACCCCTGTACCCCCGCCCAGGCTCCAGCTGCACTGTCACCCAACGCCCCTCACCAGCAGGTCCAGCTCGGACACTGGGGTTCGTCTCTCCCATGACTCCCAGGACACAGGGAGCAGCCTTTGTTCGTGGGTGTGTCTGGGGGTGCCCAGGTCAGGCAGGTGACAGGTGCTGCGTGGACAGTGGCTGAGGGAGCCCCTTTTCTGCTTCACCCAGGGACCTGGCCGCTCGGAATTGTCTGGTCACGGAGAAAAACGTCCTGAAGATCAGTGACTTCGGAATGTCCCGGGAGGAAGAGGACGGCATCTATGCTGCCTCGGGGGGCCTCAGGCAAGTCCCCGTGAAGTGGACCGCACCCGAGGCTCTTAACTATGGTGAGCTAATGACATTGAGGCTTCAGGTGCCAACCTGGGCCTTGTCCGCTTTGGGCTGCGAGCCCCAGGCTGGGCGCCCCTCGCTGGACGCGGCGGCCCTCATGCCCCCTCGCCGCCTTGCAGGGCGCTACTCCTCCGAGAGCGATGTGTGGAGCTTCGGCATCCTGCTCTGGGAGACCTTCAGCCTGGGGGCCTCCCCCTACCCCAACCTCAGCAATCAGCAGACTCGGGAGTTCGTAGAAAAGGGTAAGGCCGCCCTGCTGCCTGACTGCAGCATCAGAGCCAAGCTTCATCCCCATGCGGCAGAGGGGCTCTTCTGGGTCCCTCGCTTTCCGTTCTTCCCTCCGGGGCAGAATAAGGACAATCAGTCCTGTAGCTGCCACTGAGTAAGCCATCCATCATTCCATTAACTGTTGTGTGCCATCTATCATTCCATTAACTCTTCACAACAGGGGAGGTGGGTGAATATGTCCCTTTTACAGAAGGAATAACTGAGGCATGCAGGGGTCATGTAACTAGTGCTCGGTCGGATTGCGATTGTGCATCCTCGGGGCTCTTGGTGAGAAAGTGGAGCCTGAAGAACAGGGCAGCTTAAGCAGTTCCCACTGCTCATGGTTTGCCCTCAGGGGCCGCAAGGGGCTCTCCGACGCCCTCCTCATGCCGGGGTGCTGTGCCTATCCTCACAGGGGGCCGCTTGCCCTGCCCCGAGCTGTGCCCCGACGCTGTGTTCAGGCTCATGGAGCAGTGCTGGGCCTACGAGCCTGGGCAGCGGCCCAGCTTCAGTGCCATCTACCAGGAGCTGCAGAGCATCCGAAAGCGGCACCGGTGAGGCTGGGCCCCCTTCTCAAGCCAGCGGCCTCCCCGGATAGAGTGTACCTCCTTCTCAGCTCCAGCTCACAATGAGGGCTGGCTCTTCACAGCTCTGGACTCCAGCCACCAGCCTCCGGGCCACCGGTGGGGATGCAGCTCCACGTCTGCTGCTCACCCACGCTCCTGTCAGGGCCTCCTCCTCCAAGCAGAAATAATAAACCACTTGTGCCCACCGAGTGCTCTTGGCATGTGCGCTCCTCTGGAGAAGTAGAGCGCCATTGGGAAGGAGGACAGGCCGTGGTCAGGGGGCAGAGCTGACGTGGTGTGAAGGGCCTGTGGGACTGTCAGTGTGACATCGAAGTCTGGAAGGCCGGACGGAAGGCTGGCACTTGAGGCCTGAACGTCATGAGCTTATACATTTTAGAGAGTAGCTGACACTACGGATGTGCACAACAATCACAGGAGATTCAGGAGGGAGGGGAGTCGGGGCAGGTTAGAGCTTCACTCAGACTGGAGTGGCCCAAGAGAGGGAAATTGCTTCTCAGGGATTTTTCTCTCTCACACAAGCTTACTGAGCAATGGTGGAGCAGACCTCTCACCTCCTCCCCTAAGTCCCCCTGAAATCTGTAAAAGTATCCGAAACTCTACCCGCAGCAACAGTGAAGGTGGAGAAGGTAAGTAGTATGAACAAACTGAAAAGCATAAACAGGAGAGACAGATAGCGCCAAAGAACAAAGCAGAACTTCGAGGCCAAATGGCCACCCCCCAAGAGTCTTTAGGAAATAGTTGACATCTGTTTTCAAAGATATAAAAGCCCTATAACTTCTTTAAACGAGAACAAACAAGTTAGAGTGTGACTAGTGACTACATGGAAATATTAAGAAGCCAAAGCATATCTCTGTTGGAAGTGGTAAAAAGCAGAACTGAAGAGCTTCTGCTTCTGGGGAGGATGTGGTAGGTCTGTGCAGGCCATCACTCTCATTGCAACAACCAGGAGGAAACAAAATGACCATCATCATTTCTGAAGGGAATTGAGAGTGTTGGAATAGCTAAGGACCAGATGAACTAACATTGCAAGAAGGAAAGCCCCCTCCCCCACGGGTAAACTGATGGTGGGTGGCTATTTACTTCCCTGAGACTTTGCTGATTTGGGACATCTCTGATGGTCAGAATGATCCCAAACAGAGGGATTCTACCGAGGAAAGGAGAAATGGACCATTTCTGTGCTAGAGATTAGACACAAGAGGAGCCCAAAATGCAAAGCTAGATTTCCCCATGGAACACTTGCTGAGTTCGGGACGTGCAGGCGACTGGGAAGGGGCGGGACTGGGAAGACAAGTCCCACAGCCTTGCAGTATTTGGGGGGGGTGGGGTGCAGGCTGAAACAAACAACCGGTCTCTCCCTCAAGCTATTGCCTCAAGATATCGGCCAGCTCTTGAACCTGTGTGGACCGGGAAGCTAAAGAGCTAACCCTAAAATCTCTGAAGAGCAGCTTTTGAAGGGCTGATAGGGATAGAAACTGGCCAGGCTTTCAACTCCAAATCCAAGAGGGCCACTCGTAAGGGACAAGCACAATCCAGAGGAGGACTGAGCTTTGCCAGAATTATAACTGCCCCGGCATGGCTCAGTACTTGATTACACTGGTGACTAGCAACTCTGGGGTGGGGGCAGGGGAGAGGAATGGAGTCTGAAGTCCCTATCCTTTTACACCCAATAAGCAACATGCAAACAAAAATTATAAAATGTGCAAGAAAACAAAAAAAAAAAACCCATCAACAACAAAAGAAAAATGGGGCCAACACACAAGAGAAAAACAACAGAAGCAAGCCCTCAGATGATCCAGACATTGGAGTTGGCAGACAAAGATTTAAAAATAACCACTGTTGCCCTGGCCGGTTTGGCTCAGCGGTTAGAGCATCAGCCTGCGGTCCCGAGAGACCCAGGTTCGGTTCCCGCTAAGGGCACGTACCTCGGTTGCAATTTGTCCCCAGCCCTGGTTGGTTGTGTGGGTGGCAGCCACTCGATGTGTCCCTTTCACATTGATGTTTCTCTCTCTCTTCCTCTTTCTCCCTCCTACTCTATCTGAACAAAAAAATGAAAAAATGTCCTCGGATGAGGATTAAAAAAATTTTTTTTAATTAAAAAAAATAAAAATAACCATTGTTAATATGTTAAATGGAAAAAAAGGTAGACAAAATAGATGCAAATATGGAGAATTTCAACAAGGTTGGAACCTACTTAAAAACAATGAAAGGAGCAGGTAGAACTGAAAAAATACCATCTCTGAAATTACAAACTCATTGGGTGGGTTGCATAAAAATCCATAGAATTAAAGGATAAATTTAGTTATAGAGATTAGACACATCAGAAGACAGAATTAGTGAACTTGAAAAGAGATTAATAGAAGATGTCTAAACTGATAAGCTGAAGGAGAGAGAGAGAGAAGAATAGAGAGAGAAAAAAAAAGCCAAAGACACACATAGAACTTCACTTTATGAGTAATTAAAGTTCCAGGAGAGAGAAGTTAAGACCAGAATAAACAGAAAATGACTCAAACAGCAATAAGAAAGAACAGACCACTAATTTACCAACATTAATGACTCTCTAGAAGTCAGACCTGAATGCATACTTTGGATCCCATTTTATGAAGTTCAAGAACAGGTGAAAACTAAGCTATAGAGAAGTCAAAATAGTGGTTGTATCTGAGGGGTATTGATGGAAAGGGGTGTGCGAATGTAGGGGAACAGCTCCACTAAGGTGTCCCTACCGCCCCCATGGTGTCCCTGCAGCCTTGCATGTCTCTACATGGTCCATGTGGGCAAGGCTTGAGCAGTCTGACTTGAATCTTGACAGTCTTGAGAGAATGTAGTACAATTACTCATGGAGCAAGGAGACAAGCAGCCTAGAGTGGAGCCTCCCTGTCTTGTGGGAGACTGCCAAAGGCCATTTCTCATACATCTTCCTAGTTCCAGTTGAGTTCAGGACTTCCCACTGGGCCATACATAGAGTGCAGCCACAAGCCATACAACTTCTTGTCTGCAGTTTGGAGGTGGCTCCTTATCCACAGGTGACCCACCACCATACTTACTGTCATCCTGTCATCTGATCCCTTTGGTTAAGTGTCATCCTGTGGGACTAGGGATGCAGGAAGTTGACTCCATCCTGGTCTTACTTTTTTTTTCTTATCGCCACCCGAGGACATTTTTTCATTTTTTGTTCAGATGGAATGGGAGGGAGAGAGAGAGAGAGAAATATCGACATGAAAGGGACACATCAAGTGGCTGCCACCCGCATGACCCAATCAGGGCCGGGGACAAACCACAACCGAGGTACGTGCCCTTAGTGGGAACCGAACCTGGGTCTCTCTGGACCACAGGCCAACGCTCTAACCGCTGAGCCAAACCGGCCAGGGCATGGTCTTACTTTTTGCTGCATGGATTCATTAGGGCTTATAGTCTCCTTACTGGCTGAGTCTATGGAACCGTAGTGTGGCAGGCCCACCTCGCAGCTGCATAGTGATCCTTGTGGCCCTTGAGCCACCACAGTGCACTTAGTGACTGCTTGGCCTCTTGACAGAGGGGAACCTTTTGGGGTGATAGTAATGTTCTGTGTTTTGGTCTGAGTGGTGATTATACTTGTGTATACATTTATCAAAATTTATCGAACTGTGCACTTAAGACTTGTGCCATATACCATAAGTTATATCTCAATCAAAAAAAAAAAAAAAGAACTAGCAGAGAATGAACAAGAACTTTAGAACATTGGAACATTAAGATTGTGATTGCTGCCCTGGCCGGTTTGGCTCAGAGGTTGGAGTGTTGGCTTGCGGACCGGAGAGTCCCGGGTTTGGTTCCCGCTAGGGGCACGTACAAAACAAAAACCAAAACCAAAAAAAAACAGAACAAAACAAAAAGATTGCGATTGCTACACAGCCAGTGTGGCTCCGTGGTTAAGTGTTGACCTATGCACCAAGAGGTTATCCGTTTGATTCCATGGGGACACATGCCCAGGGTGTGGCCAGATCCCCAGTGGGGGGTGTGCAGGAGGGGGCCAGTTGATGTTCTCTCTCAAGGATGTTTCTATCTTTCTCCCTCTCCCTTCCTATCTCTATAAATCAATAAAGAACCCTGGCCAGTTTGGCTCAGCAGTTAGAGCCTTGGCCCGTGAACCAGAGAGTCCCGGGTTCGGTTCTCGCTAAGGGCACATACCTCGGTTGTGGCTCGTCCCCCGCCTGGTTGAGGTTGTGGGGGTGGCAACCGGCTGATGTGTCTCTCTCACATCGATATTTCTCTCTCTGTCTTCCCCTCTCTCTCCTGCCTGCTCTATCTGAAGATAAATGCAAAAATGTCCTTGGGTGAGGATAAAATAAAAAATAAAATCGCCCTAGCCGGTTTGGCTCAGCGGTTAGATCGTCAGCCTGTGGTCCAGAGAGACCTGGGTTCGGTTCCCGCTAAGGACATGTACCTCAGTTGCAGTTTGTCCCTGGCCCTGGTTGGGTTGTGTGGGTGGCAACCACTCGATATGTCCCTTTCACTCGATGTTTCTCTCTCTCTCTCCCTCCCACTCTATCTGAACAAAATATTGAAAAATGTCCTCGGGTGAGGATTTAAAAAATAATAATAAAAATAAATAAAATCAATAAAAAAAAAAGAAAAGAAAAGATCGTGATTGCCAAAATGAACAATTCAGCAGAAGGGTTGGAAGATAAATTTCCCGGAACACAGGGCAAAACACAAAGAGACATAGCCTCTATGTCATAGAGGATGATGGATCTAGTCCAGGTCTGGCACCTCAGTGACAGGCATTCCAGTGAGTAGACAAACCTACAAGAATGTTCCTGATGGCCATCCAAGAAATGGGAGTTAAAACAATAAGACGGCATTTTAAATCTGGTTAATGGGCCAAAAAATCCTTTAAGCCATATTCAACAATTTGTACTTGAGGAAACTGGCCCAAAATTCTCTTGGGGAGCTACAGTATGCTGGGTATTATCAGACATATCAGTCCATATTTTTTTTTTTGCCCAAGTAACCTCACTGCTGCGAATTTGTCCTAAGGTAATACTTGAAAAAGAAGACAACTGTGGCATTAATGGAGATACTCCTTGCAGTAGGATTTATAATGTTTCGAAGTTACAAAAACCCAGAGGCTCCGTAGAAGGAGAATCACAAGACCGTTATGTGATACTGTCATCGTGGAGTGGCGAGCAGGAAAGGGGGGATGGCGAAGAAAGCCCTGCAGACGGGAGGCAGCACCCCGGGGAGGCAGCACCCCTGGGAGGCAGCACCCCTCGGCCCGAGAATGCAGCGGCCTCCAAGCTGAGATACCGGGGCAGAGGCTGGTGCAGCGGGGGCGGAATGCGCTCACTCCTGCTGGACTCCGTGCTCGCCCTGGGGAGAGCTGCACCCCAGGAAGTCCCGCTCTCCTGCTCCGGGTGCACAGCGCCCAGGCCCGCCGGGTCTGCGGCTGCGCACTGCGGCCGGGGCCTCCGCGCCCAGCGCTCGGGAGGCGCGAGGCCGCCCGGAGCCAGGCGGGGCCGGGGCGGCGCAGCTGTCCCCGCCCCGCACGCTGCTCGGCCGGCGGCCGCGGGAGGAGCGGCGGGCGGGCCCATCGGAGCGCGCCGGTGGCCCTGGCCCCGCGGGAGCGCGGAGCCGGGGCGACGGGTGGGCGGACGGTCGCCTTCCCTGCGCCGCTGCCCCGCGCGGGCGGCCGCCCCCGGGGAGGTGAGGGGCACCGCGAGGCTGGCGAGGCCCGGAGCGGCGCGAGGCAGCGGCGGACGGTAATGCTCAGGCGACACGGGGGAGGGTCCGGCCGGTCCTGCGCGGCCCGGCGTGTGCGGCAGGAGCGCGAGCGGGGCCTCGGGTCGGAGGCGGCCTGCACCCCTGCACCCCCGCTCCCCTGCACCCCGCTTCCCTACACCCCCCGCTCCCCTGCACCCCGCTCCCCTACACCCCCCGCTCCCCTGCACCCCTCGCTCCCCTGCACCCCCGCTCCCCTGCACCCCCGCTCCCCTGCTTCCCTGCACCCCTGCACCCCGCTCCCCTGCTCCCCTGCACCCCCCGCTCCCCTGCACCCCCGCTCCCCTGCACCCCCCGTTCCCCTGCACCCCCGCACCCCCCGCTCCCGCTCCCCTGCACCCCGCACCCCCTGCACCCCGCACCCCCCGCTCCCGCTCCCCTGAACCCCCGCACCCCTGCTCCTCTGCACCCCCGCTCCCCTGCACTCCTGCTCCCCTGCACCCCTGCACCCCCGCTCCCCTGCACTCCTGCTCCCCTGCACCCCCGCTCCCCTGCTCCCCTGCACCCCCGCTCCCTTGCACCAGGTTGTTGTCGCGGTCCCGGGACCGGCAGAGTCAGGGGTGGGGGGAGGGGGCTGGCCAGGAGGAGCTGGTCCAGCGGGCGGGTGGCCAAAGACCCGGCGCAGGTGCCTCCCCTCGGGTAATCCCCCCGTCTCTCCCCAGCTCCACCCACTTTGGCCTGGAACCAGCCTCCCAGGGCTAAAAATATTGCCCGGAGGCTTCTGAGCGGAATCAGATCGCGCTAAGTAGGGCACGAGGCATAGGCGACAGAGCTCCTGGACCCCGGCCAGAGCGAGACTCAGCAGCGGCTGCCCCCACGCTCGCCAGCAGCCAGCGGCCTCCCTCCGTGGAGCAGGCAAGTCGGGGCCTGTGGGCGGTGGCAGCGGGCACGGGTCGCCCGAAGTTGCCCCACAGAGGAGCCCCTCTGCCTGCCCTCTCACTGTCCAGGGAACCTTACGCATCAATCACTGCTGGTCTCCCAGGGGGTCCCCTGAATGCTGCATAAGCAGAGGCTGGAAGTTACCCACTGTGGAGTCAGACCTAACAGGGAGAAGACTCAGTCTGTTAGAAACATAACCTGGAGCTTTTTAAAATTCATTCTGTATTTCTTAATGAGAGAGCAGCTTGCCATGCGTTGTTTCTGCTGAGTACCAGTCTGGTCTTAAGGGCAGGGAGAAAGACTTTCTTGTCAGTCTCTTTGGGTTCTGGTTTTACCTTTTAAACCAAAATACATGCTCGTTTATTCCTGGGAAACTAGAATCACGTGGTCCAGAAGCCTGGGCACCCATCTTCTTCCGTGGTGTGGCTTTCTCCTAGATCAGCTCCTTGGGAAGCTGGTTATAATCAGGAGGTTGTGTGGTGACCTCTGGGGGAGCTGGGAAGTTTGTTATCTGGTCGTGTTTTTTATAGCTCAGCCTGCAGAGAGAGAGATTCAGCTTTACCCTAGGGGAGAACTGCTATCAGGGTGAGGCAGGGCCAGCCTCAGATGCGTTCCTTACTTGTGCTTTTTGTATCCAGCCAAGAGAATGAGGTGCAGGTGGGGTCAGGATCCACCGCCAGTGTTGGGATTTGCTACTTTGAAGCTTGCTTGTCTTGGGAGTCAGGCAAATAAATGTTCCTTGGGAGCAGCCCTCGGAAACTCATTGGGGCATTTGGTAGAAAGATCACCAAAGGGATTTTGGCTGTTGGAGCTACATATAGTATCTCTCCTGCCAGGTGTGTTTGGAGGCCGGTATGAAGCTGAAAAAGCAGGTGACCGTGTGTGGGGCTGCTGTCTTCTGTGTGGCTGTCTTCTCACTCTACCTCATGCTGGACCGAGTGCAGCATGACCCCATCCGGCACCAGAACGGCGGGAACTTCCCCCGGGTGAGTCACACCTGGCGTCTGAGGTCTTCACGTACAAGTCATCTGGGCTCAGGTTAGCCCCCCAGCTGGAGAGTCATGTCAGCCCAGGACAAGAACATTCCTTCCCAATAGGCAGCTTCTCTAGAAACTCCAAACTAAAAACAATGATGACAAAGGAAGGAGGGGAAATGGTTTGATGGACTGCTGCTGTGTCTGGAGAATTCTTGGCAGAGATTGCTAATGGATTGCACCATTTGTTCCCACTGAGCTCGGGTGCAGTCTTTCCGGCACAGCTCTGCACACAGGCAGCTCCAGTTGTTGAGAATATATGTGTGAGGTGAGATCTTTGCCAGCCTGGAGCTAGAGGGTGAGGGTGTTAGAGGGAGGTAGTGATTTGCACCTCTTTCCTTATCTGGCGGGAGCTCTTGCCCCGCAGGCTCATGGTTCTGCCTCCCACTGGGGAGGGCAGGGTCAGAGTCAGGTCTCAGGTGCTGGGCCCCAGGCAGAGATCATTCCTGAGGCATAAGGAGCTGTGGGTGATTGCTTTCCGGTTTTCTGGCAGAGCCAGATATCTGTGCTACAAAATCGCATTGAGCAGCTGGAGCAGCTGTTGGAGGAGAATCATGAGATCATCAGCCACATCAAAGAGTCTGTGCTAGAGCTGACCGCCAACGCCGAGGGCCCGCCTGCCCTGCTGCCCTACTACACGGCCAATGGCTCCTGGGTGGTGCCGCCAGAGCCCCGGCCCAGCTTCTTCTCCATCTCCCCCCAAGACTGCCAGTTCGCTTTGGGGGGCCGGGGCCAGAAGCCAGAGCTACAGGTAAGAGGCAGAGCTGGCAGGGGCCCTTGGTAGCCATGGAGGTGGCACTGAGCTGCCTCCTGCTCTGCAGATGCTGACTGTGTCGGAGGAGCTGCCTTTTGACAACGTGGACGGTGGGGTGTGGAAGCAAGGCTTTGACATCTCCTACAGCCCACATGACTGGGACGCCGAAGACCTGCAGGTGTTCGTGGTGCCCCACTCCCACAATGACCCGGGTGAGGGCCGGCAGAGCCCTGGAGCTGGGGTGTGGCCTGCGCTTTCTGATGGCTCTGGTCAGGGAGGGACAGCTGCAGGACAGCATCCTCAGGGAACCCTGTGTTGGCCCCCCAGGCTGGATCAAGACCTTTGACAAGTACTACACAGAGCAGACCCAGCACATTCTCAACAGCATGGTGTCCAAGCTGCAGGAGGACCCTCGGCGGCGCTTCCTCTGGGCTGAAGTCTCCTTCTTTGCCAAGTGGTGGGACAACATCAATGCCCAAAAGAGAGCGGCGGTCCGAAGGCCAGTGCCTGTCGGGAGGCATGGGAGGGCTGTTGTCTGGGCCTTGGGTGGGTGTGTGGTTACGCCTGAGGCTGTGGGCGCCCCTGTGGCAGGAGAGGCAAGGGGAAATGTGGCCGGGATGAGGACTGATGGTGGAGGGGCTGAGAATGAGGAGGTATGGACTGGTGTGAGGATCACCTGTGCTAGGAGAAATCAGTTCTGTGAGCAGAGAGAACAAGGTGCGGGGCCAGGCCCCTGGGCACACAGGTGGCGTCCACAGCTAAGCAGGGCCAGGACGGCGTGGAAGTCAGCCGGCGGGGAAGGAGGGCCGGTGTCTGTCCCCTTGGTCCCGGGTTCACGTGAGCTGGCTCAGGGAGGCCAGAGTGCACAGGTCTCAGCATCTTCTGTTCACACGACTGGGCCGGGACACCACGCTGAGTGTGCGTCCTTTCCTGCAGGCTGGTGGGAAACGGGCAGCTGGAGATGGCGACAGGAGGCTGGGTGATGCCAGATGAGGCCAACTCCCATTACTTTGCGCTAATCGACCAGCTCATCGAGGGACACCAGTGGCTGGAGAAAAACCTCGGTAAGGCCAGGCTCAGGAAAGGGAGTCTGTTCCCAGACCTGGGCACAGAGAGTAGCTGGGGCTTTAAGGTACAAGCGTTGGCAGGGGGTGGTTACTTTGTATGCTGATTCTCCTTTTGGGGGCCCAGTGTGATGACAGGGAGCGGGGACCTCAGTCCTGGGAGGCCAGGCGCCGAGGTGTTCAGGGCCTCTGGCTTCCGTTCCCCTGCCCAGGTGCAACCCCGCGCTCGGGGTGGGCCGTGGACCCCTTTGGACACAGCCCCACCATGCCGTACCTGCTGCGCCGTGCCAACCTGACCAGCATGCTGATTCAGAGGGTGCACTATGCCATCAAGAAGCACTTTTCTGCCACCCACAGCCTGGAGTTCATGTGGAGGCAGACCTGGGGTAAGCCCAGGTAGGGTGGAGGGGTGACAGTGGTGTTTCTCCCTGGGAAAGAGCAGGGATCTCAGAACAGGCCACCAGATGCACTCCCTCCTTCAGGTCAGGTGGGGGTCACATTGGCCTTTGGCCTCTATGGGATCTTCTGTTTATTCTGAGGGTCTGGGTGTGCTACCCCCTGGGGAAGTTGCATGACCCGAGTCCTCCCTGGGTCTACGTCCTGACCCTTGATCCTCTGTAGCCTTAAGTCTAGGTCGAGCCTCCCCTTCATCAGGGCTGCCTGTAGCCAGAGCAGGTTACTGTCCTGCTAGTGCCCCTGTGCCCAGCTCCCGACACAGCTGGCTAGTGGCTGACGGCCCACTGTGTCTTCCTCAGATCCAGACTCCAGCACAGACATCTTCTGCCACATGATGCCCTTCTACAGCTACGATGTGCCCCATACCTGCGGCCCAGATCCCAAGATCTGCTGCCAGTTTGATTTCAAACGCTTGCCTGGTGGGCGCATCAACTGCCCTTGGAAGGTGCCTCCCCGCGCCATCACAGAGGCCAATGTGGCCGAGAGGTATTTGCTGCCAGCCCCAGGCTCTGGTCTGGGCCCTGCTGCTTGGGGCTTCGTGCGATGGGCTCAGGTGACGCCTCAGTCCCACAGACACTGGTGGCCGCTCCTTTACGAGTCTCCCTGAAGAACGAGTGGCTCTAAGGAAACACCTTTCCCAGATGGCTTTACCTCCCAAATGAGCATGTGTTTCTGCGTCCTAACAAACTGTTAGAGACGCTTGACTGACCCAGGGGTGAGTAATTCCCAAATTGGGTACAATTCCTTCCAACCTGCAGCCTAATCTCCCTTCACCGAGCTCAGACATCGCGCCTTGGCTCAAAGTCAGCCGAGATCCTCCGTGTTCTGAGAACCCGGAACCCCATTCGGTTTGGCCCTGCCCAGCAGCCTCTAGCCTCTGAGAAAGCAGGCTCCTTCCCTTTGAGAGGATCTTTAGGGACCCCTAGAATGTCTCTGTTGCTGACATCGGCCCCTGGGAAAGTGCAGGTTAAGAGTGATCAGAAACGGTGATTTAGAACCGGACTGGCCTTAAGAATGTAACACGTTGAACTGGTTCTTACGTTGCAATACTCCAATTTCCACAATGTCCAAGAGGTCCAAGGTGACCGAAGGGAAAGAAAGTGGTCTTTTGTTTCCAGACTCCAGAAACCTAAGCGCTGCTTCCAAACCAGCGCCGAGGGCTGTGGAGGCAGGATCATTCTTAACGCAGCCTCTGAGCCAGAGATGCCCGCCCAGCTGTGCCGCGGGCAGGTCACCGAGTAACTTCATCTTCTCCTTTGAAAGAACTTCTAGCCTGACAAATTAGGGGGAAATGGTATCCGCGGAGTCCTCTCCTGCAAACAAAATGGAAAAGTAGAAGCTGACCAGTATGCTTAAGTAGCTTAGTGTGGCTCAGTGGACTGAGCGTCGTCCTGTGGACTGAGAAGTCCCTGTTCCATTCCTGGTCAGGGCACATGCCTGGGTTGTGTGCAGGAGGCAACTGATCGACGTTTTTCTCTCACATTGATGTTTCTCGCTCTCCCTTCCTTTCTAAAAAAAAAAAAATCAATAAAAGAGTAGCTTAGTAGCTAGTTGAACTGTGACACCCATGATATGCCACTTAACTGTAGGTTGATCTAAAAAGAGAAAGGGGCTTTGATGCCTTGTTTGGCTGCAGGGCCCTGTTTGTCTATTGATTTTACCAGTAACTTGGATGAAAAAGAAAGTAAATGTTCATGTATAGTTTCTGCTAGGTGCCAGGCACTATTCCAAGTGTTCTAGCAAATATTAATTCATGCAGTTCATTTTAATTCTCATAATGGTATGATGGTAGGTACGGATATTATCCTCATTTTATAGAAACTGAGGCCCAGAGGGGTCGTCATTCTCCCAGGGTCACTCAGCTAGTGCATGCGGGGCTGGCATTGCGGGGTCTGGCTCCCGAGTGCGGGCTCCTTAGTTCAGAGCTACCTCACTAGCGGGTGGACAGGATGAAGCCAGAGTGTCAGGATCCCAAATCAGCTCAACAGTTTGAGATGTAGATTGAATCTAACCACCTAAGATTTCCTAGATACAGATGTAAGGTTCCACCTTTAGCTTCAGAAAACAGAACAGAATTTCAGGATGAGGAGAAAAGACCTCGAGAGAGACGTGCATGGAGAACCGGCACTGACGTTAGCACTGTGGGGTGACCTCGGGGCTGCCAACCACACCCGAAATGCACACCACTCCCGAGGGAGCACCAGGCCAGAACGGGGTTGGGCTGACTTCCCTTGTGGGCTGGCCCGTCCTTGTCCCCCATATCCTCACCAGGCGGTCCCTGCACAGAGGAGCAGAGGCACATCTTCGGTATGTCTGAAGGAGCGTCATGGGAAGGAGGACTGATCTGTTCTGTGTGGGGCTAGGGAATTGGAGCCGTTCATGCAGCCCAGCACAGGCTGAGCTCTCCGACGTCAGAACTGTCTGGAGAACGCTGGGCTCCAGGATGGGTCCCACCCCAGGAGCTGTGCACCTGCAGGCCCAGTGACTCCTCCGGGGGCTGCCGCACAGGGGCCCGTCGGCTCGGGCTGCTCAGGAGCCGTGACACGGAGACTCAGGCTGACCCCTTCCCTCCGCAGGGCAGCCCTGCTCCTGGACCAGTACCGCAAGAAATCCCGGCTCTTCCGAAGCAACGTCCTGCTCGTGCCGCTGGGCGACGACTTCCGCTATGACAAGCCCCACGAGTGGGACGCCCAGTTCTTCAACTACCAGCGGCTCTTCGACTTCCTCAACAGCCAGCCTGCGCTCCACGTGCAGGTGCGAGGGGCGCCCTCCGCGTGCTGCCCGACAGCCCTGCCCCTGCGCTGTGCCCGCTCCTGGCTCCAACCACGGTTCTTCCTGACCCCGTGGGCCTTCCCAGGCTCCCGGCTAGGGCGGGAGGTCCAGAGGGTGGGAAGGACAGGGACCGCGTACGCGGTATCCCGGCCCCAGTCCTGGCTGCAGCCCTGGGCCACAGTTCCCAGGAGGCCCCGGCACTGATGAGAATGGTTTTGGGGGTCCCCACAGGCCCAGTTTGGCACTCTCTCTGACTACTTTGATGCCCTGTACAAGAGGACGGGGGTGGAGCCAGGGGCCCGGCCTCCGGGGTTTCCTGTGCTGAGCGGAGATTTCTTCTCCTATGCGGACCGGGAGGACCATTACTGGACAGGCTATTACACCTCCCGGCCCTTCTACAAGAGCTTGGACCGCACCCTGGAAGCCCACCTGCGGTGAGACCGGCAGTGGACGGTGGAGGAAAGCAGAGGGTGGGATCCTGGCTGTGTGGGCAGGTGCTGACTGGTCTCTCTGGGCAGGGGGGCAGAAATCCTGTACAGCCTGGCTGTCGCGCACTCACGCCGCTCCGGGCTGGCCAGCCAGTACCCGCTCTCAAACTTCGCCCTGCTGACGGAGGCTCGGCGCACCCTCGGGCTTTTCCAGCACCACGACGCCATCACTGGCACTGCCAAGGAGGCCGTGGTGGTGGACTACGGGGTCAGGTGGGAGCCCTGTCCCCTCCCCTAGGCTCCATGCCCCTGCCCAGCCCTCACGGAGCCTCGCCCCACTGGCTCCGTGGATAGTGTCTGGTCATCTTCCCCCACGGTCTCTCTCCTACCCCCAGGCTGCTGCGCTCCCTTGTCAGCCTGAAGCAGGTCATCATTAACGCAGCTCACTACCTGGTGCTGGGGGACAAGGAGACCTACCACTTCGACCCCGAGGCACCCTTCCTCCAGATGGTGAGCCCGTCTTGGGTCTGCTCGGGGGACCCTCTGGTGTGTGCAGTCTCTTCCCAAGAGCTGGGGTATTAGGGTGTGTCTCCTTCTCCTTCCCTGACCTGGGGTGAAGATCTGTGCCCGGTGCAGCTGGCAGCCCCCATCCAGGACAGACTGGGGGTGGGGAGGTGGCAGGATGCTGAGTCAGGCCAAGCCTCACGCTGGCTCTTCCCTTCCCACCCACTTAATTCCAGGACGACACCCGCTTAAATCACGATGCCCTGCCAGAGCGCACGGTGATCCAGCTGGATTCCTCGCCCAGGTGAGCCAGACCAGCCCAGGTACAGAGCAAAGGTCCCCAGCACCCTCCCACCCCCACACCTGACACCCAGGAGTGGTCTCCGGGGCGAGCTCACCTTCCACCCGCAGGTATGTGGTGCTCTTCAACCCGCTGGAACAGGAGCGGCTCAGCGTGGTGTCCCTGCTGGTCAGCTCGCCCCGGGTGTGTGTGTTTTCGGAAGAGGGTCAGCCCCTGGCCGTGCAGATCAGCGCACACTGGAGCTCCGCCACGGACATGGTCCCTGACGTCTACCAGGTGAGACGGGCTCAGCAGGTGGGCCCTGGCCCTCCGCTCCTCCTTGGCCTCTGTCCTTCAGCACCAGCCTCCCACCTTCCTGCCATCTCCCCGGGTTGGGGACAGGAATCCTGGGGGGAGGGCTTGCCCAGAGGACGGTCACTTGTGGGATTTGAGTCTGGCCCCGAAGGGAAGATGGTGTCGTATAGTCAAAATGGCATTTCATCGCTCCATCATTCATTCTTTAACAAACCTTTACTGAAAGCTGGGTGTGCAGTTAACACTTCATAGTTTTTCCAACATAGCTTGAGAGTCCTAACAGTCTGATAAGGGGCAAATAACATCACTTCTACTTTCAGAGGCGGGGATGGAGGCCTTGTGGGTACGGGGACTTGCTTGGGCCCCAGGCCCAGGGTCCCAGGCCTGCATCTGGAACTGACACCCAGGCGGTGGCCTCTGCTTCCTCACCCCTGTGCCAGCAGGTGTCTGTGCCCATCCGCTTGCCAGCGCTGGGCCTCGGCGTGCTGCGGCTGCAGCTGGGCCTGGACCGGCACCGCACCCTGCCGTCCTCCGTGCGCGTCTACCTGCACGGCCGGCAGCTGGCGGTCAGCAGGCACGAGGCATTCCCTCTGCGCGTCATCGACTCCGGCACCGGCGACTTCGCCCTCAGCAACCGCTACATGCAGGTCTGGTTCTCAGGCCTTAGCGGGCTCCTCAAGGTAAAGGGCCAGGGCGGGGCCAGAGGAGGGCGTGCTTGCTGCGGGCCGTGCATGCCAACACCCGCCGACGACCTGGGAGAGGGCACCCCAGCGGCGAGCGCACCTCGGGGACTGGGCTCGGCTCCTGGGGGAGTTCGTCCGTGCCCTCCCGGGGGCAGGCCTGACATGCCGGTGTGGGGCCAGGGGTCAGGGCTGTGTTTTTTGGCAGAGCATCCGAAGGGTGGATGAGGAGCAGGAGCAGCGCGTGGACATGGAGTTCCTCGTCTATGGCACCCGCACGTCCAAAGACAAGAGTGGAGCCTACCTCTTCCTGCCTGACGGCGAGGCCCAGGTACCCTAAAGGCACCTCGAAAACCCCAGTGGGCCCCACAAACAGGGCACAAGGAGACCTGTGAACGGAGGCAGAGGGGAGGGCTCGCCTTCCTCCAGGGTGGGGCCTGCCTGCTGGGGGCCTTGCCTGGGCTGTCTCTGGGAGAGGTGAGGAGCTCAATCTGGGGGCTTCCGCCTAACTCTGTTGGGGGTCTCTGACCAGAGCCTGCAGGAACTACTTCTCTGCCTGGCCCTGGGCTGGTACCTCCTTGCCTTGCTCTGTGCTGTGGGTTCAGCTGCCGCCTGCTCTTTCCCCAGCCCTACGTGCCCAAGGATGCCCCTGTGCTGCGTGTCACCGAAGGCCCTTTCTTCTCAGAGGTGGTGGCGTTCTACGAGCACGTGCACCAGGTGGTCCGGCTCTACAACCTGCCAGGTGCGCCCTGCAGATAAGGAAGGTCGGAAAGGAGGTGTGGGCCTCAGGGGCTGTCACGTTCTGCCTTCTGCCCGTTCTCTGTTCATACCCCTGTTCCTGGCGAATTATCATTCGAGGCAGGATGCTGCTTAATTAATTCTCTCGGCATAAGGTCGTCCAGGAGTAAAGGCTGGGGATGGCCTGGGGGTGGGCACAGCCTGTCCAGCTGTCTCTCAGGCTGTGGCTCATTGTCACTCTGTCCCCGTGCCTAGGGGTGGAGGGGCTGTCTCTGGACGTGTCATCCCTGGTGGACATCCGGGACTACGTCAACAAGGAACTGGCCCTGCGCATCCACACAGACATTGACAGCCAGGGCACCTTCTTCACAGACCTCAATGGCTTTCAGGTGATTTCTGGGGCCCAGGCCCTGAAGACCCCACAGAATATAACTTGGACTATGTTTTGCTTCCCTCAGGGCACCAGGGCAGGGGTGGTCTGTCTGTGCTGAGAGAGGAGGGGGACCAGGCAGGAGTGATCAGAGACTCCTTCAGACTGGGGACCCTCTGGGGCCCAAGTAGGCGTCCGAGTGCCCTTGACCTGCTGGTCTTGCCCCACAGGTGCAGCCCCGGCGGTATTTGAAGAAGCTGCCCTTACAGGCCAACTTCTACCCCATGCCGGTCATGGCCTACATCCAGGACGCCCAGAATCGGCTCACCCTGCACACAGCCCAGGCCCTGGGCGTCTCCAGCCTCCATGATGGTGAGTGAGGAGCAGGAGCTCTTTGGAGGTCAAGGACGAGAAAGGGCATCCTGCCCCGAGGCCTCTCCACTCTAGTCTTTCCCTTCCTTCCCGTCTGAGTCCCCTCCAAGGGAGAAGAGGTGAACTGGTCACAGCCATCAGTCGCAGGTGCTGGGGGAAGGCAGACACTGTCACCCTCTCCCCTGACAGGCGCCTGGGGGCGGATGCCCTGTTGGATGCCTTCAAGAGGCATCAGGATATTGAATGGCGATTCTCAACTGAGGTGTGCAGCCCCCTCTGGCCAGGGATGGGAGAGGGACAGTTGGAAAAGTGCATCGATGTTGCAATGAAATATTGAGCAGAGGAGAAAAATATGTAGTTTTCCTACTCATGGTCATTAAAAAAGAAAATGACATTCTTAAGAATCAAAACAAGGGCAGGAGGGACGATAGCCTGGAGCTAGTCAGCCAGGCAAGCCCAAGAGTCTCCGTGCCCTCGGGCCATGTGAACAGCTGGCACTTGATGGCCACTGAGGCCTTCAGATCTTCCTTCCAGAAGGAGCCTTTGTCCAGGCTCTGGGGGGCCGGTGGTGGGCGCAGTGCGGGGAGGGGGTGGTGGTGTGTGGCTCTGCTGCCCCTTCTCCCAGGATCACCCAGCCGTAAAACTTTCCCGTGGTCTGTCCCCTAACTGAACCGTGTCCCCACTTAGCTCTCTCTGCCCTTCTGGGGAACAGCGTGCTAAAAAATGATTGTTTTATTTTATTTTATTTTTTAATTTATTGACTTGAGAGAGAGAGAGAAACATGAATTGTTGTTTAACTTATTTATGCATTCATTGATTGATTCTTGTTTGTACCCTGACCGAGGATCAAACCTGAAACCTTGGTGCATTGGGATGACGCTCATACCAACTGAGCGACCTGGCCAGGGCCTAAGAAATGACTTTTATATGCCAGGAGTCCGTTTCCGATTTTTCGACTATCTTTCTGTGATTGCTCAGGGTAAAGAGCCGGGGCTGTATGGTGGGAAGGCGGACAGGGTCATCTTTGTGGGCTCTGCTCAAGAGATTCTTTAAAAAGCAGGCGCTGGGAAAACCTTCATCTCAGCATGCCAGCTTTGCAGCAGCTCTGTCCTCCAGCTTATTTAAAAAAGAAAGCCCAGGCGATCTGTCTCTTTTCCTCAGGGCAACCCCAAATGACACCTCGTTTGAGCCTGCCTGACTTGCCACCTGACTATCCTCTGCAGACGTCCTGACTGACGGGGCAGGCAGAGCCGGGGCCTGTCCTCTGCAGACCTCCTGACTGACTGACGGGGCAGGCAGAGCCGGGGCCTGTCCTCTGCAGACCTCCTGACTGACTGACGGGGCAGGCAGAGCCGGGGCCTGTCCTCTGCAGACCTCCTGACTGACTGACGGGGCAGGCAGAGCCGGGGCCTGTCCTCTGCAGACCTCCTGACTGACTGACGGGCAGGCAGAGCCGGGGCCTGTCCTCTGCAGACCTCCTGACTGACTGACGGGGCAGGCAGAGCCGGGGCCTGTCCTCTGCAGACCTCCTGACTGACGGGGCAGGCAGAGCCGGGGCCTGTCCTCTGCAGACCTCCTGACTGACTGACGGGGCAGGCAGAGCCGGTGCCTGTCCTCTGCAGACCTCCTGACTGACTGACGGGGCAGGCAGAGCTGAGGTCTGTCCTCTGCAGACCTCCTGACTGACTGACGGGGCAGGCAGAGCCGGGGCCTGTCCTCTGCAGACCTCCTGACTGACGGGGCAGGCAGAGCCGGGGCCTGTCCTCTGCAGACCTCCTGACTGACGGGGCAGGCAGAGCTGGGGCCTGTCCCCGCGTACAGCACTGGCGGGAGCGTGTGTTCTCCGCCCAGCAGAATCTGCCCAGCCCGAGTAAACCTGCCCAGTCAGGGCCTTCGCAGCAGCTGCTGAAGGCTGGCTGGCAGTAGCAGTCGTGCATTTGCTTGTTAGTTTGTTTACATAGCCTGTCTAGACGTGGCCCTGCCTGGACATCTGGCGGGCCCCACCCGGGAGTCAGGGAGCAGGGGCAGTGACTGCCAGGGCTGGCCTGCTCCCTCCAGGTCTCTGGTTTCCTCCTCGGTGCTGCCAGCTCATGGCCCCAGGGCATCCTTTTCTCCTGAGTGAGTCAGCTTCCAGCTCTGCGCTTTCCCCCAGGTTCCGTGGTTGGGGTTCTTCCAGAGGTGACTGTCTGCTTGGGCTGGGGACTCACAGTTCACTTCCGCAGGCCAGCTGGAGGTGATCTTGGACCGGCGGCTCATGCAGGACGACAACCGAGGCCTGGGCCAGGGGCTCAAGGACAACAAGAAAACCTGCAACCACTTCCGCCTACAGTTGGAGCGGCGCACCCTGGGCAGCGAGGTGCAGTCAGGCCCCCCCAGGGTGGGTGGTCCTGGGTGCCAGCAAGGGCTTGAGCATAGCTAGAGCTGGGCAGGGATGGCGAGAGTATGGCTGGATTCCTGGGTCTAGGGGAGTGAGTGTGACGCTCTGAAGCTCCATCTCGTGCAGCCTGGCACCTCCCTCCCCACCGCACCCTGTCTCCTGTGCCCTCATGGTCATCTCCCACCTTTCTCTCTGCACCTCCCCCGCCCTCCCCTCAGCTCCCTTGTTCTCCAGTCTTCTCTGCACCAGCCTCGCTCATCTCATGGCTTTCTTTGCCCCCACCAGCCTGGCTTTTTCTCCACACTGGCAGCCCTGGTTAGGGACTTGGTCTTTCACAACAGCAGGAGCAGTGACCGAGAGGTAAGGGCCCGCAGGGTGCTGAACTAGTGTCAGCAAGAGCGGCCGGAGCTGGAGCCCGCGATGACGGCCCGCCGTCCGTCTCCCGTGTCTGCCTCAGCCAGAACCTGAGCTCTCAAGTGCTTAAGACACTGACTCTGCTCTCTGGGAGTTTATTCGTGGGTACAGTGGGGGATGGGCCACGAGTGTAGAAATATTAGGTACAAAATGGGTGTGTCCACTGGTCCTGAGGAGACAGAGAGCATTGTGGGCCCAGGGGATCAAAGACAGCTTCCTGCCCTGGCCAGTCTGGCTGAGTGGTTAGAGCGTCAGCCCACAGACCAAAGAACAGCTTCCTGGAGGAGGCGGGGCTTGGATGAATGACGGCCTGATCTCCACACGTGACCCAGGGTACAGAGCAGGAAAGACCACTTGAATGAGAAGTAGCCATGAGTTCACTTAGACCAGAGCTGTCTACTGTGGTAGCCACTAACCCCATGTGGCTATTTAAATTAATTAGCGCTAAATACAATAACTGGTTCGTTCTTCATTCGTACTGGCCACATTCAAGTGCTCAGTGGCCACATGTGGCTAGTGGCTACCTCATGAGCATAGTTACAGCATATTTCCATTATTGCAGGAAGTTCTGGCCAGCACTGGTCCAGCATCGCGGTAGGTTGGGGCAGACTGCAGTGGGCTTTGAATTCATGGCTAAGAGTCTAGACTCTGGCCCTGGCCTGTTTGGCTCAGCTGTTAGAGCGTCGGCCTGTGGTCCAGAGAGACCTGGGTTTGGTTCCCGCTAAGGGCGCGTACCTCGGTTGCAGTTTGTCCCCGGCCCTGGTTGGGTCGTGTGGGTGGCAGCCACTCGATGTGTCCCTTTCACATCAATGTTTTTCTCTCTCTCTCTCCCCTTCCCACTCTGTCTGAACAAAAAATGGAAAAATGTCCTTGGGTGAGGATAAAAAGAGTCTAGACTTTGTGCTGGAGGCCAGGGAAAGATCTGAGGTGGGAGGGACATTGCTGGAACTCCGCCCTAAGCATGTCACTGTAACAGCAGGGGATAGGATGGATCTGTGGGAAGACAGTTTACAGGCCTTCAAGCAGGAAAGCACAGCGGGGGGCCCTGGGCCGTGGAGGATCTCTCGGAGGGCCTTCTCCATCAGAGGCCCCGACGCCCTGGGGAAGCACACATCGGTCTGCCTGCCACCCTCCCTGCACTGAGAACCTCTGTGTGACCGGAGGTGGTGCCGATGGAGTGTGTTGTTCAGGGCAGTGTCATGGCAGCGAAAAATCCCTGGAAGTAGAGAAGGTGTCCTAGGGAAGTAGCCCTTTCTAAGTTGTGTGTGATGGGAACTGGCCACACTTGACGGGTCCTGGAGCCAGGCACCCCTGGTGTCCAGACCCATCAGGGAAGCTCTTTCCAAAGGAACTGACCTGGTTGTTTTATCCTCACCCTCACCTTGGCTCCGTTCCCTCCCCCACATCCCGCAGGTGTCAGAAGGCCACTCTACCAGCTACCCATCCCTGCTCAGCCACCTGACCTCCATGCACCTGAATGCCCCGGCGCTCGCCCTGCCGGTAGCCAGGAGGCAGCCCCCAGCCCCTGCTCTGCGCTCATTTCACCCTCTTGCTTTCTCACTCCCCTGTGACTTCCACCTGCTCAACCTGCGGACGCTCCAGGCGGAGGTGAGTGTCCCGCTCGCCCTGTCCTCACCCAGACTCCTCCCTGCCCAGGACTCCCTCTGGACAGGGGTGCTGCTGTACCTGTGAGCTCGGAGGAGCACCCCCTCCACCGCCTTTGTGCTGTCTGTCATTCAGGAGGAGACCTTGCCCTCGGCAGAAGCTGCGCTCATCTTACACCGCAAAGGTTTTGACTGTGGCCTTGAGGCCAAGAACTTGGGCTTCAACTGCACCACAAGCCAAGGCAAGGTGAGCAGGGCCCCGGTGTGGGAAGGGAGCCCCTGACGAGAGGAGGTAGGGAAGTGGGGCAACAGGGAATAGCAGGCATAAGAGAGGTTGGTGAGACTGCAGTGAGGTCAGGCAGTGATCTGGGGGCAGGGGTCACTCTGGGCGTTTAGAAAGAAAAGGGGAAGCTGCGGACATTCGTTTTCAAAGCTACTGAGGCCTGGCGGGGCAAGTTCTAGAAGAGGCATATAGCTGGACAACTGTCCATGAGAAGAGATGTCCATCAAACAAAGAAAACACAGAAAAGAGAAAGCAAAAGCCATCAGCTCCATTCATGGTTTAAGTGGGCACCGATAAATGCCTCCACGTGCCAGGTCCTCAGACGAGCTCACAGCTCAGTGCAGTGGTTCCGACCCTGGGTGCACAGTCAGGCTCTGGGGCTGAGTACTCGGGGTGAGCCTGGGCCTGGAGGAAGCTGCACGGAGGCACTGCTGAGAGGCCGCAGCGGTTCCGTGGGGAGGAGCTGCCGGGCCGGTGTGTGAGCACCCAGCACGGCCCTGCCTCTTCTCTCCGCGCAGCTGTCCCTGGGGAGCCTCTTCCATGGCCTGGATGTGGGTTTCCTGCAGCCAACCTCCTTGACACTGCTGTACCCTCTGGCCTCGCCCTCCAACAGCACTGACATCTACTTGGAGCCCATGGAGGTCGCCACCTTTCGCCTCCGCCTGGGCTAGGGCTTCCTGGGCCTGAAGAGAAAGTCCATCCACAGAGACGGCCTCTGGCCCAAGGTCGGGTTGGACGAGCCACACTGGGTGTCCTGTCCCGATCTACCTCTCGGAACTGACGGACTGGGCGCCGCCCTCGCTTCCTGTTGATTGTTGCTTCTGTGTTCAGGGGCAGCCCAGGGCCCAGTGCCGATTAGCTAGGGCAGACACTAGTGAGATCCAGGAGAGAAGGCCTTGGTCAGAATGGGCAGGGCCAGCCTCTGCTTCGCGGTGTGAGTGGCTGCCCAGTTGGGCACAGGCTCAAGCACCCATCCTTTCCCCAAAATGGGATGGAGGAGAAGCAGGAAAGGTAGGGGAGGCTGAGTGGGTAACGGCCCAGCCTCAAGGTCCCTGGCTCTCGGGGATCCTGTGGTTGTGTGGGACTGTGTGTCCTGGTGTGATGAGCAGGAGCAGAGGGACGCTGGGAGGAGGGGGGCCCAGAGCTGGCAGCAGGGCGGAAGAGGGGGAATCACCACTTACTGTGATGGCTCCCCTCGTACTCCCCGGCCTGCGTGCCCTGGCTAGGGGCTGCAGCGCGGCAGGAGGACCCACTAGAGACTGTCGTGGCTAGAGGTCACAGGACGCTTCAGGTGCGAAACCCCCATCTCAAACCGGGCACTTGGTCTGTGTGTTGACCTGTGGGATGGTGGCAGGGGCACGGGGGGTCCTCCTCTTTGGTTCCTGTACTCTGTGCACCGTTCCCAAGAGGTCCTTCCAGTCGTGGGGGCATTTGGCCTGACACGCTCCCTTCCCTGGAAAGAAAGCGAAGCCTCCAAGACGCCACGCGCGTGGGCAGCCTGAGGGCTTTTCGCACCACCCCGCAGCCAGGCCACAGCTCACCGTCCGTGCATCTTCCCACGGAAGAGCCTGGTTCCCGGCACAGGGGCCAGGGATATGAGTAGGTAGGAGGCACTGTGGCTGCTCTTCAGCCTTCATTTCTGCTTCGATTAACAGAGAAAAATTTGTGATAGTCTCTATAGATGCTGAAATGACATTGGGCGAATTTCACAATCTCTCTCTTATTAAAACTCTGAAGACTAGAAAGAAACATGCTACTCTAGATGCAGGTTTCTGTCAGAAACCAACAGTTAATGGCATTCCGAAGAGTCACACTCCACAAGCGTCCCTGTTCGTCAGAAGCTAGCCGAGGATTACTGTGTTTCGGGAAGGCCTCGCCCCCTCGCCGCGTGGCTGTGAGGGGGACGGTTGTCGTTACTGTGGATGATAGAAGGGCTGGCCTATAGAATCTAAGTGCGTCGACCGAAGACCTCGTGAGAGCATGCTCCGAGCTGACCCACGATACACATCAATGTCCTGCACAGACCCCGGCTCTCTGCACACAGCCCGGAACGTCATTATGTTCCAGTGATAGCGGATACTTTGGGGGATCTGACAGGTTCTAAAGTGCATTTGGGAGAGTAAACGTGTGACAATACTAAGAGAACTCTGAGTCTAGCGAGTCGGGTGGCCGTGCTGAGGTGGGTGGCAGCCATCTGTCCTACAGGACTTCCTAAAGGATGCGCAAGCGGCCCTGCGTCCACTGTGTGTGTGGCCTGGAGTGGGGGCAGACAGAGACTAGTGGGACAGGTGGGGAGCCCACGCACAGACCCAGGTATTGGGGAATTTAGGACGAAAGCGGTATTGAGGGAAACGATGGGTTACTTAATAAGCAGTACTTGGGGACAGCTGGCTATCACGGACGTGAGTTAGCTCTCTACCTCACAGCTTCCACGAAAATGAGTTCCAGAGGGGAAAAAATAAAAAAGTTAAACTACAAAATTACTGAAGATAATATAGGATATTTTTATACCTCTGGTGTGGGAAGGTTTAATAATAAGGGAAAAGATAGGTTTTACCACAGACATATTCAAGGTTTCTGTATGATGGAAGACACCAAGGTTAAAACACCAATGACAGATTTGGGAGAAAGTATTTGCAGTGCTTAAAAAATTGGGAGTACAATTACTTTAGGAGAAAAGCTTGCTTTGGGGTTCTTAGGGGGAGTCAGTGGGCCTGCTAAGCAGCTCCCTGAAGCTTCAAGAGCTTCAGCAGTTCTTCCAGACCATCCAGGGCTCGTGGAATCCTGCCTATATCATATGGAAGAAATAAGGTTACCAATGTTAAATGCTTAGCACAGTGCCTAGTACCTACAGGAGCTCAATAAACGTGAGCTGTAATACTAGTAAAGGATGCTAAGCAATTACATTATAGCAGGTGTTATTTGCTAGTATAATATAATTTGTAATCAAATGATAAGGGAGAATCTGTGAACCCCCTAGGAAATTAGCAGAATAAAGGCTATTTTCTTTGAAGGTCTTAGATGTGCAAGTTATTCATCTGCCAGGAATGAAAATGTTTATTCCTACACACTGGCCTGATAGAACTACATGGGCAGCACTGCTCAGGGAGCGGTCTAGATCGGCCAGGATTCCATGTTGAAATTCCAGCGTTCTGGCCTGTCCTGACTGGGGCTGCTCCTTCGGCATGAACGCTGCAATGCCGAGGGTCGGTGGAGCCAAGCTCCGGTGACCTGAGTCTGACATGGGACAAGAACAAGAAATAAACCCTAACTAGTACATAAGGGCCAAGGCAGATTCCTGGGCACAACCTATTGAACCCATCTCTGGGAGCAGGGGGCCAAAGGATCTGCATTTTAACAAGCTCCTAGGTGATTCTTTTGCACACAAAATTAGGCCTCTAATTTTAAGGCAAGCAGCACCCCTTGACCATGGAGCTCTGGCACTGAGGCCTCAAGGTTTTGACAGGTAACAGTCAAAGCTGGAACCAGGACCTAATGCAGAAGCAACTTCAACCACAGGAAATGGATGGAATCGGTTCCTCTCGCACCTCTCCATCCACCTCAAACCACCCCATTTCCATGGAGGGCCGTATGGCTAGTTGGAGCCATGAAGAGAACGGCAGATTCAAACTAAGAACTGGGTCCTCCAATGCAGGCTGAACCAGGCTGAGACGGACCTCTGATTTGGCTTGCGCAGTGGGTGAGTATAACCTTGAAGTTAATCTCAAGTGGTTCAGAGCAAAAAAGTTACTTTTCCTGTACTTCCAACTTTTCTGATGGTTTTTAATTTAAAAAATAAATATCTTCTATATTGGCTCAAACCGTTTAAGGAGGCCTCACACTCATAGTCCAAATCCACTAGCCATTTCAGACCTCATCTTTACCATATCCAGTGGTTAGAGTGACCACAAGTGACTAGGCCCAGCAGCATGGCAACTAGAGAGAGATTCTGGTCCGATTCTGCCACTATTCTTCTTTGTGATGAACAAGTCTCATCTCTTGAGTTTCTGCAGAATGAGAGTAATCCCTGCCCTACCCTGCCCTGCCCTGCCCTGCCCATTTCATCTGGTTATAAAGAACATGACATAACATGTGAGATTTGTAAAACATAAAGCACCTTGGGACAGTCTATCTTTTCATTCTGAAGGGACAGAGGGGTTCAGGTTGAAATGTGCTGAAATTTACATTTTAAACCACTTAAAGACTGCAGAATGGCCCTGGCCGGTTTGGCTCAGCGGTTAGAGCGTCGGCCTGCGGTCCCGAGAGACCCGGGTTTGGTTCCTGCTAAGGGCATGTACCTCGGTTGCAGTTTGTCCCCGGCCCTGGTTGGTCGTGCAGGTGGCAGCCACTCGATGTGTCCCTTCACGTCGATGTTTCCCTCTCTCTCTCTCTCTCCCTCCCACTCTGTCTGGACAAAAAATGGAAAAATGTCCTCGGATGAGGATTAAAAAAAAAAAAAAAAAAGACTGCAGAATGGTTTTAAAAGTTCAGTAAATACTGTGTTTAAAATCCTGTAATCCCACCCCCTGAAAAACTAAACACACCAAACCCCACATTTTCCAAAAACCACTGTACCCTGCACTGCCTAAAGAGGGTTACACTTCTGAACTTTATCCGTTTATCTGGGTCTGTCCTGAAACTTGTTTCCTTTTTTTTTTATCCTCTTCAGAGACCATTTTTCCATTTGTCTTCAGATGGAGCGGGAGGGAAAGGGACACCAAAGCGAGAGAGACACGTGGCTTGGTGGCCTCCCGCGCAACCCCGGCAGGGCTGGGGCTCAGCCCGCATATGTGCCGGGGCCCCCAATCGAACTGGAGACTCTGGTCCACTGGCCGAGGCTCTACCCGCTGAGCCAAACCAGCCAGGTCGCAACTGTTTCCTTTTAATCTTGTTGTTGCCCTTTGTTTGTTTTCTTGCAGAAACCGCATCGGGCCTTCTTTGGGCGAAAAACCATCGTGGTCCAGAACGAAGCGGCTTTGCCAGAACCATTTCTTCCTCCCCCGCGTGCACGCTTCAAGGGCCTAATAAACTGCAGCGGCTCATCGGGACCACAACCCGATCCCCCCACGCACGCCCCCTCCCCCCACGCACGCCCCCTCCCCCCACGCACGCCCCCTCCCCCCACGCCTCTCCCAGACCCCGCCCACCGCCGGGCTCCGCCGAAGGGGCCGCTTCCGGAGCAGCCCGGAAGTCCCTGTGGCTTAGCAACCAAAGGATTCCTGCAAGGTGACAGGGCTGCGACCCGCTATGTGAGGGACCTGCAGCCCCCGTTGGGCCTGTCGTGTTGCTGGGGTCTCTCCCCTGCTCAGCAGGGGCTCCAAGTAAGCGGGCAGCACTGCTTCCGATGCACCTGCCCCCTGGCCCCGTTTCCGAACGAGGACTGGCGCTTTGTGAACCCCTGTGTCAGGCTCCGTCGGGCGTATCGCCTAAGGTGACCCTGAGAATGGTCCAACCTTCCAGGCTCAGAGAGGTTGAGACCCTCAACCCGAGGGATCTGTTTCAGGGTGCAAGGCAGGCATCCCACGTACCAGTTCCCCACTCCAGAGTCTAGAGAAGCAACTTAAACTCTACCCAAAATGCTTTATTTTCCATAATACTAAGAACTCGTGTTTATATAAGCCCAAGCATCTAAAGGACCAAGATCCCACCTCGCAAAATGGCAAACAGATCCAAGGCCCGAAGGGCAGGGAATACAAGGAGAAATGAATGGGGTGCGACTCAAAGTCCAGGCTCAGCTTTGTTGGCAGGAGACCTTCCAAGTGAGAAAACGCAAATGTTTTTGGCTGCTGGCCTGAGGGAACCATGCAGGGAGCCCGAGAGGTGCCCAAAGGCTGGAGTATGACTCCCCTCTGGCCTGGACAAGGCTGGAGTCTGTGCGACCGGATGGCTCCATGCACTGCTCAGAGTGTCAACCCCCGCTCCTTAAACAGCTGCTTTAGAGCATCTTCCAGCTGCCGGTTTGTTCCCTGAAGCCCCTTCACCACCTGCGCCGCCCACTCGAAGTATTCCTGGACTCGATGTTCAGACCATCCTGCATGTGAATGGACAGACAACTGCTCGTGAAAGGTCCAGGGCAGCACTGGATTCTGCCAACTTCCTGGAGGCCTTGGTGCAGGGCCACGAGACGGCTTCTCGATGGTACGATTTGTTCCCCAAACTTCCCTTTGGCCCAGCTATAGTATTTCTGCCCTATGAAAGCAGATCAGTGGTCTTGTGGGATTAGTTCGGGGAATTAACCAGAACACTCAGGCATTTTTTTTTTCCCCCCCAGGGGAACCGAGCAACCTGGCCCTCCAGTAAATGGACCCTCCCCGTTCCCTCAGAGCAGGTGGGGGAGCCTACCCTCTGGGGTGCAGCGATTCAGGTCCCTCAGATTATACAGCTTGTCCGCCAGCTTCACCAGTTTAGCCCCTGGGCTGCTGTGGGGAGCGTGCTCCACCTGCAGCCTCTTTCTCTCCAGCTTGGGCAGGGTCTTGTCATCTGTTACCTCCTCCACCAGACGCCGCACCTGGGCCCCGAAGTGCAGCTCCACCTCATCCAGGGTGGTGTCTGTGTCCTCCACCGTGTCATGGAGCAGGGCTGCCTGGGGACAGGCTTCCACTCAGCCCTGTGAGGCCAGCCAAGGGGTACCCAAAGCTGAATGGGGTCCCTGATCCCCACCCCAGCCTCCTTCAGAGGAGGAGGAGAGTTACCTGTAACACCACAATGTCAGTGATTCCCGCCTCGTGGGTCAGGATCCGAGCCACACCTGACGGGTCAAAGCAGGAAGTCAGACCGGAGAGGTCCCAGGCCCGAGTGCTGTGGGTTTTGGAGAGCCAGATGTGGCACCTCTCTAACTGGATGACCTCGGGCAAGTCCTTTACTCTCTTCGGGTGTCAACCATCCACAGGGAACAGTCATGCCTACCGCCCCGATTGTTAGGCTTAAATGCCTGGCACAGAGCCTGATGCAGAGTAGGTGCTCATGAAGTGCACGCCTCCCCACCCCCCGACGCCGCTGCTGTTGCTCCCAGGACTGCACGCCCACCGATAGGGTGGTTGATGTAGGGGGTCCCTTCGGGGTCCTTCCGTCGCTGCCGTCGGTGCTTGTGAGCCGCGAAGTCCGCAGCTTCCAGCAGCTGCGCCGCCTCGGAGCCCATCGCGCGGGTGGGGCGAGCGACTGAGAGCCAGAGAGTACTGGAACCTGGGGCGAGCTCCACCGCGCCCCCTGGCGCCGAGGAGGCCGGGATTGTGGAATCGGGTTTCTCTTGTGGGTCCATCCTGGTGTGTGGGGCAGCCCCTGGTTCAGTGCGCTTTGCTAGGGGCTCAAGAAGAACATGGCCTGTTTCTCTGAGACCACATAGTTTCAGGGGAGGAGGAAGTCAGAGAAGAAATAAGACCATGCCCTCGCAGTGTGCCGAGTTCAGGGCATAAAAGGCACAGATGACTGTTACTGAGGTGGAAGGGCAATTCACCTAGCCTCAAGGTCAGAGCCAGCTTTTCCCAGGAGGGACTTGTCCCCCCATGAAAAGACAATCTCCAATCTGAAAATTCTCAAAGTGCTCTAAAAATAATTATCCGGGCAGGGATGGGCCTGGTTGCTATAGGCAGGAGAGCCTCACTTTTGGACCCAGAAGACCCTAGGGCCCGACCTTCTGGAAATTGGAGCCTGTGCTGGAAGCCTGGCTGAGTTGCTTCAGATTTAGGCTCCCAGGCAGCAGTGATGTTTCAGCATGAACTGTCTTCTTTGCTCTCAGGAGCTGGGACAAAATTTGCATTTCTTTCTTGTGCCATAAGTGTTCCCACCTCAGTCCCCAGGCACCTGCTGTGGGCTCTGGGGTGATGTGTGTTGCCACTGCTGTTCTGGGAGCATGATGTTGATAGGCGCTAAACATTGCTGGCAGGTGGCCTCTGGCCTTCTGAAGAAAGTCCTTATTGGGGGACAGCAGCTATGAGGTATGAGGGGTAACAGGACCTGGAGACCCTGGAAGAGCTTTCCCTGTGACATGGGGTCAGCTAGTTGCTAAGTAAACTCCAATCAGAAAGGTGGCTTTTGTGGTTTGGTTGGCAGCTGGGGCAGATGAGGGCTCGGAGAAAGTCAATGAAAGGACTTGCGGTTTTCAGCTAGTCTTGGTGGTTGCCACGATGCAGAAGTTAGGAAGGTTCCAAACACTTGAACTGAGTCCTCTGGGGCCTGAAATGAAACAATCAGAATTCCCAGTGCCTCCTCAGTAGCTGGGAAGTTGAGAGTGGGTAGAGAGAAACCTATCTGGTTCTAAAGGCTTTTCTGTTCTTTAGGCTGATGGCTCAACTGCTTTCTCACTCCTCATTCTGTCCTCTAGTCTTCTGAGCCTTTCCCCTACAGCTCAGGAAATCTGGGGAAGCTTGGAGCCACAGTCCCCACATCTTTTCAAGAGAAGACAGAAACTCAGTGACTTTCAACTCTCTTTAGAGGTCTGTGACAGAGAAGCGTCTGGTCTGTGTTCTTAGTGCCCAGGGGCCCTGGGGCTTTGATTGTTACTTCCTTATGGTCTGCAGCCGTGTTGGGGTTCCTAGAACTAGAACAGAGGTGGAGGTGACCTCTCCAGGGTTTCCAGAGGAGGCTGCCTGTGGGGCTACTGCTGCTCTTCAGCTGGATGACCTCTGCCCAGCCGACTTCTCTATCAGGGACAGCAGTCTCCTCCTTACCCCCTATCCCTCATCCCCCTGCAGGTCCCTTACTCTTTCAGCAGGACCTGAACTATTCTGGGGAAGCTTGTTGGGAGGAAGGGAGCCTACCCTTCTGATAATGGCTGATCCCTTTCACTCTCCCAGAGGGATGGAGTAGGGTGTGGGCAGACTGTTTCTGCCTGTCTCCAGCCCCTTTGCCTTTCCCTTCAGCATTGGCTCAGCACCTTCACTGTGCCAGACCACCCAAGATGCCAATGGCCACCACTACCCTGGTTTCTTCTATCCTCGGCTCTCTGATACTCCGGAGGAAGCCTACTGCTGCCACCTGCAGGCTGCAGGAGGCTCCTGATGCACCCGGGCTGAATTTGAGGCCCTACTCCAGGTCAACCTGCCTACTCTTCAGCTTCAGCTTATCCTCCGGTGAGAACTCCAGCCCCAAAGCCATGGGAACACTGCCAGGGGGTTCCAGGATCTGGGGCTCTGTTCCTAAATTCCGGGTGGGAGGCTTGTAGCTTACAGACCTCAAACAGGAAATCACGTTAATACTTGATTACAAACAATTCCATGAAGGAAAAGTTAAGGGGCCGTGAAAGCGGGTAACGGAGCCGTGCATGCGTTATGGGGAGAGGGTCAAGACTGTCAGGATCTTGTACTGCGCGGATTACACACACCACAGTCTGGGTTTGCAATCTTGAATCTTTCCATGGGTGGCTTGAGGGTACCTGTGAGCCCCGTGAATCTGTATTTACAAATTCTGCGTTTGTGGGGGCAGGGGGGCGAGCTTTCTCTGGACTCTCAGGGGCTCTGCGACCCATTGGCTGCCCTAGCGAGAGCCAGCATCCTGATACTGTCCCCTCTCCCAGAGGCCCACTCCTAGCGCTGGGCCTCTACAGCTGCTGCTCGCGACCCTCGTGATCGCAGACCTAGTGCACTTCTGCCGCGGTCGGGGCGGGGCTGCTGCGGGTCGCCCTCCAGGTGTTCCGCCGCGCCCCCTGCAGGTCTCTCGTCGAACAGACCCGGCGCACCAGGGCTTCTCTGCGCCTGCGGAACCGCTGAGCGCCCCGCCCCTCGCCTGCGCACGCACGCTCTGGCCCCGCCCCCTCTCGGCTACCGCCTCTGACGCCAGACTGGGGCGGGGCAGTCGACCACGGATTCCGGGGCCTGGACTCAGCCGCCCAGACACTGCGACTGCGCGCGCCCGGGACGTCTTCGGCATGACAGTGAGTGGTCCAGGGGTGTCCCCCTAACCCCGGCCCACCGTCCCGGGGATACCTACCCATCCCTCCCCCGCGCCCTCATCACTTCGCTCCTTCCCTGACCATTCCCGAGCCGCCGCCTCCCCCAGTCTTGTCCCTCCATGGAGCTGGCCCCGCCCCCAGCCTCCTCGCCCCCAGCTCCAGGCTCTGCCTGAGCCCACCCCCGTTCCCCCGCTTCCCTCCACAGGCCAGCTCAGTGGAGCAGCTGCGGAAGGATGGCAACGAGCTGTTCAAATGCGGGGACTACGAGGGCGCCCTGACGGCCTACACCCAGGCCCTGGGGCTGGGTGCGACGCCCCAGGACCAGGCCATTCTGCACCGGAACCGGGCCGCCTGCCACCTTAAGCTGGTGAGGGATCCTGCTGCGCTTCCCCTGACCTGCCGGGTCTGTTTTGTCCTTCTCGCCACTGCATGGGCCCTGGCTGAATATTCACCCTCTCAGGCCACCCACACCTGTGGGAGGGATGTCTTTTGGGCTTACCGTGGTAGGGGATCCGGTGATTCTGGAGAACGACCCTGCTGCCCAGGGAGTGCTTCCAAAAGGAGATGAACGATCAGTCAGAGTCTGGTTTTTTCTTTTACAGGAAGATTACAACAAAGCAGAAACCGAGGCTTCCAAAGGTAGGGAATGTGCCCCGTGTGGAGCTGTGGGGCCTCTGTGGTGGGCAAGGGTTCTGGGGGACCACTGCATGATCACATCCTCCTCCTTTCCCCCTGAAACACATCTGCCTTCTTTCCCACTCGTTGGGCATTTCCTTTTCTGCAGCTACCCTCACCTCTTCTGAGGCTGAAGTGCTGAACCCCACATGCGTCCCCCCACCTTCCTCTGGCCCTCGAGATCTTTCCCTACTGCTCTTACCTGGAGACGGTGGCCTCATGGGTGCTGACAGAGGTCCTGTTTGTGCTCAGCCATTGAAAAGGACGGTGGGGATGTCAAAGCACTTTACCGGCGGAGCCAAGCCCTGGAGAAGCTGGGCCGCCTGGACCAGGCTGTCCTTGACCTGCAGAGATGTGTGAGCCTGGAGCCCAAGAACAAAGTTTTCCAGGAGGCCCTGCGCAACATCGGGGGCCAGATCCAGGAGAAGGTATGTGAGTGACTGAGAGAGAGCACGGCATTGACTGGTGGCAGAGGAATACTGGTAAATGGATCTGGGTCACATGGTAGCCCTAAACCCAGACATCCTCACTGGGCTTCCCAAAGACAGGAGCCAGGCCCTGGGAGGAGCAGAGAGAACAAAAAGAGAATGTGTTGTCTCTGGCCAAAGGTGGTAAATGGATCTGGGTATAAACACAGTTCTGCAGAGAGGACATGCTGATGGCACATGAGCTAACAGAATGATGCTTGACTTTGCCAGTGGGTAGGGAAAAGCAAATTAAAATAACAGCAAGGTACTGTTTTTTCATTGGTCTGTTTGGCACTATTTAAAGTTTGTACACTTTGCTAGAAGGAGGGAGACAGACACATAAGTGGTGAGGTTGTGGGGGCATGGGCCTGCTCGTGGCTTCTGGAGAGGGTACAAGTTGGTACAGCTTCTTGGAAGAATACTTTAGCATCTCTCTTAAAATTGTAAATGAGCACATCCTGTGATCCAGTGTGTTTACTTGTCACCCGTAAAGTCGTGCCCATATACACAAGCAGGCGTGTGTATTTATTGCAGCCTTGTTGTCTTAATGAGAAATTGGGACTTGCCTAATGCTCAGCAATAGGGGAATGGCTGAATGAACTGGGCAGTGTCCTCACTACAGACTCCTATGTTGTCGTTACTGAGCATAGAAGATCCACATGCATAAACGTGGAAAGCTGACCCTTGTTAAACGAAAACAGCAAAAAGTCCAATAACACATATGGTATGATGTCCTTTACAGTAAAATGATTTCCCTACATACATGCCCAAAACAGTGCTATATATTTTCTGTATATACACTTGGGTATGTAAATATGAAGAAAAATAATTTAAGTCTGGCCGGTGTTGTTCAGTGGCTGAGCGTTAACCCATGCACCAGGAGGTCGCCGGTTTGATTCCTGCTCAGGGCACATGCCCAGGTTGTGGGCCCGTCCCCAGTGGGGGGCATGCAGGAGGCGGCCAGTCAATGTTCTCTCTCATCGATGTTTCTATCTCTCTCTCCCTCTCTCTTCCTCTCTCTCAAATCAATAAAGGAAATTTCTTTTAAAAAAAACCCAATAATTTAAAAGGTACACATCAAAGTGTTAACAGTGCAACCTCCGGGGAAAGGAATGGGATGAGGGAGCTTTTAAAAGGAGACTTGGTTTCATCTGTTAATTTTTTTTAAAGAGGCATTATTTATGTGTCATGTACATTTAAATAATTTAGGAGAAAAGAATCTAAAGCCAATCATAAACTCTAATCAAGCTTGGACTAACCAGAAAATTTGGTGTTAAAATCCTGAAACAGTAGAAGCAAGTAATATGGTGGCAAATACCTTACTGAAATGTGGAGACCTGGGGAAGCAAACTGTGTTCCCCTCAGTGCCAGCTCTGTTTGATTGGCAGGGTCTGCCTAGAGCCCTGTGTTGAGAAAGATTAGAGGGCAAGTCACTGGGGCCTGGCAGGAGAGTGTGCTGTGACTGATTAGTCATGTCTGCCATGATTGCAAGATGGGAAGGGGGTGTGCAGCACACACATGCGGCTTGTGCCACCATCCATGCCCAGGACCATGGGGAGGAGAGGCCTGGGATGGTCTTGATCATTACAATTATTTATAAATACTCGGAGTATTTCTAATAGTCGACCTAAGGGGAGTGTTGACAACTACCTCATGACCTCCTGGCTCCCTTGCAGGAAGTATAAATGCTGCCACAATATTGATGGCATCACTGGGAGTGGGTAGCCTCTGGCTAACAGGATGCCTCACCTTCTGAATGGCACCGCCTTCAGCACGGTGCCGCCCCTGCTGCCAAGCGGGAAGTCGCCCAGAGAGGAAAATAGCTGAGGGAAGTTGGGGAGAAGCTGCCAGGCGAGTCTCTTCCTGCCCATGGTAGCCCTAAACCCAGACATCCTTGCTGGGCTTCCAGAGACGGGAGCCAGGCCCTGGGAGGAGCAGAGAGAACAAAGAGGGAATGTGTTGTCTCTGGCCAAAGGTGGTGATTTGTTCAACGCTTTATTGGTTTGTCACAGGTGCGATACATGTCTTCGACGGATGCCAAGGTGGAACAGATGTTTCAGATCCTACTGGACCCGCAAGAGAAGGGCACTGAGAAGAAGCAGAAGGTAAGGGGCCTGGACTGAACGACAGCTGAGTTTCCAGTGGAGCTGCCTGTGCACAGTGCCCGGCCTATGTGCTGACTGACGGTGGCCCAGAAGCCCCTGTGGGCCCAGTCTGCTGCGTGTCACTCCTCAGATCCTGCAGCTGGGGTCCCAGAGCCTGGGTGGAAGCTCAGAGGGCCCGGGGCCTGAGTGTGAGCCAAGGAGAGGGAACCAGTGTTCACTGAGCACCTGTTGGCCAGGCCCTGTGCCAGGAGCTGGGTGTGCAGGGGTGACTGAGGCCTTGTCCCTGCCCTTCAGTCTTTACCAGGGACTCGGGAACACATGTACCCTGACCCATCATCCCTGAGAGGAGGCTCCGCCCTCTGCTTATAAAGAGGGGCACTGAAGGTCATTGAGGTTAAGCTTGTCGCCAGGGTCACTCAGCTGGGCCAGAGCTTGGCCTCTGCCTACCTGGCCTGTGTGTGGGGTGTCCATGTGTCACGCGCTCCCTTGGACACAGGCTTCTCAGAACCTGGTGGTGCTGGCTCGGGAGGATGCTGGAGCTGAGAAGATCTTCCGAAGCAACGGGGTCCAGCTTTTGCAACGTCTGCTGGACACGGGAGAGACTGACCTGATGCTGGCGGCTCTGCGCACGCTGGTCGGCATTTGCTCTGAGCACCAATCACGGGTAGGTGGGGTGGAGGGTCTATTTACTGCCGCAGTCAGTCCACCCTTCCACCCCTCATCTTACTCCAAACAACTTAAGGCAGAGTACAAGGAGACACATTATAGGAGAGGAACGTACAAAATGGCTTGAAAAAGACCAACATAATTTACGACACACTGGACCTGGGAAAGGGCAAAGTCACCCACTGACACCTGAGCGCCTGCTTCGGGGGCTTCCGAGCGTGACCAGTCATTCCTGCAGCTGCTCGTGGAGATGCCTGGTCACGGACTTGCTGTCCGCGTGGTAACAGCAAGCTTGTTGCAGAAACGGCACCTGTGATGTCACCACAGCATCTTTACCATCGAGACAGTGACCAGATACGAAGGCCTTGACAGTGAACACTCTCAGCACAGACTGTGGTGTCCAGCACAGATACTTTAGCAAGAGCAGTCCTGCCCTGGCCAGTGTGGTGAAGTCTGGGCCCCAGCACTTGCCTGAGCTGGCTGGACCCAGGGGACAGGGACCTGACCCTTGGTTGTTTTCAGAGGAGCCCACAATTCCTAGATCAGGGGAGGAGCTGGGAAATACTCTGTGAAAGTGGTTTAGGCCAAACTCAACCTCTGGCCACACTCACAGTCCACAGCTAGGGATCTCTACGGCTTCACCAACCAGGGGCTCTGTCCACCTCTCCTAGACAGTGGCCACCCTGAGCGTGCTGGGAACTCGGCGGGTGGTCTCCATCCTGGGCGTGGAAAGCCAGGCCGTGTCGCTGGCTGCCTGTCACCTGCTGCAGGTGATGTTTGATGCCCTCAAGGAAGGCGCCAAGAAAGGTTTCCGAGGCAAAGAAGGTGCCATCATCGTGGGTGAGTAGAAGCAGGTCTGTGGTCCCTTGGGTGGAGGTGTCGTGGACAGGAAGGAGCTGAGCCAGTCAGGCCTTTTGGGAACCAGCGTGCAGTGCAGGTTTTCCGGGACGATGGCATGGTGACAGTATTTTACTCCAGGTTCTAAGCAGCCAGGGTGCCTGGGGTGAAGACTGGAGCCCAGCCCAGAGCTCAGTGTGCAGGTCCCCCTCCCTCTTAATCTCTGGCCTCTTGGGGAAGTTAAAAGGTCAGACAGGGCTGGGCCACTGTGGAACCTACTAATGTCTTCTTGTTGCCAGATCCCGCCCGGGAGCTGAAGGTTCTCATCAGTAACCTGTTGGATTTGCTGACTGAGGCGGGGGTCTCAGGCCAAGGCCGAGACAACGCCCTGACCCTCCTGATTAAAGTGGTGCCCCGGAAGTCCTTTAAGGACCCCAACAACAGCCTCACCCTCTGGGTCATTGACCAAGGTAGGTGATACTGTTTCAGAAGAAGAGAGAAAGAGACTGAACATGACCGTTGCCTCTTGCTTGGTGGCCGGGCCGGCTGCTCCCTGGGAGCGGCGTGTCTGTGCTGAGTGCACCCTGTGACGGTGCCCATGCGCACCTCGAGCAGGTGCACGGGAGGCTGGGTCCAGTCTCTGCCTCTGAAGGCCTCTTGAGCCATGTTGCTTCTGCACTCAGGAACAAAGAGTGAAGCGTAACGTACGAATCCACACTGCTCTTTTTCCCCAACGGACACATACGGAACGTTGGCACAAGTGCCCGCAGGAGCTCACCTGCTGGACGCTCCCTGTCTCCTGTGAGGTGTGGGTGTTGTTTTCCCTTCAGTTTTACACACACGGAACCTCTAGCCCCAGAGCATTGGGTGGCGCCGCCATGCAGACCTCACTCCTGAGGTTTTTCCCCGGCCCCACCGCTGCCTCTCGGCAGCAGATCAGCAGCCAGACTCCGCCGGCCCTGCACGCAGCTGTGTGCGCCTGCGGCCTGTCCAGGGGCCCTGCGGCCCTGCGCGTCTCCTAGAAGCCTCTGCCCTTGGCCTGTCGGGCTTGGACGTGGTATTCTGCTTCTAAAAAGGGGTGTCTTTCCAGGTTTGAAAAAGATCCTGGAGGTGGGGGGCTCTCTGCAGGAGCCTCCTGGGGAGCTCACAGTGACAGGGAACAGCCGCATGAGTGCCTCCATCCTCCTCAGCAAGCTCTTCGATGACCTGAAGTGCGATGCCGAGAGGGAGAATTTCCACCGGCTCTGTGAGAACTACATCAGGCAAGCGAGTCAGCCCTGCTGCCGCCAGGCTTCCAGAGGCATCTGACTCCTCGGGAAGGGGCAGCGGTGACGGGCTTTCAGCCGGGCAGCGGCCTCGGGGAGGGTTAGCAGGGGCAGAGTCCCAGGCCCACGTCTTGTTCCTTCTCAGTTCTCTGTAAGGCCACAGCGAGCCCAGACTTCACTGAGCACTGACTGTCCCCGAACACAGCAGTGCAGGTGACGCTCCTGCTCTGCAGGCGCTCACCGCTGGGGGAACACCGCTGACAAGCTATGAAATACGCTGTTTCTGCCCGAGGAGTGCAGATGCCTGGCCAGTGGAAGGGAAGGGCAGAAAGGAGGGTCCCTTATGCTGGCCTTGGAGTGACGACTGTCACCCTGTGCCCCCCAGGAGCTGGTTTGAGGACCATGGGCTGGCCGGGAAGCTGCGGGCCATCCAGACGGTGTCCTGCCTCCTGCAGGGCCCATGTGACGCTGGCAACCGGGCCCTGGAACTGAGTGGTGTCATGGAGAGTGTGATTGCTCTGTGCGCCTCTGAGCGGGAGGAGGAACAGCTGGTGGCTGTGGAGGCCCTGATCCACGCGGCCGGCAAGGCCAAGCGGGCCTCGTTCATCACGGCCAATGGTGTCTCCCTGCTGAAGGACCTGTATAAGCGCAGCGAGAAGGACAGCATCCGCATCCGGGCGCTGGTGGTGAGATGGGCGGGCCTGGTCTGGGCACGAGGCTGATGAGCAGGGGTCCCGGGCGGGCTGGTGTCTCAGGGTGCAGCCCCTGCACGCTCTAGGAAAAGATACGGGATGTACAGGGCCTAGTCCAGGTCAGAGGCATGGGCCCTGGCTCCCCGCACAGAGCTCAGGGTCAAGTCAGAGAGATGAGCCCTATTCAGAGAGGACACCTGACAGTGCAGGCGGCACACGCTGCCCCCTGGAGGTGGTGGAAGAAGCTCCAGGAGGAGGTGATGAAGGACTTTGGAGGACTTGCTGGGCCAGGCTGGTCAGAAGGGCTGTGCGGAAAGGCTGGGCCTGCAGGCGGCCCCAGGAGCTGGTGGTTTGGGGTCTGTCGGGCCTCCGTGAGCCTGCTGCAGCCATGCACCTTGGGGAAGCCAGTCCTCCCCCTGGGGCACTTCGCCCGGGGTTTCTTCATCCCCTAAGGCTCTTGACCTTGGCTGAGACCCCTGTCTTCTCCCCACACATCTATAAAGAGCTTTTTAAAATTTTTCTGTACACCGTGGAAAGGAACAAAGCAAATCCCAGGACAGATTGGGAGGAGGTGGGGCCCAGGACAGCCCAGTGGCCAGTGTCAGTCTCTAACCAGGTGCTGTGTCACGTGACCACCCCATTATCACATTTTGCTACCACATGCTAGGTGGTAGCCTGGCAGGGTGTGCATGCCCTCCAGAGAGCCTGGCAGAGTGCCAGGAACAGTGCCCACACCAGGTGTGCAGCCGCGCAGCTCTGCCTCCATCCCCAGATGCCAACAGCTGGTTCTTGCTCTTCCTCCAGGGGCTCTGTAAACTCGGCTCAGCCGGAGGGACTGACTTCAGCATGAAGCAGTTTGCTGAAGGTTCCACTCTCAAGCTGGCCAAGCAGTGTCGAAAGTGAGTCATTTGTGTTGCTGAGGCTCCTCACCCCTCAGCTTGACCCCAGGAGAGGCCTGGGAGGAGGGGAGTTCTCCTCACTGCCCTGCTGTCCCCGGGCAGGCTCTCCTCCTGGTCCTTCTGTGATCTGCTGCTCTGTTCTGAGCAGATGCCCAAGCCCCTGGCGTTCCCCCCTTGTCCTGGTCTGCCCCCTTCCCGCCTCACCATCTGCCGGCTGTCCCCTACCCTGCATGTCCCCAGGTGGCTGTGCAATGAGCAGATTGATGCGGGCACGCGGCGCTGGGCAGTGGAGGGCCTGGCCTACCTCACTTTCGATGCTGACGTGAAAGAGGAGTTCGTGGAGGACGAGGCCGCCCTGAAGGCTCTGTTCCAGCTCAGCCGGGTAGCTCCATGGTCTGCAGTCATCTGGGGACACTGTCCAGGATTAGGGCTCCCCAGGCTCCCCTGGCAGACCTTGGCCAACAGCTTTCGTGGCCCAGGGAGGGTGGGAGGGCTGGTTGCCCGAGTGGTCACACTGTGGCGTGGGCATAGTGGCTCGCACCAGAAGTGTCAGAAAGGATGAGCTCTCTGGAGGAGTTGGGGGGGTCACTTGTGTGAGCTCCCAAAGTCTGGGGCCAGGCTGGGGCCTAGCGATATTCCCAGATTCGTCTTGGTGCCTAAGCAGTCCAGTGAAGGGTAGAACTGGGATCCTGGGCCTGGGCATCGAGTTCAGGGCTGCTCTGCCCCTGGCTGCCCGCTGACTGCCCTCTGCTCCCGGCAGTCTGAGGAGAGGTCGGTGCTCTTTGCGGTGGCCTCGGCGCTGGTGAACTGCACCAACAGCTATGACTATGAGGAGCCGGACCCCAAGATGGTGGAGCTGGCCAAGTACGCCAAGCAGCACGTGCCCGAGCAGCACCCCAAGGTGAGGGACCCTAGAAGGGGCTTGGGGGTCTGCATCATTGGGACCAGTTAATCCGGGCATCCACAGCGGACAAACCTTTCATCTGAGTGGGTTCCTTCCCCTTTGTTTTCACGTCCATCAATTTGTGTTGTGAGGAGGGTCCCCTCTCCCTGTCTGGTGAGCTGGAGCCCTCTGCTAAGCCACCTCCTTGTCCAGGACAAACCGAGTTTCGTGCGGGCTCGGGTGAAGAAGCTGCTGGCGGCGGGCGTGGTGTCAGCCGTGACGTGCATGGTGAAGGCCGACAGCCCCGTGCTCACGAATTCCTGCAGAGAGCTGCTGTCCAGGTGAGCCTCACCTGCCGCCCTTCCAGAGAGCGGGTCCTGGTGCTGTGGGCCCCGGAGCAGGGGCGCCACTGCTCGGCTGCCTTCCTTCGCTGAGCCCAGAAGTGGAATGTCTGCCTGCCAGAGCCCCGGGCCCACCCGGCCCCCGGCCCCCAGCCCCCAGCCCCCAGCCCGCTGCCTTCTCCCCGCAGGGTCTTCCTGGCTTTGGTGGAAGAGGCGGAGGACCGAGGCACTGTGGTCGCTCAGGGAGGGGGCAAGGTGAGCTGGTTTACACACTCCTTCAGGTGGTCTATCAACTGTGACTCGGTGGCTGCTACACCAGCGATTAGTGTTAGATGTGGAGCAGAAAAGCATTATGAATGGCCAGGAGGAACGTCCTGCTGAGTGGGTGATGCTGAAGGGGGGGGGGGGCTCCTGTTGAGGTCCCGAGTTCTCCTTTCCCTGCGTCATTGACCTCCAGAGCCCCAGCGCCCAACACAGCCCACGTCTAGCCCTTGAGTGGTGTTTCAGGAAGTGTTAGGGTAGCTTAATGGGAGACTTCAGAGGGGTGATGAGGGTCTGAGCCCCCCTGATCTGCAGGCCTGGGGGGAGAAGAGAACAGTGAGGGCGGCACAGTCAGGATGTCAGGGCCTGACAGCTTGGGCCTCGTGCTCCCAGGCACATCTTGATCACCAAAGGGCTTGTCCATATAGGCTCTGCTCCCGCTGGCCCTGGAAGGCACCGATGTGGGGCAGACAAAGGCAGCCCAGGCTCTCGCCAAGCTCACCATCACCTCCAACCCAGAGATGACCTTTCCTGGAGAGCGGGTGCGTGTCTTCCTGCCCCAGCCCTGGCCTCTCCTCCACCCCTCACTGGGCCCTGATGGCCTTTGACCTGGGCTGTGGCTCCTTCTTAGGACCCACAGGAAGTGGCAGCTTTGCTGAGCCCTGGGTGGGGAGGGCAGCCTGCTTCTGGGGCGGACTGCCACCTGCAGGGTCAGTGGGGTTGGTGGGGGCTGGGGTGTGTGGCCCTGACAGGTGGGGTGAATATCGCAGGTCTATGAGGTGGTCCGGCCCCTTGTCTCCCTGTTGCACCTCAACTGCTCAGGCCTGCAGAACTTCGAGGCGCTCATGGCTCTAACGAACCTGGCGGGAATCAGTGAGAGGCTCCGGTGAGGATCCTCAGGATGTGGGGCCTGGGCGGGGTGTCAAGGTTTAGATTATCCCCAGGGAAGTACTGTACAGCTTGGAAAGCACTCTGGTCTTTGCTGTGTTTGAGTCCTCTGTACCATACAGCTGAAGGGACAGTTCCATGAGGACAAGGCCCTCGGCTCTGAAGCCAGGCTGCCTGGGTTCGAATCCTGGCTTCTCTGGCTACTGTTGTGTAAACTCAAGCAAGTTACTTAATCTGTCTATGCCTCAGTCTTCCCCTCTGTGAAATGGGATGGTTATAGCCCCTACCTCATGGAATCATTCTGAGGACAGTTAAATGAGAAAATACATGTACAAGTACTTAGTACAAAGGTGCCTGGCTTCCAGCGATGTGCCCAATCAACCCGCATTAGCTGTTATTACTAATATGACCTTGGCTACATGACCCACTCCTCAGCCTTGGTTTCCTCTTCTGCAAAGTAGTCATGCTGATCACACCTGCACCCTCAGCACAGGGCTGTGAGGGGGATGAAGTCAGACAGTTTTGAGTACTGGGTCAGGGTAAATGGTAGGTGTTAGCATCATCATCCACACCGCCCTCATCTCCTAACTCCTGGTTCAGAGCATTTTCCACGGTCCCATGTCATCTAGGCTTGGTTAGAAGGCTGGAAACCACTGCAGTTCACACCTGGTGCAGAAGGGTCTTTGGGCATTGCCCAGGGAAATCCTTGTTCCAGGGCTGGATTGTATGGGGACACGGTGGTGCCAACCCTTCATCCTTGGCTCCCCAGGCAGAAGATCCTGAAGGAGAAGGCTGTGCCCATGATTGAGGGCTACATGTTTGAGGACCATGAGCTGATCCGCCGGGCAGCCACGGAGTGCATGTGTAACTTGGCCATGAGCAAGGAGGTGAGGCTTGATCGGGCAGTCATGTGGGCAGGCGTGCAGAAGTCCCTGTGCCCTGGGTGGGCTTGGCCCCAGCTGACTCGGTCTCCTTGCTCCTCTGGCCACAGGTACAGGACCTCTTTGAAGCCGAGGGCAATGACCGGCTGAAGCTGCTGGTGCTGTACAGTGGGGAGGACGATGAGCTGCTGCGGCGGGCAGCCGCCGGGGGCCTGGCCATGCTCACCTCCATGCGGCCCTCTCTGTGCAACCGCATCCCCCAAGTGGTCAGTGCCTCTTGTCTTCGGGGGAGTGAAGTGGGGCAGGCCCCCCAGCATGGCAGTGGTTGGTGGGTGTGCCCCTGCCAGGGTTCAGCTTGTTGCTCAGTGTTCACACTACCCTGTTTCCTGCAGACCACACACTGGCTGGAGATCCTGCAGTCTCTGCTCCTGAGCCCCAACCAGGAGCTGCAGCACCGGGGTGCCGTGGTGGTGCTGAACATGGTGGAGGCCTCGAGGGAGACTGCCAGCACCTTGATGGAGAGCGAGGTGCTGGAGATCCTGTCAGTGCTGGCCAAGGGCCCGGCGGGCCCCGTCACAAAGGCGGCCACGGCTTGCCTGGGGAAAGCGGTGGAATACGGGCTCATCAAACCCAACCAGGATGGAGAGTGAGGGGATGTCTCATGCACACACTGCACTGCGCACGGGACACCAGATGTGCAGCTTTGGCCGGTAGGGGCTGGGCTGCCGAGCACTCTGGTCTCCTCCCAGCTCTTTGATGTCCTCTGTCCTGAGACAGGGGCCACACTCCCAGCACTGCCTTCAGCCTCATGCAGCAGGGCCTTTCCTGTATTGTTGTAGACAGCTGGGAAAGGGGGAGCCTCCTCCTCACTCAGCCCGAGGGTCCCGGCACACCAGGGAAGGGCACACCAGGCACCTCAGCAGTGAGCATCACCGAGCCTGCTAGTAGGACTGCCCCTGACCCTTATTAAAAGCGTGTGGAACTCAAATGTGTGCTCTGTCTGTGGCCTGGAGGAAGGCTGGCTGTGGGGCAGTCTCTGTGGGGCAGGAGCTGGGTTAGTTGAGTGCACAGCGTAGCCACCTCTGGAGGAATCCCATGGATTTCCCACCTGGTCGCTGAGTCGCTGCTGGATCCGGTTGGAGGCTCTGGGGTGAAGCCTAGAAAGCTAATCACTAAACAAATAGATTTAGGGTACAGCCTAGAAGCTGGCCCTTCAATACTTCTGACTTTGCATTGAGAGTTCTCAGTAACTGTAAGGAATCGGGGTGCCGCCGAGAAACAGAAGAGACTGGAGAGCCAAACAGCCGAATAAACAGAGATCAGGCTTTATTGGGTACACTCCGGGCGGGTTCACAGACTCCGGGGGTCGAGTCCTAGAAGCTGCGCCCGATGCTGGGGTTTGATTTTTATACCTGCCTGTTGCAGCTGGAATTTGTCTGTTAGGGTTTGACCTTGGGGGGACTATGCATGGGAGCCTCTGGAATGTGAGTAAGCTCAGGGCAAATAGTTCCTGAACTAGGGTGGGAGTTTAGGTTGAGTAAGCGAGATAATGGTCGAGCAGTTTGCCTGGCGCCAGTCCCCAGGCTACGGGACAGTAACTACTGAGACGGTGCTGGGATTTGGGGTGCCTGTATCACTGGGCTTGCTCCAGTCTGAGGTCCCTGAGCCCGGTGGGAGCAAAGCCTGGGGCATCCTCCAGGTCTGCTTCCGCTCTGCAGGCCAAGCCCAGGCGAAGCTCATTGGCTCAACAGGGATAGATGACAGATCCTGAGCCAATGGGAGGTAAGCCCGCGAGGCGCGCACTTTGTACGGCTTCCTGTCGACCTGCAGTCCTGGTGTGAGACTGGGGGGCGGGGTGCTCCCGGCTGTGGGACGCTGCTGCCACCCCTCTATCCCGACTCTTTAGGAGTCTCCCGCAAGTGCTTCTGGTTCGTGCTCCGCGGGCCCACGCCCACCGGAGGTCGCCCGCTCAGCACCCGAGGCCGCAGTGGCACAGCATAGGCCTCGGACCCGCTCCGCGGAACTCAGACCGGACTGGCCGCAGCGGGACCGCAGGTACGAGGTGAGCGCGCCCTGGGGCCGCCCGGCAGTGACGCCACCGCCCTCCGGGCTCTTGGCCCAGCGGCCGCGGTGACCAATGAGCGCCTAGCCTGGGCCGCCTGCGCCCCACCTTTCCACCCTGGAACCGACCTCGGGCGCGCTGAGGGCGCGGAAGGCGCAGGGTCAGAAGAGAGGCCGTCTTGAGCTGAGATTGGATACAGAGGGGTTTGATCTCCGAAGGGACCCAGGATCTGACTTAAAAGGCGTGAAAATACCCGTGACGGGCTGAGAATGAGGGGCTGCTGTGACCCCTCGACTCCCTGTCTCCCCAATGGCGTGTGAGCTCCCTGGGCAGACAGCATCCTCTTCCGCCCAGAGTGGAGGGTCAACACCTGCGCGGGGAATGAACAAACGACCAGGTGGCGTCCAGCTGAAACCGCTTGTATAGGCCCCCGAAACCCGCAGGCACCCACGGTCGTGTTTATCCACCCAGCACTGGGTGCAACAAGCTAGCACGGTGCCCAGGGTGGCAGGCGCCAGTCCTCGAATCTCTTTTTTGGGGGGGCGTCTCTTCCAAACCCACAACATACGCCCCCCTCCCCCACCTCCGCCTTCGTAAGACGGAGGTCAGAGCTTCGGGGAGCAGCTGGGGACACAGGCCTGCAGTGACCCTGCCGCCCGTGGAAGCCTGTCGTGGTCTGCCCGTCGCTCTGCAGCTTTTCCACCGGTGGGACGAGCCCTGCGCGCGGAGTCGGCGGGTCTGCAGTGCGGCCTCTACCGCTCTCGGCCCTAAACTGGGCGACTGGGTGAGAGTTGCCTTCTCTGGGGACTGTCAAGTGGGGGCGACCCTAGCCCCCGCCATGAGTGGGATAGTACGCCCCACACCAGGAATTTGGAGCTGAAGGGGCTCAGCTCCTCACCCAGCCCTGAGGAAGAGGCACCTGCGTCCCTCGGGCCCAGGCTGGGACGCTGAGCCTCACTGAGGCCAAAGGGGGGGGGCTTCGGCCGAGACCCCCGCGCCGGGAACGTGGTGGACGGGCACCGTCTGGCTCCGGCTGGGAGGGTGCTGCCTCCCCATCTCCCAGGTCCGGCGGCCGCAGTGTCCAGCAGGGGGCCTTCTGCAAGGATCTCCGGCTCCAGCCCGCCGCCTACCGAGGGCATGGCCGAGGAGCGCCCCGGGGCCTGGTTCGGTTTCGGCTTCTGCGGCTTCGGGCAGGCGCTGGGCTCGGGCCGCGGGCGCCAGGTGCACAGCCCCGAGCGGCTGCGCGCGCAGGACGCAGGCGCCGACGTCGGCAGCGTGAGCGCCAGCTGGAGCTACACCGCGTTCGTGAGCCGTGAGCGCGCCCCTCCCCCCGCCCGGCCCCGTCACGTGCCCCCGCTCCCGCCCACGTGCCCCGCTCCCGCCCACGTGCCCCCGCTCCCGCCCACGTGCCCACGTGCCCCGCCTCCCGCTCAGCCGGCTCCCGCTCCGCAGGTGCCGGCCGGGTGCAGCTGTCCGGCTCCGCGGGCGGCGCGGCAGACGGCTGCCGGGACGCCTGGGCCTCGGAGACGCTCCTCGTGGTGCTGCGCGACAGGCCGGGACCTGGGCCCGGGGCCGAGCTGCAGGCCTGGGCGCCCGGCTCGGCCCTGCGCGGGGAGCCCCTCTGGGCCCAGACCGTGGTGCCGGAGGCCAAGCGGGAAGAAGGGCCGGGCGCTGAGGCCCAGGCCGGGCCGCTGCCCCTGCTGCCCTGCGCCCGCGCCTACGTGAGCCCGCGGCCGCCCTTCTGCCGGCCTCTGGCCCCGGAGCTGCGGGCGCGTCGGCTGGAGCTGGGCGCGGAGCACGCGCTGCTGCTGGGCGCGGCGGGGCAGGTGTTCTCCTGGGGTGGCGGCAGGTGAGTGTGGCCGCGGGAGGACGGGCAGGGCGAGCCCTTGGCGCCCGGAGCTGACGGGCCTCCCCTGCTCAGGCACGGCCAGCTGGGCCACGGGACCCTGGAGGCCGAGCCGGAGCCGAGGCCGCTGGAGGCGCTGCAGGGCCTGGCCGTGGCCGAGGTGGCCGCCGGTGGCTGGCACTCGGTGTGTGTGAGTGGTGAGTGCCTGGTGCGTCTCAAGCAGCTCGGACCTGGTAGGCCCAAACCTTCCTCCTCTTCCGGTTTCGGTGGGGACCCAGCCAGGCCTCCCTGCAGGCTCCCCCACCTCAGTCAGCTGTCATCCACCGCCCCTCTGCCAGCACCATCAGCCACGCACAGTTGGGCTGGTCCCAGTTGCCGGTCTCACTGCCCCGGGCATCCGTCCCCAGCCAGGGCTGTTGTTCTAAAGTAGCCCTTAAGGAAGACCGAGGGGGCTCAGGCAGCCGGGCACGGAGCATGGAGGAAAAGGCCGCAGGTGTCTAGGTGGCCGTGACCTGTGGCCACAGGGAGGATGAAGGTGGTGAGCGTGAGCCCTGGTGGTGCTCTGGGACCAGAGTGAAGAGTTTCACTTTGGGTCGTGGGTCCACCAGCCTGGGGGTGACCTAGGTGCCGATGACTGTATCCGGGCCTCTGATTGCTACTCCCTGGCCTGGGGCTCTAAACACTACCTGTGCTGCTGGCCCGCCCCGCGCCCGTTCTCATTTAATGGGCCTGGGTTGGCATCAAAGAACAGAGCAGATGCTGGAAACAGCCCAGCGGCCTCACACTGAGGGTCCGGAAGGAATTGGAATTTGGTGTCATGGTTGGAGCTGGGATGCTTCAAACCAGACTGCCTAGGTTCAGATCATCACTCTGCTCCTTGTGACCTTGGGCAGGACACTTGAATGTTCTGTGCCTCGAGTTTCCTCGTGAGTAAAATGGGAACATTGTGCCACATGTGGCTGTTGTCATGTAACTCTCTGTAGGGCTGTTCTGAGATTTAAAGGATGTATGCGCGAGCAGTGCTGACACAGATTATTAAAACACTTGATAATGATTTTAGCTACTATTGCTAGTGAGTATTTAGCACTGGGGCTGTTGCCCACAAACTACCGTGATGTGGAGGCAAGGGTGGTGGGAGCTTCTGGAAGACGTCTTCCACGGGACCAGTAGCTCCTGGGGCGGAAGGAAGGGGCAGGGCTCGGGGGATTTGAACAGACCGTGGGGCCACTTCCAAGGACGCATTTCTGAAGTGTGTGCTTGTGTGTGGTGGGAGCCGGCAGGGAGGCAATTTAGCAACAAAGAGAAAAAGTGAAAATGGAGAGCAAGGTCCAGCAAGAGACTTCCTTTAAAGGAAAGGGTGACCGCCCAGCCAGTGTGGCTCAGTGGTTGAGCTTGACCCATGCACCAAGGGGTCTCTCTCTCCCATCCTCTCACCCTTTTTCTCTCTCTCAAATTGATTTTTTTTTAAAAAAGAGAAGGCTGACCTGAAGGTATTTTACTTATTTGTAATCGATTTTAGAGAGAAAGGAAGGGAGAAGGAGAGAGAAATAAAAACATTGATGAGAGAGAACATCAATTGGCCGCCTCCTGTATGCCCCTTACTGGGGATCGGGCCCACAACTGGGGTATGTGCTCTGACTGGGAATCGAACGAACGACCCCTTGGTGCATGGGCCGAGCTCAACCACTGAGCCACATCAGCCGGGATAAACATTTATACTTTCTTTCTTTTCTTTTTTTTTTTTAATCCTCACCCGAGGACATTTCTGCATTTATCTTCAGACAGAACGGGAGGGAGAGAGGGAGGGAGAGAGAGAAACATTAATGTGAGAGAGACACATCGAGTGGTCGCCACCCACACGACCCCAACCGGGGCTGGGGACAGACTGCAACTGAGGTACGTGTCCTTGACCAGAATCGAACCCTCGACTCATTAGTCTGCAGGCCAACGCTCTAACTGCTGAGCAAACTGGCCAGGGCTCTTTTTATTTAAAATCCTCCCCCCGAGGATATTTTTCCATTTATCTGCAGACAGAGTGGGAGGGGGAGAGAGAGAAAGGAACATCAGTGTGAGAGAGACACATCGATTGGCTGCCCCCCACACGACCCCGACCAGGGCTGGGGACCTAACCAAAATACTTGCCCGTGACTGGAATCGAACCCGGGACTGTCTGGTCTGCAAGCCAACACTATACCGCTGAGCCAAATCAGCCAGGGCACTGACCTGAAGGTCCTTTAGAGGGATGGGAACCTGTTAACACAGGACATTGCTGGGTCCTGAGGCAGGCACCCTCCCTGGGGTGCTAACCTGCACAGGGCTGGCCTCAGTTGTCTCCAGGGAGGAGTGGGGTGTAGGGGAATTTGGAGAGATTCAAGTGGCTTAGGAGGCACAGCCTTTCTAATGGGCCCCTTTACCTCTTTCAGAGACTGGGGACATTTATATCTGGGGCTGGAATGAGTCAGGGCAGCTGGCCCTGCCCACCAGGAGCCTGGCGGAGGACAGAAAGACAGTCACAGGGGAAGGTGAGTTTCTGTCATTCCCGACTCCTGGCCACATGCTGGCCTGAGAGCTTACAGTGCTTGGAAGGGACCTGTGACGTCCCCGGGACCCCAGGACACACTCTGAGCCCCTCAGGGCCCACACCCCAGTCCCCTCCAGCACTTCCTGGGGACACAGGCTGGGAGCACCACCTCAGGAGCTGCCCGATACAGCGCTTCACAGAGCCGTCGTGTGAGTCGGTGTGCCAGTGCTGTGTCCGCGCTGATGAGTCATCACTCTCACTTCTCTGAAGCCACTGCGCTGAAGGAAGCTGGTTCTGAAGTGACGGGACCAGCCCGGGCTGAGGATGGAGCCCCTGACCCCTTCATAGCGGTGCAGCCCTTCCCAGCTTTACTGGATCTGCCCCTGGGCTCAGACGCGGTCAAGGCCAGCTGCGGATCCCGGCACACGGCAGTGGTGACCAGTGAGTGGGGCGGGTGGGCTGGTTCGATGGAGCAGGAACCAGCTCTGTAGCGGTGGCTGCAGACAAGGGTGGTGTCCCCCCAGCACTACTCTTGTAAGCACCTTGGACATGTGCTGAGTAGCTGCCTCAGCAAATAGAGCCCCAGACTCCCCGTGGTGCAATAGGCCCCGCAGGTTCTTTCTGGAGACAGACTGGTGCTGCCCAGCCTCTGCGCAGTAGACATGCCCGGCCAGTCCAGCTGCTGACTCCTGAGCCCAGTGGCTGTGAGGCACACTTGGCCTGTAGGAAGTGAACTGTCTGAGTCTGGATCCTTGACCACCCCAAATGTGACATTTGTATCCCTAATGTCATGATTTATAGTGTGCTCGCTCTGGCTGGTGGCCGGCCAGCTAGACAAGTGTCTTGTCAGATAGTAAGGGGTCTTACTGTCCTTTTGGTTGCAGGAACTGGGGAGCTGTACACCTGGGGCTGGGGTAAGTCTTGCTTTGCTTCTCTGATGCTTGAACCAAGGGGAGTGGAGCGCAGGAGGAGCCACACTGACACGTGGGAGGGTGGGGACTGAGGAGCTGTGCTCCTTCCAGTCTCTAGAACAGGTCTAGGCACACTCAGGTCAGGTGACAGCAGTACCTCCCATTGGCCTCTCTGAAGAACTGTTTGTCTTAAGGGAGTATTTAGCCAGCACTTAGGAAATGCCTTTTGGTTGGCACTGGGACCAGGAGCAGGGAACCCGAGATGCACCGGCCTGGAGGCTGGTCTCCGGAGTTCACAGCAGTCCCGCACATTGGTGGCCTTGGCCCTGCACAGGGGCTGGTTTTCATTCTTGGAGGGGAGAAGCCGAGGCCCAGGGAGAAGATGGCCAGGGGTCTCGTTTCACTGTAGGTAAATACGGACAGCTCGGCCACAAGGACACGACCAGCTGGGATCGGCCTTGCCGTGTGGAATACTTTGTAGATCGGCAACTCCAAGTAATGGCTGTGAGGTGTGGGCCCTGGAACACCTATGTGTATGCAGTGGACAGAGAGAAGAGCTGATGTATATAGACAAGGGCATACAAATGTAGAATAGAAAGTTATAAAGCTGACAACTGTGAAACTCAAACCCAAGTCAAGGAAAACCATGGCCAGCGCCCGGAGGCCCCACATGTGCTCCTCCCAGCAGAGCCCTCTGGTGGCTTCCTCGCGGGGAAGCATCCTGAGAGCTCTGGAAAGGGGCGCTCCGGGCCACCGTCGCAATGAAATCAGAACCTCAGGATGTAGGTCCAGACAGGCCCATTTGAAAGTTCCCCGTGCTACCTGTGTGCACCCTGGCACAACAGTTTAGAGCATCTGCTTTTGGACCTTAGGTGAATGGAATCATCGTGACCTTTTGTGCCTTGTTTTTCCAGTCAACACTGCATGATCCCCCCATTGTGCTCTGCAGTTCACTCATTTTTGTTATGTGGTATTCCATTGCATGAACATTATTACTCAACTGTTTTGGTTGATGGTCATTTTATTTCTATTTTTCATTGAGGTAAATAAATTTACCAACTTATCATTTGAAAAAAATGTTTTTATTGATTTTTTTTTAGAGAGGAAGGGAGAGAAGAGAAACATTGATTGGCTGCCTCCTGCACACTCCCTACTGGGGATCAAGCTGGAAACTGGGGCATGTGCCCTGACTGGGAATCAAACCGGGACCTCTCATTCTACAGATGACATTCATCCAGAGCTACCAACTTAGCTTGTAACTCAAACACTGTGTAACTTATTAAGAGAGAGCTCGAAAGAGGGGGTGTGTGTGTGTGTGTGGCAGTGACAAGAGTGAGGCTGAGACTTCTTACTGTAGCCTTCTCCCACTCATAAATATGTCTGCACCCAGATCTTTATTGCCATGACACTGGTTAATAGTTATACACATTACACCTGTCCAGTTCCATATTGCAGCACTTGTACGTTGTATTTGCACGATGACAAAGGAGAAAAGGGTGGGGTGTGAAGCCTCAGGTTTTAGAACTTAGTGTGCATTTTTCTTAACTACCTTACGTCTCCCAAAGGCAGCTCTAGTTTGGAGAATGTGCTTGCTGTGTTGTTACCTTGGTTACCCACCTTCTGTATCTGTATCTCCCCCACTCCACCCCCAGCCCTGCCCACACACACATCAGTGCCTGGCGCACAGCAGGTGCTCACTCACTGCACTTTCAGTGCACAGACAGAACTGCCCTGTCGGAGGGGAACACAGACACACACATCAGTAGAACAGAGCCCAGAAATCAACCCAAACCTATATGGGCAATTAATATTTGACAAAGGTAGTCTCTTTGATAAATGGTGTTGAGAAAACTGGACCACCTTCTTACACCATACACAAGAATAAACTCAAAATGGATTAAAGACTTAATGTAAGACTCAAAACCATAAAACTCTTAGAAAATATAAGCAGTAAAAAGTGCTCATTATATATTTTTAAGCAAGTCTAATCATGTCACTCCCATTAAAAACCCTTCGTTGGCCCTTAGTTCCCATCTCTCTCCCCATCCTAGCTCCCTGTATCCTTGGAAGGCTTGTTTCTGACCCTGCAAGGAATCTACCCTCTGCCCCCAGGCCTTTCCACACTACTGCAGGCACTGGAACACATTCTCTGCCTCTTAACTCTTGCTCATCTCACATGCCCGACCTACAAGCTCCTCAGGGAAACCCTTCCAGCAAAGTGAGGCACCCCTAAAATGTGTCCTGGGACAACAGATCTCGTATTTAGAGCTCTGGCCATGTGCCTGGTGCTAGACTATGTCCAGCATGCATTGCGTGCAAGTTTCCTTTTTCCCACCTGCCCTCCTCCGTCCCTTAGTCATCTCACCCAGACTCAGACTTTAAATGCCACCTGCCCCAACGTCTCCCTGAGCTCCACACTCCTCCAGCCAAGGGCCATGGCCCAGCACAAGCACTGATTGCCACCCTCTGTACAGACCTGCCCCCTACTCTGTCTCTCCAGTGGCAGCACTGCATTTCCTGTGGCTCAGGCCCCTCAGAATCATTCCCCATTCCCCCCTTACTTCCCACCCACCCTGGTGCCCTACCCCTGAAGTCCTCAGCTCTACTGTCCAAGCAGACCCTGGATCTCACCACTTCTGACCATTTCTGCTTCCAGCTTCGTCCAAGGTGCTGCTACCCCTCACCTGGACAGCTAGTCAACTTCTGACTGGTTTCTCTGCTGCCACTCTCTGCCCCACCCTGTCCCCCGACTCAGTCTGTTCTCTCCCCAACAGCTCCATTAACTTAGCACCATAAAGCATCATCTTACTCCCTGCTTCAGAATCTTCCCACTGCCACTTGAATGTAACACAAAGCCTCACCATGGCCTGAGGCCCAGATCGCCTAGCCCAGCCTCCCTAGAGCTCGTCTGTCCCCACCTGCCTGCTGTGCTCCCGCCGCTGGTGGTCCGTCTGCCCACTGAATCAAGCCAGCCCACTCCAGCCACACCACCCGGGCTGGCCGTGCCCGCCTCACACGCTCTCCCCCAGCTGTCTGCAGGGCTGGCTACTTTTACGTCACTAAGGTCACCTCTTTGGACAAGCCTTCCCTACCACTTAGCTAAAGCAGCTCCCACCCCACCCCAGTGCTATCCCATTACCTGCTTTTACTTTCTGGACAGCACTTACCACCGCCTGGTATCGCTCCTGCTTGTTGTCCACCTCACCCCTCAGACCTGAGTGCTAGGAGGGCAGGGACTCTGCTGGATCTCCAGCCTGGTGAATTCTGGGGTTCAGTAGATGCTTGTTGACTTGGTGAGTGAAGGAATATGCAGACCACGTGACAGACACGTATTTACACAGGCTCACTCACCTCCATACTTCTGGTAAACTGCGCAGTGTTCCACCCATAACATCAAGACACACACACACACACACACACGATTTTCTGCAACATCTTACATTCCCACCAGCAATACAGACCCTGGCTCCCACTGCCAGGATAAGGCACACTTCATCATGTGTTCCTTTTTCTAGTCTACTCTCTCCTTCCCTCCCCCCAACTCTCTGCCCCTGTCCCTCCCTCTGGATTTTGCCGACTTCTTTAGTTTCTGCAGGAATCCACAAATATCAGGTCACTACAATACTTCTCCAGGGGATCACATCCTAAATTATATAAATGTCTCTTTTACTGTACACCTGTAAGTAACAATTTTCAATGTCCAGTATAACTGAAACATACAAATTGATGAAAAACATTAAAACCAAATCTCTACTTTTATTTTAAAATAAAATGCCACAGTTTCACCCTACAAAACCTAATCCTGCTTTCAAATACCAATGAAACCACAAGTTTCCTAAGGTTAATTCATTCCTTTATACATTAAAACTTAGGCTTTTTCCCTCTCAAAATCCTTTTTTATCAGCCCTGGCTGGGTAGCTCAGTTGGCAGCAGCATCATCTCTGTACACCAAGATGGCTGGTTTGATCCCCATTTGGGGCAAATACAAAAATCAGCCAGTGCCCAGCTGGTGCAGCTCAGTTGGTTGAGCACTGTCCCATGCACCAACAGGTCACTGGTTCGATTCCTGGTCGGGACACATGCCCAAGCTGATGGTTGGATCCCTAGTAGGGGGCGTGCAGGAGGCAGCTGATCAATGTTTCCCTCTCCCTCTCTTGTCCTCCCTAAAAATCAATAAAAGCATATTAAAAATATCAACCTGTGAATGCATAAATAAGTGGAACAACAAATTGATATTTCTCTCAATCCCTTCCCCTCTCTAAAAATCAATGAATAAAGTTATTAAAAATCCTTTTTATTAGATTGAGATGTTCTTCATTTACACATACATAAAACAATATTTTAAAAAATCTCTCTCTCTCTCTCTCTCCCTCTCTTCCTCCTCCTCTCCCTCCTGCTCTATCTGAAAATGCAAAAGTGTCCTCGAGTAAGGATTAAAAAAGAAATTATACTCCTGCCCCACCTGGTATGCTAAGTGGTTAGAGCATCGGCACTTAAGGGTTGTGGGTTCGATTCCCAGTCAAGGGAAGGGTATGTACCTGCGTTGCAGGTTCGATCCCTGGCCCTGGTTGGAGCACATGGGAGGCAACCAATCAATGTGTCTCGTACATCAATGTTTTTCTCTTTCTGTCTCTCTTCCCCACATTCTCCCTCCCTTCCATTATCCCTAAAAATCAATGGAAAAAATATCCTCAGGTGAAGATTAACAATAAAAACAAACAAGAAAAATTTCTCCTAAGTAGAAATTTTTCTTTCTTTTTTTTTTAATCCTCACCCGAGGACATTTTTCCATTTTTTGTTCAGGTAGACTGGGAGGGTGAGAGAGGAACAGAGAGAGAGAGAGAAACATCGATGTGAAAGGAACACATCGAGTGGCTGCCACCCGCACGACTGACCAGAGCCAGGGACAAACTGCAACCGAGGTACATGCCCTTAGCGGGAACCGAACCCGGGTCTCTGAGGACCGCAGGCCGAGGCTTTAACCGCTGAGCCAAACCGGCCAGGGCCCAAGTAGAAATTTCTGCTTTCCACAGACCAAACCAACCAAACCTAAAATTTGAAAACACATAATTTTTTAATACAAGTACACACATTTTTATTTATCCTTTACAATATATTTATATTTAAAACCAGGACACGTATATACGACTTAACAGGAGGGCCCCTGTGTGCAGATCTAGCCACACTGGGAACTTTGGGAACCATTTAGTGCTCTGACAGCAGCACTGTGCGGGCGGAGTAGGAATAAATAATAGTGCTTTTGGGAGAATCGTAGTGACCAACAAGGTAGCTAACGGGGCCTCACTGTGTATACCACAGCGGGAACAACTCCCCAAGGCGGACATGTGCAAAGTTCTACATCTCCCCAACAACCTCAGGCATGGTAGGCACAGGTATTGGGCAGGGGTAAGGGTGGGGGGTGCTGGACACAGAAAAACTGAAGAACTAGAGGTGAAACAAGCATGTGTTCATACCACGTTCATACAGTTTAACAAAGGAGCTACGGCCTCCCTGTCACATCCTTGGTAGTAGGTCAGGCAATCTCAACTTCTGACACACAGACACTTATCACGACGAAGGCTGCCTGTGTTGTGGGGACAGACCTTTAGGTGAGGGCAGAGCTATCATAGCTACAGCATTACTTGAACATCCCTAAACAAAAAATATGTTAATTGCTAATTACACATGTACAAGCTAAAATTACTTTGTGTCCCACACCCCAAGAAAGGGAGTCAGTCATCTTACAGTGGAGACACACCAGCCCTTGCTCGTGCTTCAGCAAGTGCAATCGGGAAGAGGACAGTCAAGTTCCACATGCTGAAATCTGCGCTTACTGCTATGAGCCAAAACAGCGTCTAAGGACCCACTACACCTATGGTGGACTGTCATCTCTAAGAACGTCAGGCCCACGGTAATGGGACCTATCCAGGGTTTCAAGCATACCTAAACACGAGAAATTAAAGCCACCCCTGTATAATTAGGTCCAGCCTAGGCACATCAGGGCTTCTTAGGAATGGATGTTGGTTGAATTGAGGATTCGAGAAGTAGCATCAGATTTGGAGGCCTTTGAAAGTTCTCGCTGTTGAAAAATAAACATCATTAGTGACAACATCCCCTCATGCATGCCCACCCCTGAAAGCATGGGTTAAGTGTCAGCATAAGGCCTCACGAGGGCTGTTTCCCAGACACAGGTGTACAGCACAGGCTGTGTTAGGAGCAGATGGTGAGGCACTCTGAGCACCATTCTATTAGTGGCAGATTAAGCATGTGACCCTTTCCCTCAGCCAGAAGAGAAATTCCTTATACTTCACAAGCTGGGTAGGCAACAAGCTTTGGTGTTTGAGTCCTTTATAAAACAATGGGCCAGACCATATATCTACCAATCCCTGGGGCTGAGGGACTTGTAACCTGCTGGTGATTTGATCTCATGCTGGAGCACATGGTACAGAGAAGATAAAGCATGGATGACCACGAGAAAGACAGACGTTAGTAGAGGTCAGTCTACTGGCTTCAGTGCTGCCTGGTGGAGTTTGCCACCCACAGTAACCAAAACCATAGGAACCTCCTTAGGCTTAACCATAGGTAGGCAGATACAGTTAAGCTCCAAGTGGATGAAACAGGGCTGGACTGAGCAAGCCAAAAAACACCTGGACCCTCGGTCCAGCCATCAGCTAGCCAAAGCAACACGCACCCCCTTCTGCAAATAGAACCCCACCAGTCATGTAATTTGAAAAAAGTACCCAAATATGAAGCTAATTCCACTGCTCAAACGAGCTATAGCCATGGACAACTGGGCCATTCTCCATCCCTGCAGCAAGAAGAGAGTGGGCACCCTCGCCTGTAACTCAGCATCTCCCAAGGGCAAGGCAGCCTCACCTCTCAACAGGAAGATACTGAGAGAAGAGTATCTTCTCTCATTAAGTAAAGGGCACTAGGAGCTGAAGAACATTCATGTGCTTTAGCAGCTCAATGTGGTAGAAATAGGCAAAGGCAAGGAAATGAGCATTGGCTAGCTCAGAGTGGGGTTAGTAAGGCATATACTCCAGGACATAATCATCACGCAGGCCAAGAACCTCGTTATAAGCAGCACACAGCTGGGGCTCCCCTCCCCAGGTGATGGGGCCGCTCTTCTTTCCAGCATGTGGGAGGCCTCTGATGTCATAATCGGGGATGGTAAACGTTTTCCCTCGTGAAATAACATGATACAAAAACTTTGCCTGACTTTCGGTGGGGCTGAGAATCCAATTCAAGTCTGAACGAGTTTTCTTGTTAATCGGCAGGTTAGTATGTTGGGAGCTGAAGCCAGTTATTGCTTATGCCATCTGTATTGGCAATTCTTGTTTCCTCTGCAAAGGTCCTGTGGTAGCACAACTGATGATTACTGGTTAGTGTAGCTCTGTGCCCAGATGGGAATGAAGCCAGCAGACGACAGATTGGTTTGAAAAAGGGACATGTGACATGCAGGGGTTGCCATACAGACCTGAAGCCCAACAGTGGAGCTGTCTGAGAGGGATGGATCCTTCTAAGAACAGAGAATTAAGACAATTACCAAGAACTCCACCAAGAGAGCACCAGGGCAGTAATTAGAAGGGTCACCTCCTGCAGCCAGGGAATGGTATTTCTTAAGCAGAAGGATCCAGGTTAAATGTCTACTTGCTGCTGTCAACTTCCTTCCTATATCCCCCCCTGAAATCACCCCCACTCCATACCATGGTCAAGGCAGGAAAGGGATTCTCAGCCTCCAAAAAACTCTCTGAAGAGCCTGGGCACCCTTGGGAAGATACCCACTGCCCCAACTGTGTGCTCCCCAGAGATTGGCAGATATTAGAAAAGGTCAATTACCGCAAACTCAGAATAGGTGCTGGCAACAGAATTAATGCTGAAGTTGTGCTGGAGGGGGGCTGAGCTGGGGTACCCACCGCTCAGCAAACTGCCATTGAGCTCCAGGTTCTCCTTGTCAGCTCCATGCCGGCCAGCACGAGGGTTTTTTTTCCCTGAACAGGTAGACGTGAGGACCGGCTATAAATAGAGAGTAGACCAAAGTGTTATCCTTATGATGACCAACCACACACACACACAGGCTGATACCATCTTTACAGTACTCATGTGTGTATAATCCTACATGATACTTCTGGTGTAAAAAAAAAATTGAACTCAATGATTTGCAGAACACCTACTTTGAGCATCGTCTGTAAAATACTTGAAGAACTGAACACAGTAGTGCAGAGACTCCCCACCTATCTCCTTAAGGGAGAGTACCTGACTGTCTAGTGACCCAGTGTCAGGGCTGGAACCCACGTGCAGGGCCCTTGCTCAGCAACTGGAGACCTGGCTTTGAACTGAGCCTATGGAGACCACCACCTCTCTTCAGCTTCCCAGTCCTGTCCCAGGGCTTCCCCATGACACTAGTGGGGCTCAGCATGACCATTCTCTCTTTCTCATTTGTTTTTTCCAGATTAACCAGCTTGTATCTGTCAACTCTCAGCATCTCAATGATTGAATCCAGGGATCTTAGAAACTGGAACAAGTAGGTGGGGCCTCCAGATAAACAGGATAGGGTGGTCCTGGGGGCGTGTTTGTGCGTAGAGCTTACTAACCTTGCTGCCAGAAGGTGGAAGTCGAGACACTGGGGAGCGGTAGACTGTCCCTCCAAAGGCAGGCCGAATGCTGCTGTTGGCGGTGGCATTGGACATGATGGTAGTGTTCAGCTGAGGAGAAGAACAGAGATTACTCATTCAAATAACATGCTCAGCATCCCATCCCTAAACTTCAGAGAAATGAGTACAGGAAGCAGTTTAGAAAGATGCATTTCCATAAAGAGCTTTAAGGAAACCTGTGAAAGTGTTCAAAGCCTATTTATGTCCAGCACATGGAGCTATAAGATGGTATACCCTTCTGTTTCTAAAACTGGATAGACACCTATCATATGATCCAGCCCAGGAGAAATGAAAGCATTGCTCCATACAAAGGCTCAGACATAAATATTTATAGCAACTTTATCTGTAATAGCCAAAAACCAGAAACAGACCAAAATATTAATTGACAGGTGAATAGATAAGCAAACCATGCTAAAGTCATACAATGGACTACTGCTTAACAACAGAATGTAGTGACCTGCTGAAACAGCAACCAAGTGATGAATCTCTCAGAAATTATGCTAAATGAAAGAAATTATGCTAAGTGAAAAAAAAAAAGCCATACTAATATGTGTCTATATATATAGAATGTTAGAAAATGCAAATTACTCAATAGGTAGATTAAAAACCTTAAATGGCTAGCAAAACTATTCAAATACAAGACACAGACTAGGAAATTCAACACAGGAAAACATATCTGGGTGGCTTCAGGTCATAGATGGAGTATTTACAAAATACAGTAAGTATAAGCCCTAAAGAAAACACTGAAAACATTTTGACTGCATTATAGTGAAGAACTTCTGTTCATTGACGAAACACCATAAAGAGTAAAAGGACACAAGACACAAGTGAATATTGGGAAAAGCTACTGTAACACAACTGTCAGCAAGTAGCATCCAGAACATAAATACCTACAAACTTTGTAAGAAAGAAACAGATGTTTACTTCATTAGTAATTAGAGAAATGCAAACTAAAATCATAATGAGACATTGCTTCAGACTCATCAGATGAACAAAAATTTAGAAGTCTGAAAATACCATGTATTAGGCACTGCCACGGGAGCACACATATCATAACCACAGATTGCACGACTAGTGCAGCTGAAACTTCAAAACATATGAGTGCAGGCCTTCCAGTCAAGATGGCAGAGTAGGCAAACACCGTGCTTGCCTCCTCCCATGACCACATCAAAATTACAACTACACTACAGAACCACTATCTGAGAACTGCCTAGCTCACCAGAAGTCTATGATGAAGGATATACAGAAGCGATATCGAGATTGGTCAGGGAGCAGAGAGGACGAACGGGCAGGTCCCACACCCATGTGTGGGTTGATAACTGGTAGGGACAGCTCAGCTGTGGAGGTTCTCCTCTGAGGAGTCAGAGGTTCCAGCCCCAAACCAAGCCCCAAAACCCAGGGTTTCGGGGACAAGAAGAGATGTTCCCATAACTTCTGTTTGTGGAAACCAGCAGGGATTGTGGGTGAGTAAGAAACAGGGCTTCTGGAGTCCCAGGCATTCCTCTTAAAGGGCCCCATGCATGGATGTACTCAGACTCACTGGCTCTGAGCCCCAGGCTGGGGCAGGAGTTCAAAAGCACCAGAAACATGGGGAATAACTGAATTGTTTGGCTTTGAGGCAGCAGCTCAGGGGGCAACTCTTTCCCAGAGTTTCAGTGGAGGCCACTGTTTCTTTGCTGAGCCTCCACCCTGTGGGCGCAGATGTACACCATATCTGAGCCTCCATCAATTTAACACCTTCGCCCTAGTGATTCTAAGACCCCACCCCAAATTTTGGGCCCACTCAAGCCGTTTCTAGTGGCATTTCCATACAAATGGCCCGTCTTGGCTCATGATGTGGACTATCCTAAAATGTTTTCAAGGTCCACAAACCCCAAACAAGAACCATTGGCCTCAGCATGTCCCATATTTCTTGCTAAGCAGCCCCAAGCTTGGCACTAGGGGCAGCAAGCTTCAGTTCACAGATTGGCCCATTCTGGGCACCTTCAAGCCCAGCAAACAGTACCAATCATCTGTAGATCACTTTGTATCTCATGCTGGGTAGCCCTGGGCAGGATATAATCAGATGACGTTTGCCTGCACCTTCCGGGAGACCCCAGAGCCAGTGCACCCAGGGGAAAGCTTCAGACCATGCCAGACCACCACCCAAGCACCTCCATGAGCAAAATCAACAGGTGGATTTGGCAGGGACCAGAGGCCGGCTGAAATGAGGCCTCCTCTGTGGGGTGGGCCCTGCACAGCAACTTCTCCCGTATAGTTTCAGCTGGTCCTCACTGCCAGTCAGCCTGGGGGTCAATCCCCATCAGTGGCATGCCAACAGCAATCAAGACTCAACTACAGTCCAGCTGGTGTGGCTCAGTGGCTGAGCATCGACCCATGCACCAAGAGGTTGCTGCTTCGATTCCTGGTCGGGACACATGCCCAGATTGTGGGCCTGATCCCCAGTGAAGGGCAGGGGCATGCAGGAGGCGGGCAATCAATGTTCTCTCTCATCGATGTTTCTCCCTCTCCCTTCCTCTCTAAAATAAATAAAGAAAAAGAAAAAAAAAAGACTCAACTACAACAGGAGGGGGCACACAACCCACACAGGGTGGAGGTGGGGAGTATATCTGGGACACCCAGCTCAGGTGACCTGGGAGGCTGCACCATCGGGGCCCACAGGACATCTAATACATAAGGTCACTCTACTGAGACAGGAAGACACAGCAGCTCTATCTAATACATAGAAACAAACACAGTGAGGCAGCCAAAATGAGGAGACAAAGAAATATGTCCCAAATAAAAGAATAGGACAAAACTCCAAAGAAAGAATTAAACAAAAGGGAGACAAGCAACCTACCAGATGCAGAGTTCAAAACACTGGTTATAAGGATATGCAACAAACCGCTGAGCCAAACCAGCCCAGGCAGCTTATTTCTCAACAGAAACTTTGCAGGCCAAAAGGGACTGGCAGCAAATATTCAAAGTGATGAAAATCATGGACATACAACCAAGACTATTCCACCCAACAAAGCTATTTAGAATCCAAAGATGGATAAAGAGCTTCCCAGACAAGAAAAAACTAAAGGATTTCATCACCACCAAATGAGTATTACAAGAAATGTTAATGGGTCTTTTTTAAGAAGAAAAACAAAATATCAAACATATGAATAATAAAATGACAATAAATACTTATCTATCAACAATTACTATAATTACAAATGGATTAAATGCTCCAATCATAAGACATATCTAGCCTGAAAGGATAACAAAACAAGACCCTTCCATATGCTGTCTACAAGAGACCCACTTCAGATCGAAAGACACAAACAGAATGAAAGAAGATTATTTCATAAAAATTGAAATGGAGGTTTCAAAAAAGCTGGCATAGCAATACTTATATCAGACAAAACAGACTTTAAAATAAAGGCTATATAATAAGAGTCAAAGAAGGACCCAGCAATTCTATTTCTACTTCAGCAATTCTGGGTATTTATCCAGAGGAACCCAAGACACTAATTCAAGAAGACATATATTCATTACAGCATTATTTACAATAGCCAAGATATGAAAGCAATCTAAGTGTCCATCAATAGATGAATGGATAAAGAAAAGGTGGGCGCGGTCGGTGTGGCTCAGTGGATTGAGCATCGTTCCCTGGACTGGGCACTTGCCTGGGTTGTGGGTTCCATCCCCAGTAGGGGGCGTGTAGGAGGCAGCCAATGGATGTTTCTCTCTCATATCAGCGTCTCTCTCTCTCTTCCTTCCTCTCTAAAAAATCAATAAAAACACTACATATATATGTGTGTGTGTGTGTGTGTGTGTGTGTTTAAAGGTATATATATATATAATAGAAAGAAAGAAAAGAAAGAAAAGAAAGAAAGAAAGAAAGAAAGAAAGAAAGAAAGAAAGAAAGAAAGAAAATGTGGTATATACATATAATGCAATATGACTCAGCCATAAAAAAGAATGAAATCTTGCCACATGCAACATGGATGGACCTAGAGCATATTATACTCAATGAAATAAGCCAGTCAGAGAAAGAAAAATACGGTAAGGTTTCACTTACATAGCAAATCTAAAACAGACCTATAGATACGGAAAATATTTTGACGGTTGCCAGAGGGGAGGAGGGTTGAGAGGCTGGGTGAATGGTGAAGGAGTTAAGCAACACAAATTGGTAGTTACAAAACAGTCATGGGAAGGTAAAGTACAGCACAAGGAATATAGTCAGTAACACTGTAATAACTATGTGTGGTGCCAGGTGGGTAATAGACTTATCAGAGTGATCACTCATTAAGTTATATAAATGTTTAATCATTGGGTTGTATAATATTTTATTAGTTTCAGGTATATATCAACTGTAATTTAAAAATAAAAGTAATATAACCTTGGCCAGATAGCTCAGTTGGTTAGAGCATTGTCCCAATACACCAAGGTTGTGGGTTTGATCTCCAGTTAGGGCACAAACAAGAATTAATCACTGAATGCATAAATAATTGGAACAACAAATCAATGTTTCTCTCTCTCTCCCTTCCTCTCTCTAAAGTAAAATTTAAAATAAATAAATTAAATAAAAATAATTAAAAACCAGAAATGGCCCTGACCAATGTTTCACTCTCACATTGTCCCCCCGCCTCGTTCCCTTCCACTCTCTCAAAAAAAAAAAATCACTGGGAAAATATCCTCAGGTGAGGATTAACAAAAAAATAAATAAAATTTAAAAATAGTAAATTAAAAAACAAGAAATGGCCCTGGCTGGAGTTGCTCAGTGGTTAGTGTTGGCCCAAGGACCAAAGGGTCATGGGTACAATTCCAGGTCAAGGGCACGTACCTGGGTTGCAGGTTCGATTCCCAGCCCTCGTTGGGGCACATGCAGAAGGCAACCAATCTATGTGTCTCTTTCATATTGATGTTTCTCTCTCTTTCCCCCTCCCCACCACCCTCTCTCGAAAAAAAAATATCTTCAAGTGAGGGTTAACAAATAGTAAAAAAATCCAAAATATGCCCAGGTTGTGGGCCCAATCCCCAGTGCAGGAGGTGGCCAATCGATGTTCTCTCTCATCAGTGTTTCTCTCTCTTTCTCCCTCTCCCTTCTCCTCTCTCTAAAATTAATAAGAAAAAAATTTAAAAATAAAAGATCAAAAAAGAAAAAAAAATTCATCACATTATTTTCATTGTAATAGTAAACAAAAGGGGAAATAGTTTCATAAAATGTCAAGCAGACAGAATTAAGTGGCTAATAATAAGCATGTATTTGAAGAAAGTTTGATGCTATGAAGAACCCAAAACCAATACAAAATAGGCGAAAAGGCAGAAATCAAAATTACATAATGTGATCTCTATTTGTAAACATACATTATTTTTAAAAGCAAGAAAAAAAAATATTCTCAGTAGTCTTCTTGGAGTGATAGTACAGGTGATTTTTAAATGTTTTTTGTTTGTTTTGTTTTGAAGAGAGAGTGGAAGACAGGGAAAGAGAAAAACATCGATGTGAGAGAGAGACATCAATTGGTTGCCTCCCGCACAACCCCAACAGGGGCCAGGGATTGAACCTGCAACCCAGGTATGTGCCCTTGACTGGAATCAAACTTGAGACCCTTTGGTCTGTGGACACTCTAACTGCTGAGCCAAATCGGCCAGGGTTAAATGTTTTATATGTTACAAAGTATGAGTAGAGGGAGAAGGGAAATAATGCTTCCCTCTCAAATGAACTCAATTGAAAATCAAGAAAAACCCTTTTCCGTATCTGCAGGGCAGAAGGCAAGAGATAGCCATGAGCCCTGGCCTCCACAGGCCCTTGTCACTAGTGGTCCACGGAGCCTCCTGTTTACCTTGCGCACTTTCCCTGGTGTGGTGGGTGTCAGTCCTCGCCGCTTATTTGGTGTTCTGGGAGCACTGCCATATAGCATCTCTGTCTCTGTCTGCTTCTTGTTCTTCAGTTGCTGTGTGAAAGACAGAAGCAACAGTGATACATCCCAGGGAGAAAACAGGTCTAGGGTGGAGCCAGAAATCTGGTGCCAAATCTCTGTACCATGGGCACTGGCAGAGTCTGGGCTGCTCACATGACCACCCTTCCCTCTTCCCCAAAAGGGTTCACTTACCCTTTCCTGCCTGGCTCGCTCTTTCTCTAATCGATGCATCTCCCACTGTTCAGTCACATACTCCATGAATTTCTGTCCATTTACCACAAATGCCTTTGAATGTTCCTGTTCCCACATTTCAATCTGGGCCTTCAATTCCTCTTCCAGCTGAGACCAGACACAAGGACATGTTATTTACTTCAAATCTTTGGTGTGAAGCCCAAAGGAAATGATTTCCCCCAAAAAAATGATTCCTCCTTCCCCACAGCATCACTAGGCTGACTTTAGGGAGCTGGACCCCCTTGGGAAAAGGTCAGAGTAGCCGAAAATCAAAGGCGAGGGATGGTTTCACAGTACACACGAAAGTGGGAAATGCGAGGACAGTGTTGCCTCTGAGGTTCTGGTGCTGAAGTGAGAGGAGCACCAGGGGGACCAACAACATCCAAGAGACAGTGTGCAGTTAGAGCAGCACGTTCTGGGCGCCAGCTTGAATCTACCTCCTACAGCTGTGAAAAGGTGGGCAAGCTACTTAAGTTCTCAGTGCCTCAACTTCCTCATCTGTAAAAATGCAAAGCACTTTGAAATAATATCTGGCTCTTAAATAAGTGCTATTATTAATTATTATTAAAATAGAGCCCTGGCCAGTTTGGCTCAGCGGTTAGAGTGTCGGCCTGCGGTCCGGAGAGACCCGGGTTCGGTTCCCGCTAAGGGCACGTACTTCGGTTGCAGTTTGTCCCCGGCCCTGGTTGGTCGTGCGGGTGGCGGCCACTCGATGTGTCCCTTCACGTCGATGTTTCTCACTCTCTCTCCCTTCCTCTCTCTCCCTCCCACTCTATCTGTACAAAAAATGGAAAAATATCCTCGGGTGAGGATAAAAAAAAAAAAAGAGAATAGTACTTAAGCCCCCAGAACTTGCTAAAGAGCTTGCTTTGTGTTATCAGCTGAATTATGCCCCCCTACCCCATTCATATGTTGAAGTCATAACTCCAATGCCTGAGAATGTGGTTTTATTTGGACATAGAGGTGATTAAGTTAAAATGAAGTCATTAGGGTGGATCCTAAACTATTGGGAGCCTTATGAGAAGAGAAAATGTGGCCACAGACACAGAAGGAAGACCAGGCGAAGACACAGGGAGAAGATAACCAACTACAAGCCTAAGAAACCAGCCCTGCCTAGGGCTTGATCTCAGACTTCTAGCCTCCAGACTTACGAGAAAATAAATGTCTGTTGTTTAGGCCGCCCTGTCTGTGATATTTTGTTAAGGCTGCCCTAGAAAATGAATACATCTTGATATTCAGTCGCTTATGCCAGGAAGGCCCAGTACTACTTACTATCCTTGATTAACTTTTAGAGAAGATAGTTTGGGGCAAATGATTCAAAGCAAAGAATATACAAAAAGTGAGGTATTTTGTAGCTAAACACCGAAACGCTTAACAATATTACCTTAGGGAGTGTTTTCTGGAGCCTGGCTCGTTGCTTTTCCTCTTTTAGCAGATTTCCTCCACGATTTGTAAATCGGCTTGGATCTGACGCTTTTCTCTGTGAAAACACATTTTAATGAGAGTACACGCAGGACAGGCAATGAGACAGTGACTTCTGCTAAGACTCCTTGCAGTCATACTTGGACTGCATCAAGGAGACTTTGAGTTTTACATTCCCACTCCCTCTCAGCAGTGAGGAATGGAGGGGCTTGGGTATGAGCACATCCATTTGGGTGCAGGAAAACTAGTGTTTCTTTTGTCATCTAGAAAGGAAGACAGCTTCAGTATTTAACACACAATGTCACTGGTTCAAATGTCAAAAGATTACATGTTACCTACAGGAAATGAACTATGTGGAGGGCCAAGAGGAAGGTCTACCCTCAGAGAGTTTGGTGGGCATTCCTACTTCTCCACTCACTCCCAGCCCACCGAGACAATGCAGTTTAAATGTGCAAGGTTAAGGGTTACAGATAATCTGGTTTTCATTAAATCAACCCTCACAAAATGGACAAGTAAAAAAATGTAGCATGTTAGGTTTCTTGTTCTTTTTAACTTTTCTGGGTTTTTTTGTTATTCTATCATGTGTATAATATATCAAAAGAGTAACATAACATATAACTTGTAAATATAAATTAGGGGCAGATCATCAGAAAAGTACAGAACCAATCTTGACAACTCGCTAAGCTTGTAAAGAAATTCCACTTTCCTTGCAGCCCGCTCGGCTGCTGATGGCCTAAAAACAACTAAAGGGAATGGTAATTAGTCTCTATTTTTCTTAAATACTGGCATGTCAACAAGGGTTACTTATTTGGCTCTTCACTAACATTTACTCCTCCTCCTTCGTGCTTTCAAACAGAAGGAAGGAGTAACTGAGGGCAGAGTCATCTGTTCTTCAACAGCTGTAAGATTTGGCAGTTCTCTCCTCTTCTGAGGTCTGGTTTCCTATAAACGTGAAGGAGTTGAACTCCGGACTCCCTGAAGGACCCTTCAGGCTCTAACAGGGCCAAGCACGAACGTGAGAACAAGTCTGCTGGAAATTTATGTCCACCATGCCTCCTCCTAGTCTCAGCCCTGAGCTCTAAAATGCTCTGAGGGAACCAGTCTGTGTTATGTCAACCAGGAGAAAAGGAATTCAGTATACAAATGTACACCAACACCCAGGCAATTTTCTAAGAACATAGCAAAAGTCGGTAGAGAATAATCAGTTGCCTGGCCCAATATCCGCTCTTCTCTCCCTCTTAGTAACAGAGCCCGAATTTCTCTGTGGCAGCAATACCACCAGCCTCACCAGTGTGGCATGTGAGCAGAGATGCTGGGATGAGAGCCTGGGAGGAGCCCTTGGAGGTGCTGGAGAGACAGTGCCCTCTGTGTCCCTTCCTCCACAATGCTGCCTGAAAGCTCTGCTGGGCTCTCTAGGGACAACGTAAACCTAAGGTTAAGGTCCACCACTGAGTGGTAGGGGCGCCATGAGCTGGAGAAGCCTGCGACCTCACTGACTATGGAACTACCACACTTGCCCTGCACTGCCTCCCTCTGAACTTCCTTTATGCCTGAACCTTTTATCTTTTTTATTTTCTGTTGTTAACTCTCACCCAAGGATATTTTTCCAGTGATTTTTAGATAGAGTGAAAAGAAGGAAGGGAAGAAAAGAGGGAGGGAGAGAGAGAGAGAGAGAAACATTGATATGAGAGAGACACATGCATTGGTTGCCTCCCACACAACCCCGAACGGGGCTGGGGATTGAATCTGCAACCCAGGTACGCGCCTTGATTTCGTAATCAAACCCATGACGCTTTAGTCTGTGGGCCGACAAGCCAAACCTGCTAGGGCCAGAAACTTTTATCTTATGTAAGCCAGTTGTTTAGGTTTTTTCTCGTATATGTTCCTGTACACGAGCCTCACAAATACAGATGGGCCAGCAGTGATTCAGAGACTTAATGAAGACAGGGTATTAGAAACCTAGGAAAGAGCCCTGGCTGGTTTAGCTCAGTGGTTAGAGTGTCAGCCCAAGGACCAAAGGGTGGCAGGTTGAATCCCAGACCTGGTTGGGGTCATGCAGGCTCCATCTCCAGTAGGGGACGTGCAGGAAGCAGCCAAGAGATATTTCTACTCTCCCTCTCCCTTCCTCTCTTTGTAAAAATCAATGAAAATTCATTAAAAAAAAAAAAGGAAAAGTATCCTCGGGTGAGGATTAACAAAAAAAAAAAAACAAGAAAGAGAAAAGGAGACTGGACTCTGACTCTATAAAGGACATGCTTTCATCACACTTCATCATCCTCTAAGAAACCAGAGGAAATTAGGGCAGTACCTCAAACTCTAAGAAGAGCCTCCAGCTTTCTTCCCACTTCTGCACACCTTCAAAAAGTTCTTTGTGGACCTCATAGTAGTTTTTTAACCGCACAACCTCAGCGTCATGGAGCTGGAGCAGACCTTCTGTGTAGTCCTCTGCAAGATACAGGCCCAGTAGTTTTTTTAAAGTTCCTCTAGTGTTTAGTATCTTAATTTACTAACCTCTCATCCCCCTACAATGGAAATAGGTTATTCTTTACTATATTAAAAATGTTACATGAATAAGTATACATTGTGGGTAATAAAGGCCTGGTTTGTCACCATCAGCCTGGCAGGACTAAGGAATAAGGGCCTAGGGTGTGCACTAAAATGACTGATTCTCAAACCTCTGTGTCATCTCTCACCTTCTCTTAGGTTTGTTCATATTCTTCATTTCTACCCTGCCCAGTAGTGGCTTGGGTCAAAGAAAATGTACCAAATGTGGAAATTAGCAGACAGCGCATCTTTATATTCAGTTTAGGTTAGACTAGAATTCTGTTGGGCTCTGGGGCCAGACTCTGTGAGTCAAATGTGAGCTCTGCCCTTTACCTGCTGTGCCTCTGGCTCAAGTTGCTCAACATTTATGCACATTTGTGCCCTCATCTCTTGACTTGGGATCGAAATAATAACAAGTTTGACATTGCCCGGCTGGTGTGGCTCAGTGGTTGAGCATCAACCCATGCACCAAGAGGTTGCCAGTTCAATTCCAGGTTGTGGGCCTGATCCCTGGTGAGGGGCATGCAGGAGGCAGCCAATCGATGTTCTTTCTCATCATTATCTCTCTCTCTCTCTCCCTTGCTCTGTCAAATCAATAAAGAAAAAATATAAAAAGTTTGACATTGCACCTAGCATAGAATAAGCAAGCATCTGATATTGATAAACTAGAGCTTCACAACTAGAGGCTACAGTGATATGCTACTTCAGAAATCTAGACATCCCTTATTTCCCAGTAGCATTTGCAAATGCTTTTATATAGAAATAATAATTTATGCTAAATGGCTCAAAAAGATAGTTAGATTTGTTCAGCAGAGAAAGTACTTCCTGGTGAACATCTGCACTTCCTTACAAGTGCAAGCCACATAAACGCATCGCTCTTGTACTAACCATCATAGTAAGCAGCAAAAGCTTGTCTCTGCTCCTGGCTGTAGAAACACTGGTCCCAATACTTAGCCAGCTCCAGTCGTATTGCCTCAATCACTTTCTTCATGTTTTGCATTTTCAGTTCTTCCAAACGATCCACTTCTAACTGCAGCTGAAGCACAGATATCTATTAAAGGTGTCTGTTATACCTTTACATTCACGGAACTTAGCAAAAAAAAAAAAAAATTTCTTTCTTTTTTTGTTAAGCCTCACCCAAGGGTATTTTTCCACTGATTTTTAGATACAGTGGAAAGGAGGGGCAGGGGAGACATATATTGGTTGCCTCCTGCACGACCCTGACCGAGGCTGGAGATCAAACCTGCAAACCAGGTATGTGCCCTTAACTGGGACTCGAACCCACAACCCTTTGGTCCATGGGCTGACATTGTAACTGCTGAGCCAAAATGGTCAGGGCAAAAATCTTCCCCTTTAAATAAAACTACGGCCCAGTTGGTGTGGCTTAGTGGCTGAGCGATGACCCATGCACCAAGAGGTCGCCAATTCGATTCCCAGTCAGGGCACATGCCCAAGTTGTGAGCCAAATCCCCAGTAGGGGGCATGCAGAAGGCGGCCAATTGATGTGCTCTCTTATCAATGTTTCTATCTCTCTCTCCCTCTTCCCTTCCTCTCTCTGTAAAAATCAATAAAGAAAAAATACTTTTTTAAATAAAATAAAACTATAGCACAAAACCACAGATGCAAGTTAATGCTCTTTCCAACAATGCTACCAAAGGAGCAACCAATCAATGTTTCTCTTCCTCTCTCACCCTCCCTTCCACTCTCTCTAAAAATCAATGGAAAAAGTATCCTCGGGTACGGATTAACCAAAAAAGACTTGCTCACGGCAGAAGTTGCTCAAGGCATGAGATCAGACATAAAAATGCTATAGAGACTGCTGACCCAGAACCCAATGGGTTTCCTACCGCTTTCTTAACCTTGACCTTCGACCCAGTCATAACCATGGCCACAGCTTCTCTCTCTTCTTCTGGTATTTGCAACCTGTCCCAGAGCTCCCGGATCTGAGCACGCAGCCCCTCACACACTGCTTCGTTTTGTGATTTTCGCATTTCCAGCTGTAGCAAGGAAAGACAGTGGTTACGGAAAAGGCTAACAGTACAGAGGCTAGCCCTCTGGCCTCCCACAAAGAAATATCTGGATCCACAAGCCGAAGAAGCACTTTTATAAGATTGTGAAGAGGAATGTTTTCTTGACTACTGAACACAAACTGTAAGACTGTCATTATGGGAGGAAACCAGACCCCAAGTTTTAGGATTCAAATTTTGAATTAAAAAAATTTGTTTTTCATTTAAACACTAACTTGATGACTATTATTTCACCCATAATTTCAGTTTCACATTCTTAGAGCTACATATGAATTAAGTTTTTTGTTTAAAAAATTCAAGGTTGTATATCATACAATACTATCTTTATCCTCCCTCATTCTCTTAACTTACACTGGGGCTCCTTATGTAACACTTCAGATTAAAAAAACCAAAACTCTCACTTTCTTCAAATTGCTGGGTACTATGGATTTGAGATCCCAGGCCAAATTCTGAGTAGACATTACCTGCTGTAGCAGCTTTTGCAGTGCTGCAATATTCTCCAAAGATAAACAAAAGGCATCTTCATCTTCACATACTACATCTCTTTCGAAGCTCGTGTCTGGGGTGTGTTCTAATTCTTCCATACACAGTATGATCTGTCTCTTTATGTTGACAAACTCCTCACGCCGAGATACCTGTAAAAGAAAATGATTATAAGATACCTATAGGAAAGTCAAACCAACTTTTAAGGAAGTTTGGATGCAACCAGTATACCTTTGTTTCCCTCAAAGTTGCCACATGTTGTCTGAACTGGTTCAGCTCTTCTAAGCTGGGAACAGAGTCACTGTCAATGTCATAGTGTGGCATGCAAAGAACTTCACACAGTTCTTGATCTTGTTCTTGAAGTAGTTTCAGTTCACGTTTTCTCTCCTTTTTCTGTTTGCGCATCAGTTCTACCTGAGTGCGCAAATCCTTTTCTAGCTGCAAGATGGTTGGCTCTCCTTCTTCCTGTGTAAGACGATATCCCACTGTTACAAGGTTCCAAGTAGACTTCCTCAAAGGAAGAGTAGGACAACAAAAGAGGGCTAAATGACAGACTTTTAGTTAAACTTACAAATAAGTCAATTCATGGATAACAGAATACGGCACAGAGGGTCCCCTAAGGAAGGTCCCCGGCTAAGGGAGGGTACCAGGGCATTTTTGCCAGAAGTGTAACCTGTTGGAAAGCTTGCTCTGAGTTAGCTATAGGGGTACACTTAGCTCACAACTAAATGCTCATGCCAATTACCCAAAGAATATCACCTAACTGGTAAAACACAATGAGTACTTCTTGCTCTACTCCTGACAAACAAAAAACAAAAAAAAGAAGGGGGCTGTAATATGTCCTATAGATTTTACTCAACACTGGTGAACTAAGAATGGTTACGTAATTTAAGGGCAATGTATCATGGTACATCTACCTTCTCACCTGATTTTACATTGAAAGCAACAAAAATAAATAAAAGACTCAATAAACTGTCCAAAATCCATGATATTTCTGTTGGTTTCAAGAAACTCCACTGATTGCCCTTGGTAGTCAGGTATGAATTATTCTTAATCCTTTAAAGGCAAGTCTCCCCCCTCCTAGGCTGACTCCATTCCAGTCCCTGACTTGTGCTGGACCACAACACAGCGGCCTCTCAGCCAGGAACACACAGTCATGGCATGCTCCAAACTCAGTCGTGCTCTCCTGATACCCAAGCTTTGGAAACATTTCTTCTCAAGTGGCAATTTTAGCTGGTTCAGTTGTGTGCAGCTTTTACTTATGGAGCCCACAAAGGCAGGGTTTTGGGTAACTTTCCCTTATGTCACTCATCACTTTTGCTTCCTAAGTAGCTTTTTTCACTTTCTTGCAAAGAAAAAAACGGCACAGTATCATCATCTATGCCTAACTTTTCCTCAGAGTTAAAAAAAATATTTTAGCCCTGGCCGGTTTGGCTCAGCGGTTAGAGCGTCGGCCTGCGGTCCGGAGAGACCCAGGTTCGGTTCCCGCTAAGGGCACGTACTTCGGTTGCGGTTTGTCCCCGGCCCTGGTTGGTCGTGCGGGTGGCAGCCACTCGATGTGTCCCTTCACGTCGATGTTTCTCTCTCTCTCTCCCTTCCTCTCTCTCCCTCCCACTCTATCTGTACAAAATATGGAAAAATATCCTCAGGTGAGGATAAAAAAAATATATATATATTTTATATGCCCCACAGACTAATACCAAGAGGAAGTGTGTTTTCAATGAAAGCCTGGCACCATTCATTAGCTCCCTCCCGGGAGCATGCCCACATCTTTGTCATCTCAGATGTGCATCTCCTGAACTCCAAGAATCTCCACGAGACTCAGAGCCAAGGGAGCCATGGGTAGCAGCAGCTTCTCCCAGGCCCCCTTTTCTCTGACTTCTCAGTGAGCTGAAGCAGCTCTGCCTAGGTCTCTCCTATTGCTGCTTCTATCCTAAGCCCTTCCCTTGTTTCACTATCCCCAGCTTTAAGAAACAAACTCTTAATAAATAAATAAACGAACAAACTGCTCCACCTCTCAACAGGGCAACTCTTTTTTTAAATCCTCACCCGAGGACATTTTTCCATTTTTTATTCAGACAGAGTGGGAGGGAGAGAGGAAGAGAGAGAGAGAAACATTGACGTGAAAGGGACACATCGAGTGGCTGCCACCTGCACAACCCAACCAGGGCTGGGGACAAACTGCAACCCTTAGCGGAAACCGAACCCGGGTCTCTCTGGACCGCAGGCCAACACTCTAACTGCTGAGCCAAACCAGCCAGGGCTCAACAGGGCAACTCTTTACATAAGTAAAAATAACTGCTGGAACTGGTTGACTAGGCAGCACATTTTCCTCACTTCTCATGTCCAGGACCACCCTGACACAAAAACTTTCCACTGTAGCCCCAAGGCAAAGTTCCTTCGTAAATCTCAGACCCAAACAGGAGTACAAGACCCAGTGTACCTGAAATGGCTCAACCTGCAACTCGTTGCACAGGGTAGCCAACTCTTTTTGACAGTTGGCTATGCTTTTAATGAGCCTTTCCTTCAGGCTTTCCTCTTCAGCAATCATCATATCCAGGAGGTCCTACACGAGAGAAAACAGTCCATAAAAGTTTGGAACCAATGAGGACAAAAACCCCATATCAACAAATAACACCAAAAAAACAATAATTTCAAATTTTTAAAGACTTAGAAACCAGGAAGAGCCTGTGATTTCTCAGTGTTACTTTGATATGCTATCTCAGATGAGACACCAACATCCTTACCCATGAACCCCTGCAAAGACACCAGCACTAAACTCACCTTGATGTGCTTATGTACAACCTCAGTTCGTTGTAACCGCTGGTCCTCAGGAATCCCAATTAATTCCCATATTTCCCGAAGATGATTCAGGGCCTTTTGGAGACATAGTATGGACTCCTCTGCAATCACCTCACTGAAAAGCAAAAGAGAAACCTGCTGCATGAGCCACTGCCTCTCACACACTAAAAGAAGTATTTACAAGAACAAATTTACTGTTAGAATATGATCCTGGTTTCTCTGACCCATTCCAATGAATATACCTACTGGTTTCTGGGAGTGAAGCAACAGAATTACTAAATAAGGTTTGTTGGGAAACTCTCATAGAGGAGTCTGTTTTTATTGTAGAAAGCCAGGTCACCTTAAGAAGGGTTGTAGAATCAACAAGGAAATAGTGACCCTGAACAACACACTAGATTAGATGGATTTAATTGACATTTACAGAACATTTTACCTCAAAGCTGCAGAATATACATTTTTCTCAAGTGCACCTGGGACACTCTCATAAATAGAGCATGCTAGGACACAAAAATAAGTCTCTACAAGTTCAAGAAGACTGAGATCATATCAAGCATCTTCTCAGATCACAACGGCATGGAAGTAGAAATCAACTACAATAAAAACACTTAAGCCTTGGCTGGTTTGGCTCAGAGGTTAGGGCGTTGGCGCATGGACCAAAGAGTCCTGGGTTCTATTCCAGCCAAGGGCACGTATCTTGGTTGTGGTTCGTCCCCGGCCCCCGTTGGGGTCGTGTGGATGGCAGCCAGTCGATGTGTCTCTCTCACATCAATGTTTCTCTCTCCCTCCCTCCTTCCCACTCTATCTGAAGATAAATAGAAAAATATCCTCTATATCCTCTGGTGAGGGTAAAAAAACAAAACAAAACAAACTCTCAGCAAAGTGGGAATAGAGGGATCATACTTCAACACAATAAAGGCTATCATACTCAATGGGCAAAAACTAAAAGCATTTCCCAGGAACAAGACAGGGATGCCTGCCTTCACCACTCTTATTCAACATAGTGCAGGAATTCTTAGCCACAATGACCAGACAAGAAAAAATAAAAGCCATCTAAATTGGAAAGGAGGAAGTAAAACTGTCATTCACAGATGACACGCTATTGTACATAGATAGAAAGCTCTAAAGACTCCACCAAAAAAACTACTAAATTTAATAAATGAATGCAGCAATGTAGCAGAATACAAATTAACAGCTAGAAATTGATTGCATTTTTTTTTGTTTTTATCCTCACCCGAGGACATTTTTACATTTATCTTCTGATAGAGCAGGAAGGAGAGAGGGGGGATAGAGAGAGAGACACATCGAGTGGTCGCCACCTTCACAACCCAACCGGGGCGGGGGCTGAACCGCAACCGAGGTTCGTGCCCTTAGCGGGAACTGAACCCGGGTCTCTGGTCCGCGGGCGGATGCTCTAACTGCTGAGCCAAACTGGCCAGGGCTTGATGGTATTTTTATACACCAATAATAAACTCTCAGGTAGAGAAACAAACAAAAATTCCCATTTATCATTGCAACAAGAAAAATTAAGATACTTAAGAATAAATTTAACCAAGGAGGTAAAAGACCTGTACTCGGAAAACTACAGGACACTGAATAAAGAGAGAAAGATATAAACAAATGGAAGAATATACTGTGTCCATGGCTTGGAAGAATTAACATCATTAAAATGTCCAGCCCTGGCCAGTTTGGCTCAGCGGTTGGAGGGTTGGCCTGCTGTGCAGTGCAGCGTGTTGGTGCCGGCGGGCGCAGCTGGGTGGCAGTGACGGGCAGGCCAGGGGGGAGGGGCCGCTGGCGCTGCAGTGAGCGCTTGGGGCTGCTGGGGGCGATGGGGCACCTACCAAAAAAAAAGTCCATACTGCCCAAAGCAATCTATAGATTCACTGCGACCCCTATTAAAATACCAATGGCAGCCCAGCTGGTGGGGCTCAGTGGATTGACTGTCGTCCCAATCCACTGAGAGGTCCTGGTTCGATGCCAGGTCAGGGCACGTGCCCGGGTCGTGGGCCCAATTCCCAGTGGGGGACATTCAGGAGGCAGCCAATCCATGTTCTCTCTCATCGATGCCTCTCTCCCTCCCTCTCCCTCGCTATAAAATCAATTTAAAAAATTATTTTAAAAAATAAAAAGAGGGTCTTGTAATTCTAAGTATGAGCCTCTAATTCTATTCTTCCAGTAAAAACAAACAACAGAACCCCCCCACACACACACAGAGAACCCCAAATGGGAAAGAATGGAGATCGGTACGGGACCCCAGAGCCACACGGGGAGCGGCAGGGGTGGCAGGGGCACGGCGGATCCTGTGGAGTGCCCCCCGAGAGGAGAGGGGAAACTGAGGCCTAGAGTGGGAGCGGACCAGGCAGGTAGCTCAAAGCCCTCCGGCCGTCCTCCTCCTGTGCCCCTTAGGGGGTGTCCAACCTAGTACGGGGACTAGGGAGGCGGGGGAGGAACCCAAGTGGGTGCGAGCCCCCCGGTGAGACACAGGTGGCTGGGGGCACCCTGGGGCCCAGCAGCCCTGCCCAATGGCCACACTGGCTGCTGCTGTCGGCCCAGTGGAGTGGGCACGTCGGAGTGACATGGGGCTCTGGCCACTTACGGCCAGGGGAGCCCTCCCGGGCGAGCCGGAGGGAAGAGGGGGCCAGCAGGGGCAGGGCGCGCCTAAGCGGGAAGTCACTGGTGTCAGGGAGAGCAGGTGAATGGTGCGCGTGAGAGGGGGGCCGGGGCGGGGCAGGCAGCGAGCTCGGGCCGCTGGGGGCTGGGGGCTGGGGGCCGGGGGCTCAGGCCGGGCCGCAGCCAGCGGGCGCCCCCCGGAGCCGCGCCAGCGCCACCCGGGCTCGGAGCCCCAGCCGGAGGGCTGCACCGCCCACAGCACCACCTGGTGCAGCTGCCACCTTACAGGCCAGAAAACAACGGCCCAACCTCGTCCACAGTCACGAGCTACGACCGGACAGCGGGACGACGCTTCTGGTCCCGCCTTCGGGTCGGGCGCTGTCTGGGGAGCCGGGCCCCCGGGAAAGAACCGCGGCCGCGGAGTCTCATGCGCACGGAAGCCAAGCTGCTCCCCGTGCGCGGCGGGGCTGCGGCTGCGCCCGGGCACACGGAGACGGTCAACACCCACTGCCCGCTCCACTTGGACAAACGGGACACGCCGACACCGGGGCCCAGGGCTCCGCGCGAGCCCTCCGAGCCGACGCGCCTCCGGGGCCCGCTCCCCGCGCGTCCCTCTCCGCCGCCAGCCCGGCCCGGCGCGCCCGGCCTCAGCTGGGCGCGGGCTGAGGGGACACCCTGGCTCCGGCGAGGAGGGCCTCTGGAGGCCCGCACCCCTCAGTTCCCACCTTCTCCTCATGGCGGACGTTCCCGGCAACCGGACGTCGCGGTCCACGACTTACTCCACTCGGAACCGAGAGCTGCAACCAGCAACCAGCACCGGCGAGTTCGCGCTGCATCTGCCACCAGGCGAGCCGTTAGGCAGCCGCGGGATTTCAAACCAAACACGGAGGCGGGGCAGCCCTGCGATTGGTGGCCTGTCCTGTCGCTCTTCGTGAAAGCCCGCCCTCGCCCCGCCCCAGAGACGTGTCGCGAGTGCGCAGTCCGGGCTTGGCTGCGGGGAATTCCGGGATGGGATCGCCTCCGGCGCCTGCGCTCGGCCACGCCCGTGAGTGGATCGCTTCCCGTGCTGGGCTAGAGATGACACTGTGCGAGAGGAGCGCGCCCTTTAGTGGACCCCGCCCTGCCCCTGGGCGGCGCAGTTTTATGTTTTATAAATTAATTTTTAGAGAGAGGAAGGGAGAGAGACGCATCAATCAGTTGCCTTCCATTCGCCCCCAGTCTGGGATCAAACACGCAATCTAGGTGTAGGCACTAACTGGGAGTCGAATCCCCAGCCTTGGGAGTACCAGAGTAGCTGTGACCAACTGAGCCACCTGGCCAGGGCGGTTTTTTATTTTTATTTAAAATTATTATTTATTAATTTGAGAGAAACGTTGATTTGTTACTCCACTATTTATTTATGCATCCATGGGTTGCCTCTTTCATGTGCCGACCAGAGATGGAACCTACAACCTTGGCATATGGGGACTATGCTCCAACCAACTGAGCTTCCCCTCCAGGGCCCTGTGCAGTTTTGATTGGAAGTGCACTCAGCCACCTGCAGACCACCAGGAAGGGGCAGAGAGGCGGGAGCCTGGTCTCCCATGTAGAGCAAGCATAAAGGCTTCACTGCCCACACCTGGCTGGGTGTGGCGGGAGCAGATTAGTAGAAAGGCCTGGCACCTTGTTTCCCTCGCTCTTGGTGGCAATATTCCCCAGATGTGGGAAACTGTGCCCTAAACATTATGGTGCTGAGACAGGCCAGTAAGCCAGGACAAGTAGAATAGGGAAACTGGCAAAGCAATTTACAGCAGATACAGAAGGTCACTTCCTTAGAGATAACATCTAGGCCTCAGTTGTATTTCAGCTCCAGGCCCAGAAAAGCAATAAAACCAGCCAGGGCTGACCTCAGGACCAGCTGCATTGAATAATAACCAATCAGTGGAGACCTACCTCGACCCTGAAGAAGGGACACACCTGGAAATCTGCTGACTAGGCTACTGAGATCTTCCCCTGGGACCTCCTCTAAATCTCCACCCTTAAAACACCTTAGGATGGAGGGCCTAGTGCACTCTCCCTCCCAGGAACCTTTCCCTAACAATCCTCCCCTGCACCCCCACCCCCAGCTTGTCCCCTTTTACCTTCCTCACTTCTAAGTTCCAAGGGCCCTTCCTTTACCTCTACAACTTGTTTCCTAAGCCCATTTCTTATATGAAGTACTTCTACCTCTGTGCTTTTCCAAATAAATGTTCTTATTTTAAAAAAAAGAACCTCGTGCCCTGGCCAGTTTGGCTCAGCGGTTAGAGCGTTGGCCTGCGGTCCGGAGAGACCCGGGTTCGGTTCCCGCTAAGGGCACGTACCTCGGTTGCAGTTTTTCCCCGGCCCTGGTTGGTCGTGCGGGTGGCAGCCACTCGATGTGTCCCTTCACGTCGATGTTTTTCTCTCTCTCTCTCTTCCTCTCTCTCCCTCCCACTCTATCTGTACAAAAAATGGAAAAATATCCTCGGGTGAGGATAAAAAAAAAAAAAAAAAAGAACCTCGTTAGTGCTTTCAACATCCTATAACTTGTCAGCAGTGTGCCACATTTGCCCCATTAACATAGTGGCCCTCAGGCACCACTTTGAAATCCTACAGTACTCTTTGTTGATTACCTGGAGAGTTTTTCAGAAAGCTTCAAAAATTGGGGATCTTCAGACAGGTTCCCGGGGCCATCATGGTAAGGATGCAGAGATAACACAATTTTGCTATCAAGTCCTTTATGCTGTAGTTCTGAAGCTAACCAAGTCATAGAACCATTGGATGACAGACATTCTGAGCTCAGCATCTAAAACACTGTGTAATGTGTGTATAAATGCAGGGCCCTTTTACAGGGACATGCTATATTTCTGCTGGACAGCGTCGTTCGTTCTAGAATGTGAGTGCACTGTCACTATTTTATTCACTTGGCCATAGAATCTTTTTCTGACTGCCTTCTACTGTCAGTGGTGCCTTTAGTCTTGCACACTAGCTTGACACAGCACTGTCGGCATTCTAGCTAGACACTTGAGGTGTGCATTTTCCTTGGCACATGCACTGATGCAGCAGTATCATCATTCTGTGGAAAGAAGACTCTTGATGATCCAACACCACAGGTTTGGACCCTTCAGCTGAGGAGTAGCAGCACTATGGCCTGGGGAACAGATAAGAGGCAGAGCAGCTGGGACAGTTCGGCAAAAACCCGGGCAAAAAACGTTAAGTACCTCTTTAGAAACAAGGGGTAGAGGTGAATGTGGGGATAAAAAGAAAAAATTTCTGAGGTCAGGGATATAATTTCTTACACAAACAAAACGTGGGTAGATGATGAGATTGTCAAGGGAATGCAGACAGGAACAGATTTAGGGATTCAAAGTGGGGACAGGAGGTTTCGTTTGGGAGCTTATTTTAGACTTTTAGACATGGAGTTCGAAGTGCCTGTGAAACAACCAGGTTGGAAATACTACCTGAGGCCTGGCACTGGGACGAAAGCTTGAGATCTGTAAGTAGATGACAACAAAGGACAGAGAGAGGGAGATGTCAACAGACAGGATAGGAGAGGAGGAATCAAGAGACAAGTACAGCCTAGGAGACTGTAGGAGGACAAAAACAGTCACAGAAGCAAGCGCAAGAATTTCAAGAAGGAAAGGGTGGTCATCAGCGAGATCAAGTTAGAAGAGGACTGAGAGGCCACTAATAGATGTGGTTATATTTCACAATTTTTAAAAATTAAAGGGAGAGGAAGACCAGTAGAATCAGCAAATAGGAGGGCAGTGGTGACCTGTATAGGACAATTTGATGATGCCTGACATTGCTGTAACGGGGCACAACCTTGCATTCTGTGCTAAGAAACAAAAAGCTGAAAATTAAGTGAGGAGTCACAGAATTTTAGATTTGGAAGGGTGCTTACTGATCTATCTCTTCCATCTCCTCATGGAAACTCAAGTACAGTACAGGGCAAGTTTCAAGGAAGAAGCAGAGCAGGCCCAGAACAACGAGAGTCTGGTCCATGGAGCACATGTAACCCCACGTGAAACCCCCTGTGCCTCACAAATAAAGATGGAAGGGCTGGTCCAGAACTAAACAAATTACAGTTGAAAGTAGAGGCTTTATTTACAATGATACACAAACAGGATTTAGCAAAAGATCCTCCTCCTCCCATATCTTATCAGCACGGTCTGTACTTCAACATCAAAAAAGGGAAAATATCTTGGGGCAGGAAGTAAACGCTCTCCTCTGATATGTTCTCTAAATCCCGAAGCTCTGTGCTCCCCAGCGCTGAGCAGGTGTTTGGCGGCCCCGCGTTGGCAGCTGGGAGCCCGCCTCCTGCATCCCGTGGGGAAGGCGTCCAGGGACAGCTTCAGGCTTTCACCTCACTCATGGCCTCCATAAGGCGAGCACTGTTGGTGACTGCTGTCGTCAGGAAAATAAACCTGTACCCTGAGGGGCCCAAAGCACCAGCATATGTGAGTACAAGCAGATGAGTGTCCCCCAACACTAGCCATGCTGCAGAGAGCCCCTCCACTTCCACAGCCCGGGCTGGATCAGAGCACCAGTTCAGACTCGGATTCATCGGTGCTGTGCTCAGGGCACAGTGACTAGCCTCAAGGACAGCAAGCGGTACCCAGAAGGCAGTGGAGGAACTTTCCTGAGCTCTGTCCTTTGTACCCAGAGCCTGTCCACAGAGGCCTGTCGTCCCTTTTCTGTTCTCTTACCTTTCTCTCTGCCCAGGAACCTCAGGGCTGAGATCTCAGAGAACGTGCACCCACCCAGGAACACCACCAAAATGAGGCGCAGGGACTCGCTGGAAGCCTTGTCTTCCTTGGTCACGCCTGTGGAGAGCAGACCAGACCCAGCTCTTCACTGGCACGCTAGCACCAGGGATGCGCCCGCCCTCTCGCCCGCCCGGCCCCCGCTTGTCAAGGCCACGCACCTGTGAATGCCAGCTCGCTGCAGTTGAGCAGCCGCAGTACCTCGTCCAGGCCCTGCCAGCTTCGCCGCTCCAGCACCTGGGAAGGCATGAGCGCTAGTTTCAAGTGTATGGATGGGGTTTAGGAAAGGAAGGTTGCAGCCGCCCAACCATCACGTTTCCTGCTAGTTACTGGGGCCGTCAAAACTTGGGACACACCAGAGAAAGCAGAGAAACCGAGATATGAATGGGAGCAAGGGTCAACTGTTCTTACCTGCTCAATGACACGGCAGCTGAGGGGCACATATGCGCCACTGAAGACATACGCCATGTCGCGTGGCACCTTCAGATCGTACTCACCATCTACACGTGGGATCTAGAGGGCAAAGGGGACTCCATGAGGCAAGTGACAACTCAGCTCTCCAGTTGTGTACAGGGTCAGAGAAAAGTGGCAGGTCCCTAAGAATGGTTCTTCCTTCAACTAAAGGGAGAAGCAGCCACAGAACAGAAAAGAATCCATGATTCCGGCTGCTGTTCAGTACCTGCCAATCCTCTTGACTGAGTTCCCATGCTCCCTGAGAAGGGCAGGAGGGAAGGGTCTCCTCTGCCAACCCCTCGGTGACATGAAACATGTCTGTCACTGAAGCAGCACTTAGCCTATTGCTGGCATGGTCAGGCACTTGTTATACGTTTACTCACTGAATAAATGTCTTTTTTTTTTTTTTAATTGTTTTCTTTATTGATTTAAGACAGAGAGGAAGGAAGAGGGAGAGAAACATTGATGAGAGAACACTGACTGGCCGCCTCCTGCATGCCCCCCACTGGGTATTTGGCCCACAATCTGGGCATAT